AACCTTGCTGTATCCAAATTAATTTACAATCTCTCACTCTTGCCATGCCCTAGTGCTGACATCATGAAATATATAAATAAAATTATCTTTAACTTTATTTGGAATAAGAGAGACAGAATAAAACGAAAAACTTTAATAGGAGACATAGAGCAGGGTGGTATAGGAGTTGTGGATATAGAGTCTAAAGCGAAAGCAATTAAATGTGCTTGGATTTCCAAGTTGATATCTAAAGAAAACAACAATATTAAAATCTTTCTAGAAAACTTTAATTTAAGAAAGCAAGATATTATCTATAAATGAATGAATTAGCAATAAACAATCACAATATACTTAAGCGTCTTCCGATATTTTATAGAGAAATTTTTGAAGCTTTTAATGAATCTAAGAGCTCAATAAAAATAAGTAAAATGACTACACCAGACTTTTTGAAACAATCTATATGGGGAAACAAGATTTTTAATTACAAAAATAAGGAAATTTTCTTCGAAAACTGGTATGACGCTGGAATTTTATATGTAAAGGATATTGTGGATGAAAATGGTTTCAGGCCACTTGAATACTTTTCAAATTTACTTGTTAAAAAAATAATTTATATTGCGAATACTTGACATTAAAGAATATTTTTCAGAAATACATGAAGCAGTTCGATTTCAGCTTATCAAAATATACAAATATTAGAAATACGTACTTTTTCCTTTTTAACGATAATCAATATCGATGCATCAAAGACAATAAATGCAAGTTCTACTATGAAATTTTTAAAAACAAAAAATTTGTAAAGCCATGCTACATCAATAAATACAAAAAAGAATTCGGTATCCAAAGTCAATATTTTTCTAAAATATATTTTTCCAAAATTGTCAAAGCTTTTGACAAAAAAATTTCTGATTTTAACTACAGAATTCTTAACAATCTTCTTAATAATAGGAGTTACTTAAGCAAATGGAATGACATATCTAATCTGTGTCCATATTGTAAGGAAAGTGTTGAAACAAACAAGCACTTAATATACGAATGTCAAAATGTGCAAAGAATATGGAATACTGTCAGTGAAATTTTAAAATTTAATATATCATGGAAACTTATAGTTGTAGGATTCTACAATGAAGTTAACGAAAATACGCTATTATTAAATAATCTTATATCATTTATAGCCCTTAGAATATATAAATACAAAATGATGTGTAGACTAGAAGAAATAGCTGAATCCCCATCAGCAATTCTTTGTCATGTTAAAAAATCCTTAAGTATGTTTTATTGTGCTCTTAAAAGATCAAAATATAAGAACTGGAAAATAAATATATTTTAAAAAATTGAAGAAAGTTTGTGATACAAATTATTTAATTGATCAATTTCTATGCATGTACATATGAATATATGTTTAGTATTTATAAGATGTGTTTATGTTATATAACATTTTATGTATTATATATATAGAATACAATATTTAAAGAAAAAAAATCAAATTTGTCTGGAAAAAAAATTGATACCATCTTTACATCCAAAGGTGACCTGGCCTTTGGAGTGTATAATTGTAGGGGGACTTTTGGACTTGTTGCGTTGGTGCCCCCTACGAATATTTATTGTAAAATTGCTGTAGTTTGATATACATAAATGTACTTTAAACAAATATGAAATATGAATGAAACATTTATTTTTGTACCCATAAAATGTGAACTGTCATGTATGCATTTTTTGTTTATTCTATTCTACCCTACTGTATTTAACCACATAATTACTATCTTTGATATGTACAATTATTTTCTTTTTTTCTATCCGATCCAGGGAGCTCCTGGCACCCCAGGTGAGGGTATATTTGCGAGGGCCTCTGAGGAGGCATTACCTCCACAGTTATTGTTATTATGTTATTGAATAAAACTTTTTAAAAAAAAAATTAAAAAAAAAAATATATATATATATATAGTTTTTGATATTCTCTATCTGACCTGAAAGTTTCATAAAAATCTAGCGAGCTGTTTCCGAGTAATCGCGTGCACAAAATCGGTAGGAAAAAAAAATAATAAAAATAGTGGAAAAGAAACCTAAGAATAACAGTAAGGTCTTCCGCTGAAGACAGAAGACCTTAAAAATAGTGGAAAAGAAACCTAAGAATAACAAGAAGGTCTTCCGCTGAAGACGGAAGACCTTAATAAAAATAGTGGAAAAGAAACCTAAGAATAAAAGATTAAAAAGAAACAATGCAATAACTATAAGGTCTTCCGTGAAGACCTTAACAATCAATAATGCAGATATTACTTCTATGTATTATTATACCCCCCGCTTGAAAAGCGGGAGGGTATATAGTAATCGTTAATTCGTCCATCCGTCTGTTATGCTTTAGGGTACCATTCTCTTATCCGCAACTCCTCTCATACCACTGAAGGAAATTAAATGAAACTTTCACAGAATCTTTATTACATATTGCCTTTGTGTACCTCCTATTTTACTTTTTGATCTGACATATATTTTGGATTTTCCAGAGCAAAACATAGACACTGCCATTATATTCATATGGGAGGCGGGGGTATCATTTAGTGAGCTCATTGCTCACAGTACCTCTAGTTCCATTAATTTAAAGGAGCTCCAAATACTTTTTTTGAAAATCCATTTATATTTTAACCATTTATATTGACATGTATTTTAAAAGAGCGAATTGTACGATTTCATACTTTTGTCATTATTAATTATGATAGTTCGTTTAATAACGGAAGTCTTACTTCCCAGAGAACACATGGCTCTACAAAATGAAACATCTTCATAAAGTTTACGTCAAAATATTGATAGTTTAGTGAAATGGTAGATTTGCAATAAATATTTTACAGATGATTGAAATTTTGACCGCAGTGAAATATATGGCGATAACAAACAGTGTTCGAGCTCAAATGTCCATTCAAACAATACAAATCAGGAAAGAGTATAAATCCCTTTCATAATTCTGAGGTCTTAGGGAAGGGACATGGAATATAAAGGTACGATAATATTTTATGGTTTTTATCAAATCAAACATAGTACTACTTGTTAACTAAATATCTTTATAACAAAACCACAAACAAACCTTATATTATGTTTTTTTTAAAGAAATGCAATCTCAAATCTGGAAAATTTGGAAAAATAAAAAAAAACACTATTTCTAAAGAAATATTTTGTTAACCACCAAACCTCTGCAGTTATCAAAGCTATAGGTGTATTTATGTATATAAATAAATTTATGTGATCTAAATGCGTACAAAATTGCGTATTTTTATTAATCACCATTTTGTGTGAATTCATGGGTCCCGATGGGATTTTAGGTTTTATATTTAAGCGCCCTCTGGTTACGGCTATTACCCTTATCCTTATCAAAATAACTTTTGACTCCGAAAAATTGATCTACAAGTTTTACCCACCTCCACCCCATCAGTCCTCCATACCTATTTTTATTGTAGAAAATACATGTGCTAGTTTCTTTTTTATAAGGTGCCTTTTGTTATTGTTGTAGAAAATATATGTACTAGTTTTCTTTTGCATAAGGCGTGGGATATTTTTGGGCCCCACCTCCTGCTGCATTCTGAAATTGTAAAATCTCTCATTTCATTTGACATTTGTAATAAATGCTCTATACACACACTCTCTCTCTTTATTATTTAACATGCTGCAGAACAGAGCTACAGATGTGCTTCAGGTTCATATGGACCGAATTGTTCATCAGCTTCAGTATTAAAGCACATAAGTGTTATTCTAATTTCTTCAGACTTAGAGTAATTTAAGAGAAAAATACAGATAACAAATGATAACCAGGCTCGAAAGTCCGCTTTAATGCTGAGCAAACAAGGGCCACTAAAAACTTTATAAGTGAAATTGATGTCATGGGGTAATGGAGTTTTATGAAGAGACTTACTTTTGCCATCGACGACTGACTTTTACATTTTAAACAGAGACAAACTCCTATCACTAAAATGTAAAAGTCAGCTGTCGAATGTAAAAGTAAGTCTCTTCATAAAACTCCAATAAGCACCCTGTCGACCTGTCACGACCGCTGTGTGTTCTTTGACATTTGATGTGACAAAATTGTGCGAAAAAACCAGAAATTTTGATGGATTCGGAAAGCAAAAGGAAGAGAACATCGTTTCAACCATTTACCTAACTGAGAAGTTTTGTCGGAATTTGTTTGCTGATGCAATGTCAGACCCTACCCGCAAGTGTAAGATGCCTTCCCATAAAATTTAGGCTTCCTCATCGAAATACAAACTTGATTATTCTGAAACTTTTCAAGGTAGACTCAAGATCTGCAAATATGTAGAAAAAATTTACGTTCAGATAAAAAAGAAAGGCTGTATGATAGTTAGGCAGAAAACTAGACTGACAAATGGACAGACGAAAAGGAAACAAAACATATAATCTCTATATATATACCGGGTATACAAATATAGTTTGAAATAACACTTGCAGACAACATAGCTTTAAACATTTCAAAGCGACAAAAATTCAAATCAGAATTTTCCTCACTATCTCCGATGCAAATATTTTAATACCAATAACCAATAATCTCAACATAATAGAAAAAATTCCGAAGAGATTTTCTTTGCCTAACTTCTCTTGTCTTGATATCCGATAACTATTTATTGACATGTTGTCCTTTTTTACAGAAGAAATTTAAGAAAAAATTACTGAGTAGATAAAGCTGAATATACAAGCAATGCGTTAATCATTTTCCATTTACATGTAATTAAATCGAAGGATATATAAAGTTCATATGCGTACCACACCTAACATTTTAAAATTATTAAATTTGGAAGGAAGCACAACATTGAACACTGTTAAGCTACGGGGTTGAAACTTTTGTTTAGTTGTAAAAATACATTATGAGGTCGTGTTAGTTTAAATTAAGTTACACATTTCATATGACAAAGGTAACCGTATGAGGTTTGGATCGCTTAATAGAAATATTTAACTTCGGGCACCATATTTGAAATTTAATATAGATAACACATTAAGAACAAAACATGAATACAGGAATATTCCTGTGAAATTTGGGGCATCGTCGAGTCATTGGCCTCCTCAATATGGTGCGTTAATGACATTTAAAAGTCTCAAGTAGGAGTAATTACAGTGTGTAATGTTTGTTGAAACCACACAAATGGCTTTTTGGAGACCATGTAATTAGACTGAAATACCAGATATGCAACTGTGGTTAAAACAGAATAATCCAACTCATTATAAAACGGGGATAATGGAATGTGCGATGTTTACCATATGATTAAGATCATGATATTTTTATATAAGTGTTCAATCCTTGTTTTGCTTGCTGTACCATTTGTGAAGTTAAACCATAATAAATTTCGTGGCGGTTTGTTATCCTGGAATGCCATTAATGAAACACTGGTAAGTTCCGTTTTAATTGTACACAGTCAAATGGTTGATTATAAACTGAGTGGTCTTCACGAGCTGAAAGTTTTTAAATTGTAAAAAAAAATTGCATAAGGCAGATGACTACTTATTTAATGGAAAGACTGTTTTACTCACAGATAACAGTTCATCACCGTCTGTCGTTTGTGTATAATGACAGTTGTCCGAATAGGAACTCGAGTGCCAGCATTAGTTGTTTCCCTGGAGGTGGCTGTAATGATAGTACAACAATGATAGGACTGTGTACAGAGTCTAATTCCACTGAAAACTGGGCAGATAGTGAAGGAGACACCAATTTTACAATCACTAACTCGACGTCAACAAATGTATACTTTATTGGGTATGATCGGATTAGGTCTATTCATGTATTTGTATATAAACCAGGATCTCTATTGGTATTAGCACATGAACAATGCTTAAAGTTTGACTACCAATGCATTTACACATAATTGATGTTTATATTACAATTATATTATGATTATTATATTATGTTAATTACATCCAAAAAGGCATTATAGAAGTTTATTAAATGATAAGGAATTTTGGTGCTCTCTGATTGGTCTAGACGCCATTTACTGGTGTGTACCTCAGAGTGAGTTCACCTCAAATGACGTTCTGGGAGGTTTATTCGGGTTTTCCCTCTCGATCAACCATAGATTTGCTTACAGCTTTTTCGACCAATCAGATTGCGTGTTTCAAAGCATGTGTCGGTGTGAATGTAAACATGTCAGACGCCATTACCAAGGAGATTACGAACTTTTGAAAGTAAATGGTTGAGTATTTATTGTTTATTAATATTGTTTTTAACTTTTTAACTAATATTTGTTTAGCTGTTGAAGTATATCAACATGTAAATAGTGTAATTACACTTTACACTATGGATGTTTATAAATATTTGATGGAGACAAGAATGAAAGAGTCAGCAGTGTTGTAAAATTCCTCATCATTTAATAAAACGGTTATTGACTTTTGAATTCGGTCTACTCGTGACTATACAGACCTGGTCAGGTATTGGTTAACCTCGGCCTTCGGCCTCGGTCAACCAATACCTGACCAGGTCTGTATAGTCAGGAGTAGACCTCATCAAAAGTCAATAATTGTATAATATCACCACCAAAACCCCGCCAACTATCTCTTGAAAAGAGTTGCTGCAAATGGTTTTGCTATTTATAGCAATCTCCCTTATCTGTTCACATCTTTGTGAGCTACATGTACTATAATATTGTTTTTATTTGAAAAGGTAATTATAACAATTATATCAGGGTTTGAATAACATGAAATTCGTTGTAATATCAATGTCATAACTTTTGAAAACTTAACAGTTTGTAATTTCCTGTTGTACTACCTCATTTTTTGTTGTTGGAAGATCAAGACTTCAAAGTAAAACCAACCTCAGCTCATAGTTATTTTTTTCAGCACGCCAGAGTTTCTTTTTCTGTCACATATGACATATGACATTTTACTGTCGACAAATATTTCTCTTCGGATCCAGAGAATTCTCAAGAATTCAATCAAATATTTTATTTAAAGCGATGTTGTTCAGAATGAATTGAGATTTCCCAGTCATAGAAAAATAATTTAGATCGTTAGACAATAAGATCAAGAGGGCTTATGAAACCGAATGGGACTGTAAGTCAACCAACTTGGTAAACCTCTCTCGTCTTCAGAAATTCATACATGTAAAACTATCATTAAACGGCTGTTACAAAATTGATTTTTTTTTTTAATCAAAAATTATATTTAAAAAATGCCGTTACTTCATTAATTGGGATTTGGGGTTAGGATGGCAACAATTATCGAGATAAGCTAATTCAGCTTTTTCCTGACAAGTACAGTTGTAAACATTTTTTTACCTGGTTGAAACTCTTTTTCCAAAGGATGGTAGGATATGTCAATATTCGTCTCTGGCGTATACTCTGGCGTGCTGAAAAAAATAACTATGAGCTGAGGTTGGTTTTACTTTGAAGTCTTGATCTTCCAACAACAAAAAATGAGGAAGTACAACAGGAAATTACAAACTGTTAAGTTTTCAAAAGTTAGGACATTGATATTACAACGAATTTCATGTTATTCAAACCCTGATATAATTGTTATAATTACCTTTTCAAATGAAAACAATATTACAGTACATGTATGTCATGGTTTTCCTTTTGAGCTCACCTGAGCTGAAAGCTCAAACAAGGTTTTCTGATTACATTTTGTCTGTAGTCCGTCTGTCGGCCAATTTCAACCAAACTTGCCACATAGAATCCTCGGGTAAAGGGGATTCAAGTTAGTTCAAATGAAGGGCCCATCCTCCTTCAAGAGTGGATAATTAAAAAATAGTAAAAATTTGGTTCTTCTTAAGAACCATTAGGTGGTAAAAGTTGAAACTAATGTGGAAGCATTCTCAGGTAGAGAAGATTCATATTTGTTCAAATCACGATCCTTGGGGATAGGGTGGGGTCACAATGGACGAACAAAGTTTAACATAGGAATGTTTAGGAAAAATCTTTAAAAATCTTCTCAAGAACAACAAAGCCATGCGTAGTCATATTTATATGAAAGCATTCTTAGGTAGTGTAGATTCAAGTTTGTTCAAATCATAACTCCCAGGGGTAAGGTGAGGCCAAGATATATCCACAGTAGGCCAAAGACATAATTATGTAAGCATCCTAAGTAAATGTAGATTCAAGTTAATTCAAATCATAACCCTACCACCCCTTTCCACCCCTTTCCACCCCCTTCCACCTTTTAGGAGTAGGTCGGGACCACATTGCATTTTAAGCTTTCCAAAAAATTGATATTTTTGCTCTCTTCCTAGCCACACTGCTCAGGTGAGCGATGTGGTCCATATGCCTCTTGTTTTTCTTTCCGATCTTCGGGACTTTGTTCAAAGATTGCTTGTTACATGTACATGTATTCTGGAAGAAAAATAATATATGGAGATAATAAACCGTACTCAAGCTCAAATATGTATTGAAATAAATTAATACACATTTGGAGCAGAGCTAAGACGGATCTTTAAAATGTCACAGATGGAACTTTAATTATATGCCCGTATGTTTCCAGTAGATTTGATTACTTTAATTAACGGTAGATGACATCCGAGGATTCTTTGAATTAGGTTTAGGAACAATTCATTGTACATACATTTTTAAGAGGTATTTCACCGTGTTGTTTATACCATTGTTATTTTGTCATATATTTGCCATTGATCTTATTTTTGGTGAAATCTAATTTTCTGTACGTTTCAAGAAATTATTATAACGGCTAGTTTTTGACATTTTCGCAGATATTCGGGTTTTGCTTGGCTTTTATTAGCATATTCTGCAAACTCATGGAGCTTGCGAATGACAGTAGACGTCTCCACAAGAACCGACGACGGAAGAATCAACCAGTCTCCTGTTTCAGCAATGGCCTCATCAATCATTGTTGGTAATTCGTGCAATGGCGAGCAAATAGTAATACCAGGTTTGAATTTACCTCACTCCCACCATTTTTACTTTTAACAGTTCTGCCTCACTTAAGTCAGAATACAGAATCAAAATACATATTTTTTATTAGTTTGTAAATCGTGAAAATAATGGATAATGCGATCATCTTCTTTATAATCCCCCCCCCCCCCCGCTTTTGCGAAAGCGAGTGGACATTAAATCTTATTCGTCTCACAGTCTGTCTGTCTGACACAAAAAAATAACATTGGTCATAATTTTTGAAGGAGAAGAAATAGAGTTTTCATGTTTTACATGTGCATTACCTGTGGGAAGACCTTTCCAAATGTATTTTTATTTCAGACGGCGTAACTTTGACCTTGAGATTTGATTTACTTTTCTAAAAAAATAACATTAATTGAATTTTTTCGAAACTTTAAAAAAAGAAAAGATAAGGCTTTTATATTACGTATGTATATTACCTGTGACAATGCCTTCCAAAAATTTACTACCCTGTGAACTTGATCTTAAAGTTAACTTCAAAGGGTTTTCATATTTGATATGTGCACATATTTGATATGTGCATTACCTGTAACAATTAAGATGTTTCTGGGGATGCTATGATTTTTTACCTATTGACCTTGATTTTCATATTTACTTAATTTTCAAAAATGTTACCGTTGGTGATTACTTCTGAACACTGAAAGAAATACATAGTGATTTTAACTAGTGTGCCTCGTAAAGCGTTTGTCGTAATTAGTAATTTTTCTGTTTACTGGCTAAGATAGTTAGAAGTGGAGCGGGAGTTGTATAGATACTTATATACCTAGTGAAAGTTACTTATCAATTCTAGATTTACTAATCTCATCTAGTAAATCTACCCAATACCTAGTAAAACTACTTTTAAGGTAGTGATTGTATGGACAGTAAATTTACTAGTCTTCTTAGTACTTCAACTAGTTTTTTTCTCAGTGAATGATATTTGATAGGGCGTTCATATTTGACACAATATGCCACAAATACTAGTGGTAAAATCCCATCCACTAAGACTCCGAAAGCGTAGGACCACACTTCTTTGAATTTGTTTGTTCATTTTTGTTTAAAGATAATACACGTGTCTTTATGATTTTTAATTCGAAAAAAAGCTTTTTGTTAGATTTAAAATACATATGTTCTACATCTTTTGAAATATTCGGAGAAAAAATGTATAAAACAAAGTATTTTATTTAAGTATTTGCTATTCACTTCAGTGAAAATAGAGCACCGATATGCTGAGAAGACTCCTTTTATCAAACGAAAGGCCATTTCTTTTCAAGACAGATAATAAGAATAATCTTAGAGAAAACCATTGAAAAGGATCTTCTTCTCCAGAACCGCTTGGTCAGCAGAGATAACTAATAAAGATACATGTATGTAAAAGCGTAATATGTAAAACTAAAGAGGCCACAATGAGGGATCGAAAGTAAAAATTGTAATGGAATTGTAGAAGCTTTAAACATCAAAAGTGATTTGCATGTACCTGTTTATTTTATGAAGACATGCCGTTTTTACATTCAAAGTGGCGGATTACGACGGAGATAGTGTACGGTGTCGTCTCTCCACAACAACAGAAGAGTGCGGTGATATTTGTAACAAGACAAGCATTCTTGCCGGGATTTTAGAAGTAAGTTTTTTTAAATATCAAGCACAGAGAATTTTTATACTGCAAGCTTACACATACATGGTTAACTATTATTACTGGTGTTGGCAAATTCGGACGATTTTTAGTAACCGGTTACTCGCTTAATCTTCCGATCGAGTACCCGGTTATTCGGTTGATTATTTGATATAGTTTTCGTATTTATTTATTATCTCATCCTTTTACTATTGGTAGAAATAAACCACAAATGTAAGATATATGAACTTAATTTACAATTACAAACTAAAAAAAAGAACAAAAAAAAACACACACACACACAATATCTTAAAAGAATTTTAATTTTAAATGTCACTTGAAACGGGGATTATGTTTTTGTTTAAGAAAATAATTGTATCAATATATGAAGAGGACATAAATTGGCATCGAGGAGAATTAACATGCCCTGTAATTGCTGGTGTTTTGTTGAGTCTTCTGCAAGTTGCTGGTTATAAAATTATTTTTCAATTTAACGTAATTTAGCATACTTGTAGTACAACTCCGATTTCATAATTTGAATTTGACAGATTTTGAGTTCTTTAACATTATTTCCAAGCTGTTTGCGGCGGCATCTTGTTAAAGTATGTTCCTCTAACGCAGGTCTATTAAAATGAGGTAATTATAACTCAAAAGCCATAAATTAAACTAATAAAAACAAATCGTTCTTATTTGTGAACCACCAGAGCAAGGCTAACGGTAATTAAATTAGGGAAATGTGTCAATATACATTTACAAATAACATAAAAATTGTTACATACGTATTTAATACGAAAAATTTATTTTTATCCGAGTAATCGAATAGCAGTTTTACTCGCGTCGTTCGACGGTTAACCGGTTAACCGGGTACTCGTTGCCAACACTAATTATTACTGACTTATATGAGCATAAATGTCTGTTTAGTGTTATTCATTTGGTCATCTCTAGTACAGTAACTAGATCTATTCTTATTTACTTTAAAATTAACATGTTCTCCCAATTTATTTTCTTAAACTTATCAGCGTTAGATTTTTACATTTCAGTTCTCTTATTTGTAGACGCTGTGTGAATTTACGATAGTTGGCTATCCATCAGATGGAAATTATGCCATGGCGATACAAATAGAAGATTTCAAAAACTCTACTTCAACTACTCCCCTGAGTAGCATTCCTTTACAATTCATTATAACAGTAACTTCTGACGGTGCCTGTTATTATTCACCAAGTTTTATCTCCCCTACTCCTACAGAGGGAACTGTCATACAAGCTCACAACGGCTCATTACAGTTTAAAGCAAGAGTTAGGATATCTTTTTCACCTGAAAGGTATAAAATATATGCATATTTTCTTGGAAATTTTATAATCGTAAATTGCTTCATTTTCTTAGTTAGAAACAAATTCCAGAACCCAAGAAGCCTTTTCACTGTTTTTTTTTTTTTTTTTAAGTTTAGCATTTTAATATTCCACTGTAATCATTTCTCTTTATTGAATTTATTTAAGCATTGAATACATATTTTTGGATGTCTTCGGTCCTATGACACACCTGGCCGTGCCGACAAATTGAACACCGCGCGTTAGCGCGGTATGATGATTTGTCGGCACGGCCAGGTGTGTTATAGGACCGAAGATATCAAAAAGATGAATTCAATGCTTATATTTACATTCTTTAATTTTCCATTTTCATAATTTGGTATTTCGTTAATCTTAAATGTGAATTTAGCGCCCTTCAAAACTGCCGTGGTTAATAGATGTAAGAGCCGTTTGTGACGTCAAATGGCGTTAAATGACGTTGCAAAGTTAAATAACGCAAACAAACATTGCGAGTAAGAAAAATGACAAATTAATTCTTAATGCACATTACGTTAATTTTTCAGGGTTATAGTTTGTCATTAAATTGAAATAAAACATTTTACATTTAGGTGTTCCCAGATTATACAAAATGCATATAGTTCCTAGTGTGTATTCTAACGCGCGGTGACAATTAAGGTTTCTCGTGTGTTACAGAAATTTGAACGTCGTGGATTTCTAATGCATTTCATAAGGAAAATTACACTGAATGTAAATATTTGCTATTAGTCAATTTTTCTGATGCGAATTTCGGAAGTTAATATGATTTGACAGAACACAGTGTGTGGGTTTTATATGACTTTATTCTTTTACAGTATATCTAGATTTCATATTTTGTCACCACTTGATTTTACAATATCTGCCATCTCCAATCCCGTGCTTTACGAATATGAGACAACTATTTCAAAGACTGATATACTAGCTGAGGAAATAGGAATACATGTCGTGTGTTTTTCAGCAGAATCAAACTATAGGTAAACTAATTTATTTCGTTACAAAATATATAATTTGTGTTGGAAAACCTTATAAAATACATAAATATAGAGTTATGATAGAATTTTTCATTTATGTTTTTTAGAATTTTTTTAAAAATTTGTTACAAATATAATATTACTTCTGAACACAGTGTAATTAAATATTTCAAAAATTATATTTACACTTGCAGACGCTCCACTGGATCCCGATGTATAACGGTGAATATTACAGGTAGATCATAATATATTGACTTATATTATACTTTCATGTAAATTACTTGAATCTGATTCGTCGAGAAATACAGTTGTATTTGATAAAAAACACTACTACCCGCTGAATAATGAAGCCACGCCCTCCTGCGTGGCAACAGTCAACATTGCTTGACGACGGGTGGTATTACAAAAAATAGCGACTGCGCGGAGTTTATGCGCGCATGGTTCACTGTAATATGTATTTGTATAAAACATTCAGTATAATATAATAAATATTGCATGTAGTTGAGTGTGACATTGAAAATTTTCACCCCTCGAAAACCATTGTATATGTTCATGTATGGGTAGGCATATCGTATAAAACAAAATCTATTTTATTAGTCTTTCGAAAGTGTGAAAAATTAATAAATTTTAAAGCATTTAACGTATAATCTAAAATCACCTCTACTATAAAGAAAATTAAGAATAAATTATGATAATTATTTTTCCATGGACTTGCAATTATTCCATATGGTTTCCCTGCAACCAGGAGATTGTATCCTAATATTTAAAGTCTTAAATTGTTAAGTATAATTTTAGTTTCTACACATATAGTTCAATTAAAAAAAATTTAATTAAGGTTCGATATGCTTATTTTGGCACCTCAGAACATTTAATATTACTTTTTTGCCTTTACTTTTGTGTATAAATTAAGAATTACACCTTTGACGTATTCGAAATTCCCTTCAATGTTATTTTATCCAAATACTCTATAGGACACATATATTTTAAGTCTATTTAAAAAAAACTTCAAACTTTTGATTACCGGTAAGGCAAAGTTTCAAATTGCTTAACATAATCAATTATTTTACCTTTCTGCACTCACAAAATGTGATTTTTCTGGCACTGAAAATTTAACAAGCAAGAAATATTTTTTTTTAAGTCTTAAGGGGGCCGACTATAGTTTCCATTGCGCAATATTTCGCGCATCATAGCAAAATGAAGAGTATTTACTGTCTGAATGCAACTTTTTTCGCTTAATTATTAAAATTAAACAAAATTAAGAAATTATAGGTATAAAAGTGTAATTACAATTTGATATAACTGATTTTTTAACCGATTTTGCAAATGATAGGTAGGTTGACGTCGTTGCAGTGTGTTATTGACGTTATGATAACCTGCAGCTCTTAAAGAAAGGGGTAATAAAAATATTATTAAAGAAAAAGTAATAAACATACGCTCTTGAAATTTAAAACATAGAAATTTGAGAATATTTCCAATATTTTTATTATGTTTTCATGTGAATCATTTGTGTACGTCATATTTTGTAATCTCTATAAAAATAGTAAAATTTGCTAAGCTTTTGCATTTTGAGATGCCCCCTCTGGTAACAAGACGGTAGAATTTTGTGTTTCTAACATATATTGTATAATGTAGTATTACTCATCAAATATTTTAGTTTGAACAAAATGCCTATTGTAGTATTTGTATAATTGGCTTTAAAGTGCCAAAAATTGGCATTTTCCTATATAATCCTATAGTAAATTTATCAGTATTTTGAGATGGTCCCTCAAAAATACCTGGACGGTAGATTTCCCCCAAACTTTGCATGTACTCTGAAGTTAATGTAAGTTATATACGGTATAAAAATGAAGAGTTTCGCTATTGTAGTTTTCCCAAAATAAAACTATAGTCGGCCCCCTTAAACTTTTGATTGATCAAAGTTATTTTATATATTCAGAAGAGAAAAACAAAAAAGGGTATGTGATGTAAATTTTTAGATATTACTAATAAAGTGTTAATTTTATGTTAAAGTTGGGTCGAATTTTACCTGGGCTTTAAGAATATATCAACTATAGTTGTCATGATATGAAAGAATTCATAAGAAATCATTAAATAAATATTTCAGAACCAGCATAAAACTTTCACTGGGAAAAACAGCTCTGTGTCCAACTAATCAAGGAAAAATAGGAGTCTACCGGTAAATTTAGTAGTACTGTTTAATTTTCAAAAAAAATCTTCTAAAAGACACTGCCTCCACAAAACATAGTTCCTTGCTTAATCCTATTTTAATGGGAAAAAATAACGGGTTTTGCATAAGATAAAGTTTAATTTGCATTGTAGAATCCAGATTTAATGTTAAAGAACTTTAAGATACTATAGAATTTCAGAAATAGAGGTCCTGACCAAATTCTGCATAAAAGCACCGGATCGAACCTCCTTAACATGAGGGCTGTTTGTATAATGGAAACAAATGCATGCACTTATATGTGTTAAAATATCACGCCAAAATATACGTGCTGCAGATGTCGCGGAAGCAATGCATACCCATTGTATAACTTGATTTACGTAATCGAGTCCGTCAAATATTTAAAATGACACATAGCATAATTTATGAAGTCTAGAAAAGGGGCTTTAAAATATTCAATGAATATAATTCCTTAAAAAGGGGGACATATCGCCACATAAAGTGTCTGGCGTTACCTGATGTCTATGAACTGTTAATTGTTCATTCAATACGAAATATTCTTCAACTGGCATATTTCACCTGATGTCTGAGATTCAGAACATTTGATATCCTTTGTTTAATAGAAAGTTGCGATTATATAAAATAAGTTTTACAGATATTGATGAATGTGCCGATAGTCCTTGTCAGAACAATGGAACATGTGCAGACCTCATCAATGGTCATGAGTGTAGCTGTGCTCCTGGATTTAATGGAACCAATTGCAAGGAGGGTAAGTCAAATGAAAATGATTTGAAATGACGGTGAATAAAACTAGTTCAAAATCAGTTATGCATAACAAAAAGCATCTGTTACAGATATAGACGAATGTGCTGAAAATCCATGTCAGAACAATGGAACATGCCTTGATCTCATTAATGATTACCAATGTAACTGTGCTGCAGGATTCAATGACTCTAATTGTACAAACAGTGAGTATATATAACGAAGCATGTTTTTTTTTCAAGGAAATGTTGACTTCTTCTGGAAGATATATTTTTTCTTTAGGGGTCATTCAAGTTGTACTAGTATTTTAATCCTTATCTCAGAATTCTTCAAGTCTGACGTCTCACACCAGTCTATGTATTCCACCACAGACAAGGATATTTTAAAAGTATTCTACCCCTTGACGTTCCTTGACTTAACCCCTGTTTATCCTGACCACTTTCTGGCGTCCCCTGAATACCGTCTATTCCTGAATATCTCCTGACAATTTCCTTACCGCACTGCTCTCACTTAGTCATTACTTGAGATTTTTCTTGAACAATATCATGACATGATCCAACATCTGATGTTTTGGGAAGCCATGTTTGCTGTGCTCCAATTTTGTATTGTTTTGAGAAGTTTTGATCTTGAATACTGTTCGCTATCTCCATATGTTCCATAAAAGAAGTCTTTTTCAGTCGTGCAGTCAATTTTTTCCGGGCTTGAAAACTACACACCTTCATTTTCAAAGTCTCGTCATCATTTTAAAATCCTTTGCCAGTGTGGAAATAAGTTACCGATCCAATTGCAAACCATTACTTGGAAATTTTAGAAATTCTTTACCAGTAGTTAATGAAATGACTGATTCGATTGAATATTGCAAACCATTGAATATTCTTCATCTCTTAATCAGATCTTATGCATTTCATTTGAAACAGATATCGATGAATGTGCAGAAAATCCTTGTCAAAACAATGCAACATGTGTGGACCTCATCAATGATTACAACTGCAGTTGTGTTGCAGGATTTAATGGAACAAACTGTGAGGAGAGTTAGTAAATTAATGAACCTAAGACAAATGAAACTTTAGATCACATTTTAAATATCACAACTCTGCGAATTCTGAAACGTCAATGCTTAGAACATTGGCTGTCCTTTGTATAAGTGAAAGTTGGGATTACATGAAAGACGTTTTTACAGATATTGATGAATGCGCCGATAGTCCTTGTCAGAACAATGGAACATGTGCGGACCTCATCAATGGTTATGAGTGTAGCTGTGCTCCTGGATTTAATGGAACCAATTGCGAGGAGGGTAAGTCAAATAAATATGATTTGAAATGACGGTGAATAAAACTAGTTTAAAATCAGTTATGCTTAACAAAGAGCATCTGTTACAGATATAGACGAATGTGCTGAAAATCCATGTCAGAACAATGGAACGTGCCTTGATCTCATCAATGATTACCAATGTAACTGTGCTGCAGGATTCAATGACACTAATTGTACAAACAGTGAGTATATATAACGAAGCATGTTTTTTTTTTCAAGGAAATGTTGGCTTTTTCTGGAAGATATATTTTATCTTTTAGGGGTCATTCAAGTTGTACTAGTATTTTAATCCTTATCTCAGAATTCTTCAAGTCTGACGTCTCACACCAGTCTATGTATTCCACCACAGACAAGGATATTTTAAAAGTATTCTACCCCTTGACGTTCCTTGACTTAACCCCTGTTTATCCTGACCACTTTCTGGCGTCCCCTGAATACCGTCTATTCCTGAATATCTCCTGACAATTTCCTTACCGCACTGCTCTCACTTAGTCATTACTTGAGATTTTCTTGAACAATATCATGACATGATCCAACATCTGATGTTTTGGGGAGCCGTGTTTGCTGTGCTCCAATTTTGTATTGTTTTGAGAAGTTTTGATCTTGAATACTATTCGCTATCTCCATATGTTCCATAAAAGAAGTCTTTTTCAGTCGTGCAGTCAATTTTTTCCGGGCTTGAAAACTACACACCTTCATTTTCAAAGTCTCGTCATCATTTTAAAATCCTTTGCCAGTGTGGAAATAAGTTACCGATCCAATTGCAAACCATCACTTGGAAATTTTAGAAATTCTTTACCAGTAGTTAATGAAATGACTGATTCGATTGAATATTGCAAACCATTGAATATTCTTCATCTCTTAATCAGATCTTATGCATTTCATTTGTAACAGATATCGATGAATGTGCAGAAAATCCTTGTCAAAACAATGCAACATGTGTGGACCTCATCAATGATTACAACTGCAGTTGTGTTGCAGGATTTAATGGAACAAACTGTGAGGAGAGTAAGTTAATTAATGAACCTAAGACAAATGAAACTTTAGATCACATTTTAAATATCACAACTCTGCGAATCCTGAAACGTCAATGCTTAAGAACATTGGCTGTCCTTTGTATAAGTGAAAGTTGGGATTACATGAAAGACGTTTTTACAGATATTGATGAATGCGCCGATAGTCCTTGTCAGAACAATGGAACATGTGCGGACCTCATCAATGGTTATGAGTGTAGCTGTGCTCCTGGATTTAATGGAACCAATTGCGAGGAGGGTAAGTCAAATGAAAATGATTTGAAATGACGGTGAATAAAACTAGTTTAAAATCAGTTATGCTTAACAAAGAGCATCTGTTACAGATATAGACGAATGTGCTGAAAATCCATGTCAGAACAATGGAACATGCCTTGATCTCATCAATGATTACCAATGTAACTGTGCTGCAGGATTCAATGACACTAATTGTACAAACAGTGAGTTTATTAAAATACGAGTGAAGAGTAAATTTTTACTAAAAATTGCAAAAACAATCTTGACAGTAAGTCAATGAGTACGAATGTCAGTGTGATGTTGAATTCAATGGTACAGATTGCTCTACAAGTATGTGGAATGGCAAGAATGGCAGGATTTTTTCTTTAAAAATTTTAAGAATGCAAATTAAAATTGATATATTCAAATTTATTCTTATCAGTCGAATGAAATGTATTTGAGCACTATCATCATCATTTGCACTTCAAATATGTTCTTGAATGACACCTCTAAAATATGTTTCTCTGTGGGGGATTTTTGTGACCATTTTAGATATTTTCTTTGAAGAATCAAATTTAATGAAATATAAGCTTGTCTTGAATCTCGGAGTAACAACAAAAGAAAATCTAAGCATAGTAGAAGATTATATCAACGTAAAGAATAAAGTTCAAATAGCAGTGAGTATTAATATCTCTTTTGAATTTAAAGCAACTTAAAATTATCATTTATAACAAACATTCATATTATATTGATTATATTTTACAGTTAACTGATGTTTACAGTAAAAGAATCGTTGGATCAAAAGTCATCATAAAAAGCTTGAGGTATGTTTTCAAAGCAGCATATTATTACTTTTTAAATAAAGATGTATATATGAAAGTAAAGGTTATATTTACCCCAAGGGTATAATTATTTATTATTACTTTACAAGTCTGCGGCAATTTACTCGAATATCCTCGAATATCAGTTTCTCCATCTCTCCATTATATATCAAAAATATTTAATTTTTGGCTAACAAGTTTTTACTGATTTCAAAAAATATATTAGAAGCAAAATTATTTTCTCAAAGTTGTGATATCAACATTTCAATATTCAAACTTTTTAAAGTAGAGTATGTCAAAAACAAATTAATTGAAGTAATGTGTTGAAAAATCTTCAGAAAATGAGCGATTTTTTAAATTTATATAAATGAAATAGGATAATTTTTACTTCCTCCTCAAGTATCCAAATGGATTTTATTTGGATAAAAGTTAAAAGGCCCATAGTTGATATTAGTGGGTCGTCTTGGGTGTAAATAAATTGTTTATTTCATCAAAGATTACTGATATGCATGTGAAGTGAAACATTAAATGCTATACATAAAATGACAATGAAAATAATTTCAAATAATCAAATTATGTTTACCAATACGAGATCCTTCAGATATAGGTTACATTTTTGTGCATAAGAATAAAAGTAGATTAAGGATGTTTTAACTGATATAAATTGTTAATAAATATGTCCTTCATCTGCATATTTTCAAATTGTCAAAATTCGGTTAAGAGGGATTTTTTATCACTACAAATATTTATATCGCTGACATATGTTTAAATTGAGTGGCAAAATCATTGTATTGACAGCTATAATTCTTTATTCTTATTTTCCTAATATTTGATATAAAAAAATCATTTGTTTATTCAACAGGAAAGGAAGTTTAATTGTTGACTTTGACCTCGTCATACCAGACAGTCCAACATCAAAAGTACTCGTCGTGGACACAGTGTATAAGCTTGTGAATGGTCTGGTATTTGTAAACTTCTCGGGAGAAATAGTCAACGTTAATACTGCTTCAATAGAACATTCAACATATGGCGAAGGTAATAAATTTTACAGAGTTTTCAATCTATATTTTTCCAATGGGAAAGATTTATTGTTTTCCTTAATAAAAAGTTCTTCACTTGAGTCACTTATTAGTCAAATCTATCTCATACATTTGTACAACTATATAAAAATTAGCCGTGATTGTATTTACAGTAAAGATGTTTCTGTTTCGTTGTAGTTATTATCACTAACTCATCTGATGGATGCACTGTTGTAAACTCGCAAGGAGCCTGTGATGTGGGTTATACTTGTCAAGAATTTGTCAATCTGACAGTGGCTTGCATGTATGTACAGTTGATACAATGTTTTTCTTTTTTTGGCATTTCTCTTTATTTCTCCATCAAGTTTACTAATAAGTTAACCTCATTATGATCAATTTTTAAACAAGCCTTGTGTAGTCCGAAGAAAAACGGAATTGGGCGTAGCCACCCACCCCCCACCCCCTACCCCCAATATGAGAATAAACTTAACATATTATTCATTAATCTTTTTTAAATTTACGTTTCAGTCCCATTATTAGTAAGTATAAACGTTTTCTTTGTTGTTACTTATGCAGTAAGGATGCCGTGATAAATGTTAAAGTTATAGAAGTATTTTATCTTAAGTGTAAAGAAAAATTAAAAGTATTATAAAGAATTATGCAATTCAACTTTTAATCATTTTATTTTGTTCTCTTTTGTGATTATTTTACTTAATCATGTTCTTAATTTCTAAACATGAGTGAAAGGGAGTGTGAATGTTTATTTATGTGTTATTTGTTAACTGCTGTTTGTTTATTTCTGAAATTGCATACATGTAATATTATGTTGAATAATAAGTTATTATTTAATTATTTCTTTTTATTTGTACATGCATAATACTTATAACTTTGACCACGATTTAATTAACAGGAAATTAACAATTTATTTTCTTATTTCAGATTGTTCATTGCAGAGAGGAATCAGTGATAAATTCCCTATCTTATTAATAAAAATACATTGATATATAATAGGAAGAATCTTCACATTCATTTTGCTTATTTGATCTAAAAAAAATAATGATATACTGTTTACTTTAATCATTTACTTGCACATTGTATTTTCACAGGTCTTGGAATGTAGAGATAGCGCTGGTTGCTTCTCTTTTTTTCTCATTAATGTTTACAAGGTCGTACAATATACAATGTATATCCTGATTACTGATAATTTTTAAAATGTATATTTGTTGCAGAATCGTTCTTGTTATTCTTTTATAGTAGGTCCTGCTATAACGAGTGCCTGTTGCGGAAGCCTGGTGGTAGGATCATCGCGATTGAAAAGTAACTTGCGCGATTTTTGCGTTAAATTTAATACGTAAACACGAAACAACAAAAAAATAAATTTTCTTTCATTATGCACTCAGTACTTATGTGAACGCTGCGGATCCCTTGAATGAGAGTTTAGAATCCGAGGCCCCTTTGTCAAATTGGACGTAGAAAAGATGAAGAACCCTCTCTGCTCAATGGCCCTGGACGCCGAGTAAAGGTCAAAATTTGAAGACTATCAAAGGTGTATTGTGACGTCTGACATGATTTAAAATTTCAGCAAAGGATATAAAACAACAATCAATCACTATTCAGAGGGTTTTGATGATAAATATTCACATATTTATATCGGTAAGAAACATTTACTTTCGGTACAAAGTACAGTAGTGGAGATGAGTTTTAAGAAGAAATTTAATTTTAACAAAACATGCTTAATTATAACAGTTTTATATAAAGAATAATGAAGTCATTTCTAGTGTGATCTCGTTGTTGAAATGCGTAATACTCTGTAGGTTCATTTAATATATGAATTTCGTATGGCTTTCTTAAGGAGGTGCGATCCTGTGCTTTTGAGCAGATTTTTATCTGAACCTTTATTTCCAAAAATCTGTATCATTTCTTACATTACATCTGGATTTTATAATGCAAATTAAACTATATCTGATGAAAAAACTTCATTTAAAGTGCATTCAAATAGGATTACGTCAGGAACTCTATTTTGTGGCGGAAGTTTATAAGAAGGAAATAATCAATTTTTCCCTTTTTTAAATATATACAGTACTGTTGAGTGTGGCCTTCAACTCGACATTTAGATCTATCGACGAAGTATTGTCAATTAACAATGGTTATATTTCCATTCTTGTGTCAATACGATTTATCCCGGTGCAATGAGCTTGATACCTATTGATTATCATGGAGTCAAATGCTGACCTAACGTTTTCATACTAATTGTTTGTCCATTATTTACAATCTGCATTGACGACGAATTTTCCATTATTTCCCGATCATGACAAAGAGCATACAATGGGTGTGACCTGTGACAGGGGTTGCTCACTCCTCCATGGCATGTGATCCCACCTCCGATGTTTTGGAGGTACGTGTTGCCTATTTATTTTTTTATACTGGGTCTTAAATACGTATATATCTAATAATTTCTTATGAATTCTTTTATTATATTGTGTGATATAATTAATATACAGTATTTTAAAGGTCCAGGAAAAAAATTAAGCCAGTTTTAGCATAAAACCAACACTGTTTAGTAATATCTTAAAATTTACATCATATACCCTTACTTTTGTTTATCTTTTCTGAATGTATAAGAAAACTTAGATCAAGCTGCTTAAATTCATCAAATATTTAAAATTTTAAAATAATTTTTTTTTTGCTTCTTAAATTTCAATGCCAGAAAAATCACATTTTGTGAATGCAGAAAGGTCAAATAATTGATTATGTGAAGCAATTAGAAAATTTTCCAAGTCACAATTTTAGATTGTCTGTTTATAAATAATCCAATTTTTTTTGTCCCTTGATTTATTTGGATAGAAACATTGAAGGGGAAACTTCGAAGATGTGATTTTTGATAAAGACACAAGTATTAGTGCAAAAGTGTCATATTAAATGTACTGTAGCATTGTTGACTGTAAACTGTAGATTTTAAAAATCATGATCCAAACTAATCAAAATCCAATTGGTACATGTAACTTTTTGTGCATTTTATTCTCCTATGAAATACTCGTATCTTATGCGCACAAAAGTTATCCTATATAATAAGAATACTTCCTTCTCTGTACTAACGTAAAAGGTGTTCAGTGTCAAAATAGCATCTGAAAATCCATTTCACACTTTCTAAAACTGATATAATGCAATCACTTGAACTAGTCTGTTAAGAAGTCTCCTTGAAAATGTTACATACTCAACTAACAGGGAGTCGAGGATGTTTAATAAATGTAATATTTATTTAGTATCTAGATTTATAAATAATTCATTGAAATTTAACCTTTTATTTGTTTTGGTTGAAAAATGAGCGTACGTTTCAAAAAGGGATAAATGCAAGAGTTACTGTAACATTTATTGTTTGATTAATTGCCCCTCGTTTTGAAAAGTCCGGTGGGTGGTGACGCCCGTATCCTCTATTTTTATAGGATAACATCTATCCTCTAACAACATGTGTTTGTGAAACACTATGCGCCCGGCGGCAACAAAAGTAGAAAAAATTATTTTAAGCATAGAGGTCACAGTCAAGGTCACAAGTTCATTGACCTTGGTGTCATTTGAAAAAAACTTAATTACAGGAGTATGCTTACCAAATATGAAATCTCTATCTTTTATGCATCAAAAGTAATGGCGAAAGATCGAAAAAGCTATTTTAGCATGTATATGTAGGTCACAGTAAAGGTCACAAGGTCATTGACCTTGATGTCTTTTAACTTCATTAGTGGTGTAATCATACCAAATATGAAATCTCTATCTTTCATGGTTCAAAAGTTATTGCAAATGTTCGAAAAAAAAACTAATTTTAGCATATAGATCCTAGTCGAGGTCACAAGGTCTTCGACCTTGAAATCATTTGAAAGATCTTTACTTGTACAGTAAGCATACTAAATATAAGGTCTCTATCTCTCATGATTCAAACTTTATGGCGAAAGTTCGAAAAAGCTATTTTTAGCATATACATGTAGTTCACAGTCAAGGTCACAAGGTCATTGACCTTGGTGTCATTTGAAGGAACTTCATTAGTGGAGTATTCAAACCAAATATGAAGTCTCTATCTTTCATGATTAAAAAGTTATGGGGAAGATTAAAGTTGACAACAAACAGATAAACAGACATACAGACAGGACAAAAACAATATACGCCCGGATTGTTATATCGATCCGGGTGCATAATAAAAATGGAGGCCTCCTAGACCTGTTAAGTAAATACCATAAAGCATTAATAGTGTCAATCCCAAAACATACATGTACCTTTTAACACAGTTTTACGAAAGGTATCCTTCAGTAATTAAAAGGAATAATACGATTTCAGTCCAACTCAATCTATTCAGCTTTGCATCAAATTTTAAATGAATCAACGAGAATATAGCCCACAAACATCTTCGGATACCAACGGGTGGTTCGCCTTTTAAAAGACGATCGAGATCACCCGAGGATATCCGACGATGACCTACACATAAAGTAGTTTGTGAATGGCAATCTGAAACTGATATTACATTAGATTTTACTGTGAATGATATAATTTCTCTTACCTATTGCACAGACATCAAAGTGTCATTTTGTCATAAAAAGTACAATTTGAGATCAGATGCCCCATATATATTGAGAAAGGCTGAATTTTAGGACATCGTACTAAATATAAAAATGAGTGTTTACGATCAGAGTTATCAATATTCAGCACAATGATAACTGCAATACTCTGTGTTTTTTCGTTCCTTTTTTTAACTTGGTGGTTTTTTGCTGGGGGGAGGATTAACCTGCCGCCTTCGCCTCCTTGCTTTCCTCTTATTGGTAATGTTGGGCAATTCGCTCCCGAGGACTCTATAGTAGCCTTCAGAAAGTTTAGAAAAAAGTATGGCGATATTTTCAGCCTCAAGATTTTCCACAAGACGGTTATTATTGTCAATGGCCATGATCATATTTATAATTTATTCATGAAACATGGTGACGTGTTTTCCGACCGCCCAGCAGGTATATTGAAGGACTTTTTCAGTAAAGGAAAAGGTAAGTTTTCTATTGAGTGTCCTGTGTAATACATGACATGCGGAATTCACACATAACGTGTTGTAATTTAAAACAAAATATTCTAATGAGCAAAATGCTTGAACATCGCGTATCCACATCAACACGTCCGAGGTAAATTTTAATATCCGCTGCAAGCCTTGCTTTATGTGCAAACGTTTATGAACCATGATAACTATTCAAGCCTCTACTGCCTTCTATTAAAACGAATGAAAACAAAGATCCAGTACATATGTCATGTATGTTGATTTTTGTTTTTTGTTTCGTTTGTTTTTTGTTTTTTGTTTTGTTTTGTTTTGTTTTTTTGGGGTTTTTTGTTCTTTTTTAACGAAATTTTGCTGTCCTTCTCCCCAAAAATAATCTTTCAGATTAAATGATGTTTTATATATTCGCATAAAATAATATAATCCAGTGTGCGATATCCGTAAAAAAAAACTAAATTTGCGAAAATATCCTAAATTTTGATTTATGCCACTACAATTTACACCAATTACAAACTAGGGCTAATTGTAACGGGAACCGTTACAGATGTTCCCCAAACGCTCCCCAACTCCCTTTTGGTGCCTTATTCCCTGTAAGCTTCATTAAATAAGACGAACTCTATGCCTTTTAGACTATAACAATGTTTTCCCAGAAGTATATTCAGTAAATTCAAATTTATGCATTGCACGCATGCGCATTTGAATGCATGTGCGTAATGACCATATCATCTTGTCTACACTATATATACTAGAAATTACAGCGTTTTATCCAAAAGTAATAAAAAATACGTTTTAATCTAGTGTATTTGTAATTTTACTCATTTCACGTGCACGCACGTGCATGCGTGTGCATGTCGACTGTATCTTCTTGTAGGAGTCTATGTTCTAAATCCCATCCTGTTTGGGTGAAAAACGAGGAAGTTATAGCCATTTTAAGTTTAAGCCAATCAGATTGCAGCGCACGTGTATGCGCATGTTTTCACGACAACTGTTATATATCATATTGTAAGACATCCTAATACATGATTATGTTTAAAATTTTAAAGCATTTCGTCAAAAATTAAAAAAAGATATTGCGATTTTTGTTTCGACGAATCACAGCAAAGCACACGTGCATGCACGTGCATGCATGTGCATGACGACCATACCTCCTTGTAGGAGTCCATTATGTTTGTCTATGTTCTAAATCCCATACTGTTTCGTTGAAAAACAAGGGAGTTATATTTAAAGTTTAAGCCAATCAGATTGCAGCGCACGTGCATGCGCGTGTTTACATGACAATTGTTATATATCATATTGTAGTACATCCTAAAGTATGCCTTTATCTTAAATTTCATAGCATTTCGTCAAAAAACAGAAAAGATATTGAGATTTTTGTTGCAGCCAATCAGAGCGAAGCGCACGTGCATGCGCGTGAGTTCGTGCTAATTTGACAGTGTCAAATTATCTACACTATTAATATATCCTTATTAAATGAGTTTTAAAATATTTCATCAAAAAATGTTAAAGTTATGGCTATATAAAGTATATCCGTCATTTCACTCATTTCACGCGCACGCACGTGCATGCGTATGCGCGCAAAATGACCTTCGTTCCGCACACCTACACTACACACCAATTAACCCTAAAAAGGTTTTAGCTCATGAACAGTTTTGAGAACACTCGCGGACAAAAAAAGTCCCAGAACAAAGAAGAAAAAAAAGAATAATAATAATAATAATAATAATAATAATAATACGAAACCGAGTAAAAACAATATGTTTTTAACTCCGTTTGGGGAACATAATTAATGTTGAATTTGGAGATACGGTATTTGAGTTGATAAAATCGGTTTTTGCTTATAATGAATAATCTATACCCATAAGAAAAAAGCATTCTTTTTTATCCATAATGCGATGAAATTAAAATTACTTGTTTTTTATTCTTTGTTGATACCCTGGTATTCAGTTTGCTGTTGAGTCAATGTCAGCCTGTGAATTTATATATTACTTTTACCCATGCTTTAACATTCTTATAATATCGGAACAATATATACTCTATGGAAAGCCACAGGGGACCCCCAGGGTACCCCCAGGGTCAGGGTCTATATATTCTATAGTTTTAACCCTGGCCACCCTTGATGTACACCCTGGCCGTCCACCCTGGCCTTCCCCTGTTAGTAATCTATAGTTTTAACCCTGGCCACCCATGATGTACACCCTGGTATTCCACCCTGGCCTTCCCATGCTTGCATCCTGGACCTCCCAGGGTCAGGGTCTATATGATCTATAGCTTTAACCCTGGCCACCCATGATGTACACCCTGGCCGTCCACCCTGGCCTTCCCATGCTTGCATCCTGGAACTCCCAGGGTTAGGGTCTTTTAACCCTGGCCGTCCACCCTAGCCATCCCATGTTTACATCTTTAACCCTGGCCGTCCACCCTGTTTACATCTTTATATGATATGGAAAGCCAGGGTACGCAAGCCAGGCTAGCATGGGATTGGCATGCTGCAAACATGGATTGGCCAGGCTAGGGTGGACGGCCAGGGTTAAAGATGTAAACATGGGATGGCTAGGGTGGACGGCCAGGGTTAAAAGACCCTGACCCTGGGAGGTCCAGGATGCAAGCATGGGAAGGCCAGGGTGGAATGCCAGGGTGTACATCATGGGTGGCCAGGGTTAAAACTATAGATTACATAGACCCTGACCCTGGGAGATCCAGGATGCAAGCATGGGAATGCCAGGGTGGACGGCCAGGATAGAAATCATGGGTGGCCAGGGTTAAAACTATTGATTACATAGACCCTGACCCTGGGAGGTCCAGGATGCAAGCATGGGAAGGCCAGGGTGGACATGGGTGGCCAGGGTTAAAACTATAGAATATATAGACCCTGACCCTGGGGGTCCCCTATGGCTTTCCATAATACTCGGATACTGTTCTTAATGAAAATGCTGGTTGATGCTAGCGTATCAACTTTTAACCATTCTTGTATATATATGTAATGTATTAACCTCTGTGGAGACCTGGTGATAGAAGACTAGGTCCCAGGCACCCTCCAATACCTCGACGTTTCTTTGTTGATGTATACACACTGAACAAAATTGCTGGAACACATCACTAAACATTCTCATTATATTTTTATTAAACATTTGTCAAATCAATGTAAGTATCTCTAATAAGCCTTCTTGCCTAATGCAGTCGAATTGACAAATGACTTGACGTCATTACAAGACTCTAAAATTTACTTTGTGCCAGAAAGCCTCTTTCCCAATCCTAAATGACATGTCTGAGAATAGTTTCCTTATGTGTCAGTTTTTCTGGGCATCCATCTGATTTGACATCACCCTTGGATGCGGTCCGAGGCGGGCGAGGAGCAAGGATTTTGAAATCCCTTCATATAACAATGTCTGCTTTGATATACCCATCACCTCTAGAAATTACTTGACCAATTAAAACTGGCCCCGCTTAATCACTCTTCAGGAAATATCACACAATGAAGTGTCACAAACATAGTCCCAAACAAGGTTGTCGCCGCTTATCTTTTATAAGGGAATAGAGGGAATAATGGAACACTCAAATCTGTAAAAAGTTAAATCCTGGTGCTCTTCTAAGTAAAGAGACAAAAAGCAACAATTTTCTTCTTTGTCTCCATTGAACAATCTGGCAGATATCTCTGCAAATGGTAAGATCCACTGTGGACTTACCAATTAAAGCAATATGGGCTGCAAATTTGATGTCAGAGTTTTATGTTGCAAAATTATTACTAATTATTTCAATGACAGAAAAAATAACATTTATAAACTTCTGTTGTTCATATTTGCGAAGAAAGAACCATGTATAAGCTTAGATTGAATCAAAGTCTTGTACAATAATGATTTCCTATATAAAACTGTATATTGGATTGTACATGTTGTAGAAGTCTTTCTTCTGTATTATTTTAGTCTAATTGATCAAAAAGGTTTAAGTTACATACACATTCATAGTAACACATTTTAACAGCAAAATAAATTTCAGAAGTACAGCTCATATTGTTTTGATTAATGTTCAACAGAGATCGCAACCTGGATTCCATTCCTGAACAGGAAATCGAGGGTGAATTGGAATCTCAGGCGTGGTATCTGTAAAACGAATCATAAAAAGTGTAATGACATCATTGAACACTTATTTTTTCCATAAGATGAGGACGATTGATTTGAAAAAATAACATAATAGCCTAAATGTTAATTGCTGCTCAATATCTACTGAACATAATTTTCAGATTTCTGCTTTATAACGTCCCAATGCGGGGCAATTTTCCAAATTAAATCTAAAAATTCCATTCACTAAGATTATATGTCTTATAAACTCTAATGTCTTATTTTGAATGGCCTGTATTTTCAGGTATATTTTGTGTTGTATTGAACAAAATATGCTAATGCTGATGAATGGACTTCTTAGAAATTTTTTTTAATTTTCATAAATTCTATTTGTTTAAAGGAGTTTTGGGAAGTTCTGGTTCATCCTGGAAAGAACAAAGAACATTTTCGCTCAATGCATTGAGGAAATTTGGATTCGGGAAACGATGTTTGGAAAACCAAATCATGGACGAGGTCAGAGGGCTTCTGGAGGTCATTGAAAAGTTTGAAGGTCAAGCCATTGACATTGAAGAACCTCTTGCAATCAGCATTGCTAATATCATCTGCTCCATCGTATTTGGAAAACGGTTTGATTACAACGACTTAAAATTTAAGCACTTATTGTTCCTTTTAAACCAAATTTTTCACCTCACGACCGGAAGTTCGTTTTTGACCCTTTTCCCGGCACTAAGACATGTTCCGTTTGATATTTTTAAAGGCCAAACCGTTCAAAGAAATCTTGATGAGATTCAATCTTTTATTAAAGAAATAATTGACAACCATCGCCTTTGTTTTGACAAGAACAATATAAATGATTTTATTGATGCTTTTCTAATGGAGCAACAGAATCAAGAAATGGAACGCAATACTGCCTTTACTGGTACATGTATATGGTTAAATTAAAGTCTCTCTTGCATCATTTTTTCTATATCTTCTGTTATGTGATTCTACAAAAATATCGAAAACTATTTTCATATAAATTTATGTAGATTAAAGGTTTCTAAATATTTATCAATTCACATCTGATTTTAAAGACCTCTGTCTTCTAGAAAATTTTGTTAGTAAATTCTACTAATATAATATTATTTGATTCCTATTGTTAAAATAATCCATTGTAATGCAGACGAACAGCTCGTGGTTACTGTCCAGGATCTCTTTGCTGCTGGGAGTGAGACAACAGTGACGACACTACGTTGGGCTTTCCTATTTTTGATACATCATCCGGATATACAAACCAAGCTACTCAAGCACATAGACGAAATCATCGGAGAAGCTGTTCCTCAAATAGAGCACAGGGAGAAATTACCATATGTGGAGGCTTTCGTACTCGAGGTTTTGCGAATGGGAAATATAGTTCCTCTTGGAGTTCCTCATTGTCCAAATCGCGATTTTGAATATGGAGGATACTCGTTTCCAAATGGTGTCACTGTATTGGCCAATCTTGGTTCTGCATTACAAGATCCAAACATATTCAACAATCCACAAAAATTCCAGCCAGAAAGGTTTCTAGATGAAGATGGAAAGTGCAAGGGGACACAAAAGGATAAGATGATTCCATTTTCGACAGGTAGGATTTTAAAAGAGATAACCTTTGATGTTTATTTGGAAAAATCAAGAATTGGGTTCTTTCGACCTCATCAGTTTTCTTTGTCATACAGATGGCATTACTGATGTGACGAAAAAATAGAAGGGAAGAAACTACTAAACATGTTCTAAAAACGAGACAGGCCACTGAAAAATAAATTGATGATACAAAAATTTCAACAACCTTGATTACAGTCAGAAAATTGAAAATTCCTTGGTCGTTATTTATAAAAATGACCTTATTTGCAATTTTTTATACATTCAGTTGTATTTTGACTAGTATACTCATGCCAAATGAAACCATTGTTTTTATATTCAATTTTGACGGATTATTCCGTCTACCTGATGAATATAAAGGCGGATGTCACCGACCAACAGGGGATGATTACTCCCCCCTTAGGCACATGATCTCACCCTTGAAATTTCTAGGGCTTCGTGTTCTGTGCCATATTTTACAAAAATTTATTGTTTAAAAAAAGGTTGTTTTGGATACTAATCACCTGTTCCTTATTCTCATCTTTTTTTATTTAGGAAGAAGAGTCTGCCTTGGGGAAAACTTGGCAAGAATGGAGTTATTTTTGTATTTGGTTGCCATTTTACAAAAATTTGAGATTCAGCCCGAGGATACTGGCGACTTACCTTCCCTTAAAGGACATTTGGGCATCACCTACATGCCAAAGCCCTACAAAGTGAAATTTATCAGACGGTCATAACACTTCCGATTTGGAAGCCTGTCGATGCCATATTTCTTGAAATTGTTAAAATGTTTTCTTTTGCCGGTATTTGAATAATTAGTAACGTTTGTATAACACATCTTCACGAGAAATCTTAATTGAATATTTCCAGAACAATGTCAAATAATCCATCGATTCCCTGTATATTTGATATTCATTAAATACAATTTGTAACCTGTCATTATTTATTTACTTTATTTATGTTACGACCACTTATGTCTAACCTTTGCTTTCCTATAATGATGTGTTTTGTTCCTTGCCTTACAGCACATGTATTCGAAAATACCAATAAAAAGTGTTACGTCTTTTAGTCTTTTTCAGAAAATATTTATACATACAAATGCATGTAGTTACAGCTATCCAATTGATTTAACATTCTATTGTTAAAACAGATTATAAAGTGGTGTTATACACTTAAACATGGTTGTTTCCATTCTTATGTCGACAAAATATACTCCGGTGAGCTTGAAATGAAAGATGCCACAGTCTGACACATCTGTTATGCAGCAATATACCCTTATCACCTGTATATGGGGTTTATATCTCTCAGTGGAATCGATACGCTACAGCATGCTCTAGTATACAGATAAAGTATATCATTGAGGTAGTCAGCAAGATTCCAGTTCCCCAAGAACAAGTTGCATCTTGTTGACTCCCTCTATGATATACTTTAACTGTTTCATTAAACCGATATATTACATAAAACATTAACTGAACTTCATTATGAGTATTCATCATGTTATTTGGAACATCTCAGTATTTTTTATGAGAAAAAGAATTCTCTGGGTGTTCCGAATAGGTATGTATCAGTTCATCAAAATGACGCACCTTTTTTATAGGGAATCAGCAAAATATATCAATTTACATTTATACAGTGAAAAATCAGCAAAGGTATAATAATGTGAACAATTTCTAGGTAAGTTACTGACGTTTTTCATACTATTTGTTAAGCTATTAATTACATACTGAATTGTTGACAGATTTTTCCGTTATTTTCCGATCACGAAAAGGAGCACATTTCAAGTGTAACATGTTGACAGGGGATACTAACTCCTCCATGGCACCTGATCCCACCTATGATGTTTCAAAGGTCAGTGTTTGCTCTGCACCTAATTTACATTGTTTAATGGACTTTTGAGCTTTAATATTATTCATTATCTCAGTATATTTCATACACATTTTCATTTTTATTACTTACTGGCACCATGCTTTATCACAAAGTTTCAATAATATTGATAAAATGCGACACAAGAACTGCTCTGAGGGACAAAGTGGACAGGTGATAAAGTCAGTTTTTTACTACATGTATACAAATTAAACAATATACAAGGAATTAGAACAATCTTTTAACAATGCCTAAAGCATCTTTATAACCTTAAAAGATGCATAAAATTATTTTTTTGTACAATAGCCACTGCAAATTAGCCAAAAGCAAAGAAATCTGCTTTATTAAGATTTTATTCAGTTTTTAGGAATTTCATATAATGTTCCTTGGGTATGTTCATTTTCCAGCACCACTTATCAACAGAATACATTCCCAGGGATTCCAGAGACACGTAGCCTGCCTTTTCCGGGTCATAGTGAGCTCGGCCTATCTCCTTCAGGAAGGCGTGTCGGCGGCGAACTTGGTGGTGACTGGCCATCAGTACTGCTGGACACTCGGACAGTTTCTGAGTGGTGATTCCCATGGCATGCAGTATCTCCAGTCTGGACTGCACCGCTTTCTTGGCATCTGATTCAAAAAGCAGAATCAGCAACATTTAGAAAACTGTATTTTAACAACTTTTAAGAGACAATAAGGCTAAACTCTTAAAAATACACACATGACATGAATATTACAAAATAATATGCATTTGTTCACTAAAATTGAAGTCCATTTTCTATTGGTCACATTTTCTTATTTACCTATTCATAACATACCCCGGTATGCATGCAATCAATTTAAGTTATGAATGAGAACTCACCTTCTGCAAAAATGAGAGGACATTTCAGAAATATTGCCCGTATTTGTGACTTTTCAAATTCCCATATATTGTGCAAGAGAAAGTGAACATCCTACAATAAACAAAAGGATGCAAAGTTGAGGATATGCTCTACATGTACTTTCTTCCATGGGATCATACCTTTGTGGAATCAAAATAGCTCTTTAATTAGCAGGTAGAAAATTACATAAATTTCATGGATTGCCTTTTGTATGTCTTGGATGCAATATAAGTAGTGTACACTGCAGCAAATTAATATTGAAAATCTGTGACCCAGTACAGAGCGTAAATTAATTCTTAGTTTGTTTTCCTCCATAATACAAAGAATGGGTAAAAAATATGCAACTGTTTGTATTGAGGTCAGTGTACTGGTCATTAAAAAAAAAAGTACTATTACTAGTACTATTAAGTATTAGAATGTTATAAATGTGATAATTTACCTGGATTTTCTTTCTATTGTGTGAAATCAGGACTGGGTGAGTGGAAAATATTTCTCTTACTTGATCACCTGTCAAAATAAATGTTAATTTAGTATGTAAACACAATAAATAATTCTCAAATCTTCCTTCAATTATTACACTGACTACTATTCTAAGAAAAGTATCTGTTTTAAGTACAGAACATTTCCAAACTAAATACTTCAATTTTATGATTTTATAACATTTCGAAAATCCTTGCATTTTATGATTTCATAACAATTCAAAAATCCTTGCAAAATGCAATTTTACAAGTTTATTTAATTAAAATGATTTCTGAAAAAGAAAACACACATATGAGATTACAAGCAATGAAAATACCTGTGTGACATTTGGCATATATGCTCTCTCTATATAAAGTAATGTGCTGTAATTGTAAGGAAGAAAATTTATGATTGGCCCAGATATCAAACCAGGGATTGCTACATTAATAGTCAGGTCAGGTGCTCTGACAACTAAACTACCCAGGCACATATCCACAGTCCATATAGAGCAAACTACTACACTCCCCTCTCTTTGTCCTAAATGACACACAACCCAGATCCTTAACCCAAGACAGAACTTTCACCATTAATTATAAGTTTAGGGGTGATCTGTGGAACCAATTGTAACATAAATTTGAATGTACAGCTGGACTGGAAATCAAACTCAGGACCTCTGCAACAATAGTCAGAAGCTCTAACTATTTTCAACTTTAGTATAAAGGCCAGTATTCATGATAAAGCCCTGAAAACTACAGTGAATATATGACTTTCGAGGATGTACCTGTGAGATGAAACATTTTCTGTAGCATCCCCAGCTTGGAATCAATCTGCCCTACTTCCATTATCAAAAACATGGAATGCCTCACAACCATTTTACCAATCATATCAGCTGTATATTTAAACAATCCACCACAGTCTTGAAATTTATAAAATAATGCTCTATCATAAAATGCCATGATGATAATCAATACTAAGCCTTATCAGACTTTAAGGATATTTTTGCTTGTTAACAAAGGAAAATCTTTTTGGAAAATCTTTTTATGTGATGATGATCTCTTCAGGTGATGCTTTACCAGAAATTGTTGTGTACAGTTGTCAAAATCTGGTGACTTTTAACACTTTTCATACTTGATTGAGAAGACAATAGGATGTGATGCATACCAGGCTTATGCATATGTGCACATTATATTCTTTATTAATTTTTTTTTCCGTAGCATCTTCACATAGGTATAAAGGAAAACATTGATCACAGGGAGCAGATAAAAGTCACAGCAGTGAAGAGCCAGTGTGATATACACTGCTTTACCAAGACATTCTATCAATCAAAATAATTTGCTACACTTTCTCTCCCAACATTGTATAAAACAAATATTAAAATCATTAAAGGATTTGAATCATATCAATAAATCCACATTTCAGAGTGTTCATAGCATTCCAAATTGACTTAACTTCAAAACAAACTTCGGTTACTCGGATGTATATTTTTGAATATTTCTAAGCTTATTTATTATAATAATGCATTAAAACAAGTTCATACAGAAATTTCAAATTAGGGTTTCCAATGCTTCTATATGACCGTTATCGCCTGTGGCAGTGTTTATACAGCAATTATCGTAACCAAGCACCTGTTACCTGGCTTTTCTCACATTCGGCTGTCTTCTACCCTTATTTTTGGTTTTCTTTAATGATCTGTTTGCACTGAACATCGTTTAAGGTCAATTATGTTTCAATAAATTAGATAATTCTCCAAGAAACCGTAAATTCTCGGGAAAAGAGACAGATGATATTACACGTGCGATTGTTGATATGGTTGTGTTTGATTACATGCTAATGCAAATGGTTGAAGGCAAAGGCTTTAAAAAACTGAAGTCCATCGTTGCACCAAAATACAACATACAATCCTGTAATACTATTAATTCTAGGATCAAAAAAGTGTAAGAAGATCGTAATTCCATTCTGTTAAAGGTACTTGGACACAGATTTGAAGTCAATATTTTCTCTATAATATTACGACTTATATATTTTAAAAGCATTTCACACAAAAATTAATTAAAAATCTTATTTCCTTTAAAAGTTATTTAAACTTAAAATTTTTTGGCGGGTTTGATTGACACATCCTTGCACTTTCACAAATTTTTACCTTATTCTTAATCCTTAGGAAAAGTGGCAATCTTGTCACTTTTTATCCAGAAAAATAATTTTATTCAGAGTAGAAATGTTAGAAAGCAAATCTCCTTCACAAGTATCATCATTCCGAACTGAGAGTTGCGTACAGAGTTTAGCAAATCGAGCACACTCGTGTTATGTACACAGTTTTTGTAAACATGGCACAAGTTTTGAATATATGTTTATGTTTGGGGATGTACCTGTGCGTTGAAACATTTTCTTACCACAACTGCACGGACTGACAACATATTGTGTGCTTGTTTTGCATTATCAAAAACATGGAATGCCTCACAACCATTTTACCAATCATATCAGCTGTAAATCTCTTAGACTTCAGGTAATCCACCACGGTCTGAAATTTAGTAAAATAATGCTCTATCATAAAATGCCATGATGATAATCAATACTAAGCCTTATCAGACTTTAAGGATATTTTTATATGTTAAATAAGATTTTTAAAATTTTTGTGTGAAAATCTTTAAAATATGTGATGATAGAGAAATCTCTTCAAATCTGTGATGCTTTACCTTTAAAATTTGAAATTGATTGTGTACAGTTGTCAAAATCTGGTGAATTACATTACATTTAACACTTTAACAAAAACATTGAGAAGACATTTAGGATGTGATTGCATACCAGGCTTATGCATATGTGCACATTATATTCTTTATTAATTTTTTTTCCGTAGCATCTTCACATAGGTAAAGGAAAACATTGATTACAGGGAGCAGATAAAAGTCACAGCAGTGAAGAGCCAGTGTGCTAAACACTGCTTTACCAAGACATTCTATCAATCAAAATAATTTGCTACACTTTCTCTCCCAACATTGTATAAAGCTCGTTACCTCAGATATTAAAATCATTGAGGATTTGAATCATATCAATAAATACAATAGTTTATACCTGCAGTTTATCAATAGGATCCTCCAGAATATAAGGGTTAGTGGTAAGAACCTGACCAATATTGTGATCATACACTCCTAGGTCTTTCAAGTACAACAACTTTGGCACAATGTCTCTATTGAAATCTTGTCTTATTAGGAAGTTGGCTATAAATGGGAATTCTTCTACAGCAGAAAGGTCAACCCCTGAACAATGAACATATCTATAAACATTATACACAGGTTTCATGGATATAAATATCCTAAAAGATTTTGAATATTTTCTTATCATTCAGACATGGTATCAATAATTCATTTCTGGACTAAATAACGATAATTACCTAGCATTACAAGTTTTTGAAGTGTCTCTGAATATTCTATGTAACTTCCTACACTGCTGGATACCCTCGGTAGCAAGTCATACTTTATTTCTCTGTTCTCATCTGGGTGGGCTATAAGTGAGGTCATAACATCCCATTCCTCACTATCCGGGTCTAGTTTGTCCACTTTATCCAGATATGTGTTGATCTCGGAAAATGTCTGTGCATTACAAGATCTTAGATCAGAGTTAACAGCTTTAAGTACCTCAGTCACTGAAGAATTTGGAAAAAAATTATTGAATTTCCTGGTGTTAATGGTGGAACTAAGAGAGCTCCCAACAGCTGTTGTCACCTTTTGATGATTCTCATTTTCTTTACTGTCACAGTGAATAATTTCAACACATTCATTTAAAATCTTGTCTTCCTTTAAAATGTTCTCTACAGAACCAGCTTTTTTACTGTCTTTCACTTTCAAACTGTCATTAGGTGTATCTATGGTTTTAGCTAAATCTTCAAATGGGTCTCTTTGTTCACCAGATTTTGTGAATAGATTTCCACTGTCACTATGGATCAATGCAGTTAGTCTGACACAAGGAGCATTAACACCTCTTCTCTGTCGGAGAACTAGCTTGGAAAACATTTTCTCTGAAATTACACAAATGCTTAGATTTACATTACACTGTATTGTAATACTTTATAGTGATACATGTAATTGTTTTGTTGTTACATGCCCAATACATTTCAAGCTACTTTTCATAATACAATAACCTAGAATTCCTTTGTTAATTAAATTTAATTATGTATCAAAAAAAAAGAGACCTTTACTGATATACTGCATGGCATGAGGTAAAGAAAGACAAAGCACCAGATGGTTGATTGAAATTCGAGGTTTTAAGTATAGTATAATGCCTGTTCTGACTCTCACTACACATGTCAAAGCAAACGTGGAAAAGGGAGTTAAGACTCAAAGATAGAACGATTGAACAATACAAACTGACAAATACAACAATAATCTGATAATATTGATTGAACAGTGCAAACTCCTTCAAACTGACAAATCATTAATGAAACTAATTAATTTTCATTCCTATCATTTATCCAAAGTCACATACATGTATACTTCTATAATAAATGAATACTTTATAAATAAATATTACAGCGCGCACAAACCTTAAATAACGTCTGAATTAAAAAAAAAATCTAACTAGAATTGCCTCGACAGGATACATTTTCCTCTCAATATTCTCAAATACGACAGATATAACTAAATAAAGCAATATTGAATCAAACAAAATGGTTTACCTACATGTATCTGTAGTTTGCTAGCTTTCCTGTAATTTAATTAATATTTTATTTTCAATTTATTTTAGACTCAGTTGTTGCACACCCGCGGTGCAACAGATTTTAGACAACTCGTTCTTTAAATGTTTTCATTATCTTGTACATTGAATCGTCGTGCTAAATCGAATATAAAGAGAATCAACTCTTTATGCTCTTGTAATCAATGATTCGGGAGCATATAGTTTTTGTGCTGTCCGTTTGTTTGTTTGCATGATTGCAAAAACTTTAACTTTGTCCTTGACCATGGTCTTCATTTTTTACCTTGAATGACCATCGTAAAAACTTGAACCATATTAACCTTACCTACAACATTTTAACAAAACAAAAATAATTTTAAAAATAGGGCTTTCATTTTCAATAGGTTAATATCTGATGAAAAGACTAACAATGTTTACTTTGACGCAAGAGCATGCGCTACGTATGTACAATTTCTAAAACATATGTAAAACGAGGTGAATTATTGACAAACGAGCTGATGAAACAAAATTTTCAGCAATCTCGTTTAAAGTCACCATTTCGCAAGTTCTTTGGTCAATACAATGACCTTATCTATGCTGATTATCATTGAGTCAAATCCTGACTGACATTTTTCATACTACATGTAATTGTTAGTCCATTGCTCAACTACACAACGGTCGACAGGGGACCGGATGCTCACTCATCCAATGCACCTGATCCCACCTCTGCTGTTTTTGAGGTCCGTGTTTGCTCTGCTCATATGTAATGTTTTATGGACTAAAGAGCTTGTCTACATATATTTCACCTACAAATTTGACCAACTTTTGAACAATTTTAATCTTGGTCATGTCTTTTGCACAGTTTTAAAAGGCTTTCATAATTCCTGTGACAAGAACTTCCTTTAGATACCAGCAGTTTTGACCTTCAGTCCTTGACTAAAAACTTTAACATGATGCAATGACCATGCATTACTTTTGAACAGTTAATTTTTGCGAGGGCTTAATTTATATTTCACATATTGCATTTCTTACAAAGAGACGTTCCCCATGGGTACCAAAAATATTTACTCTTTGACCTTGGAGTTATGCACACTTTTAACCTTGGTTATTACATGCATTTAACGTTCGAGTGATTTGTATCTGGGCTGTCATTATTTTACAAAGATATTGATTGAGACGTCCTAAATTTCTTTAGCTAACGAAATTTTTAATTTCTTCAGCTTAACCTTGGAATTGTGTACTTAAATCTGAGAAACTTCGACCTGTGCAATTCGCTGTCATACGGGGGAATTATTGTTTAACAATCACATCTTATTGTTATCTAATAAAACAAGACTTTTTCATTTGTTGTTTGTTTAGCTAAACATTTAATTTTAATTTCTTATGCCCCCGTAATCAAAGATTGGGAGGAGGCATATGGTTTTTTTCCTAACCGTCCATCTGTCTGTTTGGCTGTTTTTCTACAAAAGGATGAGGTGACTTGCGGCCCCTCGTATACTGACAAAAAATTAAATTGTAACTAATCACTGATGTGTGTACCTTTATAGAATACTATTTTTAACAAAATTAGAAACGTGATTTGAAAGAAATAGATCTTTTATTGGGGTAGGGGTATCATGTTTACATTCAATTCCCATTGCATTTTAACCCCGCCCCAATCTTTGAAGCCCTTAAAATATACGAGCGCAGGTAGGTACAATTTTTTCCTTTGGCTGGTCACTGTATTTTATTGAAATCTACCTATATGTTTCTATTTTTAAAAAAATTTTAAAATCTAGTTGGCCTTTCCCATTATAAACAGATCGACGGAACAAGATTTTCTGACGTAAGAATGAATTCATATGCTAATCGAGGCACAGGCGATACTTTCTAACTGACCAATCAGCTAAATGAAATTCGTTACGAGTGAGTACCACAAAAATACTATGGAAACGTGCTTGGAATTCTACTGCTTTCCGATATTTTTTATGCATTTGAGTCACAGATTAGACACGGATCTACATATGTATCATTTCTGAGACCACAGTAAAATTTATATACAGTTACAAACAATTGATAAATATACATTAGTTTAAAGTTTTGTAGCGTGTTTGGTGAGCAATTCGCTAGGTCTACACGTATTCCCGAGTATCAGTGAATACAAGTTTCATGTGCATTTCTTGTCCTAAAAACCCTGAAAATCCATGCGTATTATTAAGTATAAACAGCATTGGATGACCATTATAAAAGTTTGAAATGTAGAAAAGGATAAAGACCTAAACCACGTGTTTTGGACGTAGTAAAAGCATGTTTTGTTGTTCTGTTATCGGATTGGACAATGACTAAGTGCTAAACAATAACAATAGCCATATAAGGTCTTCTCAGACACGCATATCCTTCTATTGTACTAAGACCCGCCCATTGATGATTCCCTTGCCGCAAAAGAAAATGTTCGCACAAACCTGGCCGAATTTAGCTGTGATAGGGTCTAAAAAATCAAAGATAATGCAATATTCCTTATAATTAAAATGTGTCTGAACTATTGAAACTATTCAAAAGGCATCGTATTTATTCACTCATGTTTGAAAACTACCAACATCGTTCTAGATTAAATATAATTCGTCAAGGAAAAAGGGGCCCCAGATAGCAGTTATGTCACATCATCCTTTAATATGTACATTGCCCTAACTTTTGATTGGCTCTCATATTTCACATGTGTATGTCTTGTGACAAGACCTTTCTTTGGATAAAAACATATTAAATCTTTTGACCTTAACCTTGAATTTGACCAAATTTTGCAAGAATTTACCCAACTTTAACCTTGACCATAACTAGTTTTGAAAAGTTTTCGCTAGGGCTTTCAGACTTCAATATATACGTATTCATTCTAATAGGAACTTTTGGGTAACAGCATAAAATTTTGAAAAACTTTAGCCTTCACAAAAAGCTGCCATGGCCGGGGGTAGGGGGTAGTGTTTTATGTGGGTGTATAAATAATAATAAACATACTCAGTAATCTGTTGAACTAAAGGCCCTTAGAATTCCTGTTAAGGGCATAGTCGGCAATGCAATACTTTATTACGCCCCCGTAAACGAAGTTTCGGGAGTATATAGTTTTTGTTGTGTCAGTCCGTCTGTCTGTCTGTCTCTCTGTTTGTCTGCAAAAACTTTAACATTGCTCATAATTTTTGATTTTTTGGAGCTATGACTTTCATATTTCACATGTGTATTCCCTGTGACAAGACCTTTCTTTGGTACCACCAAATTTGACCTTTTGACCTTGGAGTATGACCCACTTTTACACCAAAATTCCAGACTATTACTTTGGCCATATCTTTTGAACAGTAGATACCAGGACTTTTATACTTCATGTTTTTGGCTGGGTTGATTTCCCTGGGATCTAGTTGTTCACTACTGTACTCCTATATGGAGAACAAATTTCAGAGGGTTGAGAGTTATAATTTTTCCTATCTGGTGAACTTTCTTTATATTTCCCCTTTTTGCAAATTGATATTAATTAATTCATAATTTTTGTGGATCTATATAATACTACATTGTTTATGAATTACTGATAAAAGCATGATAATTTATTTACATGAGTTGTGCATTTAGGTGTAAAACCCCTATAGTATGAAACCATATGTTGGCTTTTGGCTGGACTGTGAGACCCAGATTCAAGATTTAATTCAGTCTTTGGATCCCAACAATGCTTCTTTATTTCCTCTTTTCTTGCTATAAAGCTGATACATGTAATACAACTTCAGGAAATAATAAGCTTTCAAATGGCCATTTTATTTTGTTCTATTAAATATACATATACATGTACCAGCATGAGTCATTCATCTAACAATGATAAACCAAAGACTAGAAAAATTGCATATCCTATGTAAAGGTACATGTTGTCCATTGTTTATTTGTCAAATCAAAATGAAGAAATTCTCCCTTGAACAGTTTCAAATCTGAACATTCAAAACTGGTAGAAGTACTGTATACAGGGTTATTTTTGCACCGTCTTATTTTCGCCCTTTCACACTTGCAAACAATTTTGCCCCGTCTTAAATTCGCTCAGTCATAGTTTTGTTTAAGAAATTATACTGTATTCTTTGATTTCGCCCCGTTTTAAATTCGCCCAAATGATAGTAGGGCGAAACGGGCGAAAATAAAACGGGATCGAAAATTTCCCTGTATACAGTATTACAGTGGATTGGCAACTAATTACAATGGTTTTAATTTCTCTATGTTTGTGATATATCATTTTTTCACGAAATTAAACCCATTGTAAATGTTATTAGTTTTTAAAAATGTTTAAATACTTATACAAAATTTTGAGCTAATTTCTTGCACCATGAAATTAAAACCATTGCAATATGGTACTTTTAGAGAGATAGTGAAATTTTAACACCTTGGAATTAAAACAACTTACAGTATTTAATTTCCCAATAGATATAACATAAATTTAAAGCTGGAAACCCCAGATAATCAAACCATTTCTTTTAATTAAAAATCTTATGCACAGTTTATTTACTGTGATCTTTGAGAATATATTGCAAGTCAACTATCCCACTCTCAGAGAAAGAGGGTCCCATTGTTACAGAACAATAATACTAAATGTCAATAATAACAAACACTTCATGCTGCCCCTCTTTGTCATAAATCTGCATGTTGGAATATGTGATAGCTTTCACCTCCGTACCCTGTAAAGAAAAACAAATGAACCTGGACTGAGTGTCTATATTGTCATTCAAATTCACAAACATATAATTATTATACAGATGAGCTTTAGCATCAATATCTGAAATCACATGAATATGTCAAACTGAGTTGGAAGTCTTATTAATTTTTTTAAAACATTTTTAACTTATCTGTTGAATATCTATAAGGTAATTTTTTTTGGTATATTAAATCAAGTTTGAAATAAAAAGTATTGACTGTATTATTAATTATAGTACAATCAAAGTAAGGGATTTGGCTAATAATATATAAAATGTGCCTGTATAAAATCTTAAATTTGTTCTATTAACATATTATGTCTGTACCTGTGGATGTTTCTTTATATCAAATTCTTCACCATATCTACAAATATAGAAAACAACAACATTCTTTAAATACACATATAAATAGGATAAAACAGGAATACACAATTTGACAAAAAATAAAAGAACACATACAATAAATAATGAGAACCATTAATAATTTAATCAATAAAAATTAAATAACATTTATTTGTTTGATAGAAATAAATAAAGCAAACTTGAAATAAGTACTATATGATAATATATTAATTATATTAAGGTAATACTTACCCTACTGATTTAATTTTAAAATTTTCTTTATCAAATTCTGTAATAACTATTTTCTGTAAGAAAAAAATGAAAATACTAAGTACATGTATTATCTCATATTTACATTTCCAATGTCTTTGTCCGAGATAAAATTACAAATAGTTAATGTCCTTTATTTCTCCATCAATGTACTGGTTCAACGATAGGTGCGGCTAAAAAATCACATGCAGGGTGGGACAAATAGACAAGAAGCAGGGCTTGTAGCATGTGGATTGGCGGAATGAAGTGCATGTAAATATAAGGAATAACTGTCACATTTTTCGATTTCATGACGATGATCATTCCATTGATTTGTGCGATAATTCTATGCATAAACACCTTCAGCGTTTATGCAAATTAACAGGCAAGCCAATTGATTGATCACATCCTAAAATCCTGAAACCAAACAGCATGTTTATTTTCTTGTATGCAGGATTCATTTGAAGAAGACCCCGCCAATGCACCAAATAAAAATTCTTGGCAGTGATTCTTTCCCTTTATATTATTTTTTATTAAAACCTATTTTAACACTCTATATATATTCTTTAATTTTTTTTTAAAATAAAATATTTTCTATTCAATAACATCCATAGGCACTAGTGACATAATAAAAAATATAACCCCTCATCTAATAAGTTATAGGTAGTATATATGTGTAAAGTCAAGTTCTTGTGGAGATGGTATTTCATTAACTTTTTTTTTCCTTTTGTACTAGCACTTGTAAAGATCCAGAGCACACGTGTATTTAAAAAAAATTAAAGGGGGGGGTGTGTGTCTGATTTTGGTTTTAACAATGTATTGATATATTAAATTTTATTCCATGCCTCCTTTCTAGATGATTATAATGATTGAGCCCTCACATTTTATCGTTTTCAAAAGGTTTTCTGTTGTACCCCCCCCCCCCCCCCACAAAGTGCAAAATGTGGTCGTTTTTTTTTATCGTCAAATATTTTTATGATTGCTTCCATTTTTAAAGTGATGCAGAATTAAAAGTTTGTTTTGTAGAGATACTAGGAAACAAAATATTTAGAGTGCTTCACTGCAGTGAGATGACAATGCATATAATAATTTTTCATAGTTTATGATATCTATGACTAGAATAAGTATAAATTCCAATACCGGTATTCACAATTGATTTGTCTAAATTAAAAATAATAAATAATGAATACAATGCCGTACAATTAATTTACTGTACTCTCCAATCACGAAATTTGCATACGTTCACGTGAACGTATAACTAAATCATGTTTTGACGTCAAATACGTCACTTGTAACTAAGCCTCTCTATTATAGATTCTTCATCACATATTTAGAAGATATTGGATGACTTCATAGCTATTCACAGAATTGCAGGTTATCTTACAGATAGTTGTTTACTTTCCAAAATTAAAGAGTCAAGAAGTATCCCGAATGCAAATATCATCATTTACAAAAAACAATTGCTGATTGGTCGACTGGGTGTACTGAATCCCGATCAGAACTCAAGAAAAAAACTCAACTTCTATCAACACCATATGCCAAGGGATTATGAGGAGAGTAGAGTATCAGAAACCCTTGGCTAGCAAAGATGGATTGCACAATGTAAAACTAAAATACTCAGTAACATGAAAATAAGTAAAATGGGAAATTTAACGTCGGAATTTACAGTATGTGAGATTTCACAGGTGTCAGATTAGACAGTTTTCACTGTAGTTTCATGCATGACTGGACAGATATTTGGGATGGATCCAAAACAGTAGGTATACACTTTTGTGTTCCTAGTGTATTGAAAGTGTATATTGTCCCTATTGCTTACTATGCAGCATTGTGATGAGATTTTGTGTGAAAAAACACTTTATTCTATACGTAAATAACAATTATATTATAATTACTATGATCTCTCTCTCTCAATACACAAGATACAGATCTGAAGTGATAAGAAGAAATTTAAAGTAACCTTACCCTAGGTATAAAGAAAGAGTCAGCTGAAAAGACAAATAACCATTCATCTAAAAAGTGGAATAGTAAACCCATCAAATCATCTCCTGAAAATGAAACAATGAATGTCATAATATTCATCATAAAAAGTTTGCAGTGAGTCTCTAGCTATCATTACAGAAAATGGGATATAAAAGTGTAACAGGAAAGGATAAATGTATGGCTGGACCGGGAATGAAACCTGGGACTCTTCATCTCTAGTCAGGTGCTCTACCAACTGAGCTATCCAGGCCGATATCCAAGGCCCACACCATTACATTCCTCCCTCCTTAAATGGTCTTCATCTTCAAAGACACAACCCCAGTTCTTATTGCCCCTGGCAGGACTTTCACCTGCTAGTCCAGGGGTGGTCAACGGCACTAAATCTGTCACAGGAAAGGAGAAAATGCATGGCTGGACCGAGAATCGAACCAGGGACCCCTGCACCTCTACCAACTGAGCTACCCAGGCCGATATCCATGGCATAAACCATTACAAAAATATACATGTACATGTATAGAAATGATATATATTAAAATTTTAAACAGAACAGTTCATGTCAAATAAACTTATATTGAAGAAGAATCAGGTTTAACAATACATTTAATAATAATTACCTTCAGCTTCCACTTCTTGTTCCCCCGTCATTTCAACTGTGTCATAATCTGTGGTCATGTAATTAAACATAGCAGTGGCACACTGCTCAAATGCCTCCTCTAAAGTGTCACCCCCTGAGCAACCAGGTCAAGGAAACAAAAATTTGGCAGGATTGATCTATACATGTATATAACTACACATATATTTATTACACAAATAAAAGTATTTTTTTAAGTATATACATTGTATTGTATACTGAAATATTAAAATCAAAAAACCCAAGAATTTGTCTTTTTTCTCCAAGCACAATTATGATACCATAGAATTTTTTTTTATTTTATGCTTATGTACTTTGAAATCCAACAACCCAAGAAATAATTTATCCCTTTTCTACATATCAATACACAAATTTTGTGATTTTAATGACAAAACCTTTTCCAAAATGATAATCAAGTTAATGTTTGTCAGCATTTTCTTAATGAAAAGGATACATGCATGTAACCTGGAAAAAAAAGAAAGACTTGTTAGGAACAATGCAAATTAAACTTGGCTTCTTTATAGCCATTAATTTCTTATAAGTACACAAGGACTATTAATTGACCCCAAAAAAGTTATAATCAAATATCTTATTCAACACATCTAGAAATTATGATTTGTAATATGTTCATTTTACTTTAAAATTAAAAAAAATAATTAAAACATAAATTTCAAGAACAATCTGGCACTGACATAAGACTGAATATATGAATTATGAATATGACTTACTGAACATCTGCTGTGTGATCCAGATCTGCAAAACAAAAACAAAACCATAATACCAAGTATGTGAAGATGTCTATGTTTCTTTCATGTGTTGTTTTCAAGTTTACAAGAATTACAATTTTAAAGCAAAACTAAAATATCTAATAATTTAATACAAATGAATCAAACCCATACAAATTACATGTAATAGTACATGTAAAAGAAGAATGTTTAAAATCTTCCACAATAACAAGCACTCTTATAACTCTTTCAACACTGAGTAACTTTTATCAACCAACCCCTGGTACACTGAGTAACTTGGGGCATCACTAAACATTTCACCTTCCGTCACAAAAAATACTACAACTTCTTTATTTCTTTGAATATTTTAATAAATGACACATCATTAGAAAGGTGAGGCATGTCTCTTTTAAATGATATAAATTTTATATATATACAAAATTATTTATCAAGTCAAAAACACTAATAAAATTCATAATTACATTTTATAACGGATCTTATGCAATAATTTAATAAATTTGCTGCTATGAAGTTTCAAAATAAGTTATGTTCTTTCCATCGTTCAAAAGAGAAATTATTTGCGAGTAAAATGATATGCAATATGTCAGAATTAATTGAAAAGTAAGTCCATAATTATTAATAAATAAAATGGGGTGTTTCAGGACATCGGAAGAAGTCTGGGGCGTGGAAAACATCCTCTGTTTAGGAACCTTGATATTCCGATTCCGAGTCAACTTTCTCCGACAAGATTTCACAACATTGTTGATAACTCATATTTTTGTTGTTTAGAAACATCTATAATGTCTAATTCCCTGATTTTATTAAATCTTTCATCGCCAGAAGGATCGGACATTTCGTTGTTTACCGCCATTTTGCTTTCTTCTTCGTTTTCTTTACTAATCATATAATTTTCCTTATTTTTTCGTGGTTTTCGCCATGTGGTCCGCCATATTTGTTAACGGATGTTTACATCATTCTACCCATAATTCATAGCGAAAGATTTTGTGCAGAGAACACTTTCTATTTCTAAGAATAAATGTTTTACTTTCAGTTTAGTGTCTGAGACCGATGTATCGGTCTACCGTGTTCCAAGACAAAATTTTATCAGACCGATGTATCGGTCTACAGTGTTGAAAGGGTTAAACACTCAGGATTGTCATTTATTCCTTTTATGTATTGGAATGAATTTTTAATAAATTTTAAAGCATTCATTTTAAAATCAATTGAATACAATGAAAACAAACACTCTACAATTGTGAAATCAGTGATTTCCCAACTGGGACATGTGCTTATTTAGAAATAAATGTAACGACTACTAAGATAATCCATGCTAAAAACAAATCTTTGATATTTTTTGATAGATAATTTAAAGTTTTGATCTGAAATATTTGATAGCATTAGAGATATAATTAATTAAAGCTGACTTAAAAAATCCCGCAACTTGCAAGAATTCCCTAACCTGTTAGCATATATGTCCCTGTCCTAACTGACTTACACTATAAAATCTATTTTTTTTCAATAACTAGGCCATTCAGTCTGTCTCAAAGGCTAATTTCAACCATTTGTTCAATAAAAATGGGTTGAACTGAATTCCCTGTCCATTGAAACTTTGTGCATAAGACTTCCAGACTGAAGAGATTGAACGGATTAGATGCCAGTACAAAATTTCTCTATGAATCTCGTTTGGAGTGAATTTGCTATTGAGGTCATTATCACAACTATAGAATTTACAAAATGCTGACTTTAATCAAGGTTGTTGAAATCCTGTAACATCAACTTATTTTGAAGAACCCTGTCCTGGTTTAAAAATTGATCATCCTTAGATCATCATGTCAGTTTATGGCATTTGTATGATTTAATAGGGCCTAGCGATTCTTGATAACAATTCTTGAGTTCCCTTACATTATGCTATTATCTGAAAGTCGACAAGAAGGCTGACATAAATCTGACAAGTTCTGAGGTTGACAGAAACATCTTATAAGTGGTATAGAAATATGTGTCCATAAGCATATATATATATATGCTATATAACAGTAAAATTTTGTACTCTGTCTAAATGAAAATTATCGATTTTCAATAGATACCATTCAATAAATTACTTAAAAAACAACTTACATTCATATTTCACTTCTGGTAGGTCCCCTCCATGTGCCATTTCTTGTGCAATCTGACACAGATCGTAAACAACAAATCTGCCTCTGCCAGATGCTTAAATTTTTTGTTAACCAATCAACGTCGTTTTTTCGAGGTATAATATAAATACAATTTTACATCTCGTAACCAGCCTCTATAACCAGGCAGAGCGCATGCGCGCAAAAAATTTACATCGAGTTCGGAAAACAGCAGAGAGGAAATTCGGAATATATAACGAAAACTAGTAGTGCTATTCTCAGATGCAGAAATTTATGCATAATTCAATAAAATTTTATTTAAAAAGCCGAAGAATTAATTTGTCGACATTGAAATTAGTTTTTATTTGTTTATTTAATCTTTTATTCATTCATTCATTCATTTATTCATTTATTTATTTATTTATCTATTTATTTATTTGTTTATTTATTTATTTATTTAATTTATTTGTTTGTTTATTTATTTATTTATTTATTTATTTATTTATTTATTTACTTATTTATTTATTTATTTATTTTTAATTGTAATAATTATTAATAAACTAAGTAACTTATTTATTTATTGGGAAATTTGTTTGTCTGTTTATTTATGAATACATTCTTTTCTTCATTAATTAATTATTCTAATGAGTAATCAATTTTTCTATTTATTTATTAATCATTTATTCTTTTCTTTAATTAATAAATGTATAGATTAATTTATTATTTATGTTTTAATTCATTTATATTTTAATTTGTTTGTTTATTTGTTTACTTACTTTATATTTTGCTTGATTGTTTATTTATTTATTGGTTTCTTTCTTTCTTTATTGGTTTATTTATTATTTCTGATAATTAAGTAAATGTTTGATGTACAAATAAATAATTTATTTATTTATTCATCATATTTATTTCTTTGTTATTATTATTCTTTTAAAATTAATCAATTAATTAATCAATTTATTATTCTAATTATCTTTTTATTTTTTTTTAATCTATTTTTTTCTCTCTCTCTGTTATAGACAGGTTCTGTTTATGTATTGCTAGTGTTTAAGTTCCCATCACCAGGGTTTGTATACCCATCACCAGGGTTTATATACACATCATCAGGGTCCAAATTATCTATCACCAGGGTTTATATACCCATCACCAGGGTCTATACATCCATCACCAGGGTCTATATTATCTATCACCAGGGTCTGTATACCCATCACCAGGGTCTATATACCCCTCACCAGGGTCTGTATACCCATCACCAGGGTCTATAAACCCATCAGCAGGGTCTATATTATCTATCACCAGGGTCTATATACCCATCACCAGGGTCTGTATACCCATCCCCAGGGTCTGTATACTCATCACCAGGGTCTGTATTATCTATCACCAGGGTCTGTATATCCATCACCAGGGTCCATATTATCTATCACCAGGGTCTGTATACCAATCACCAGGGTCTATATACCGATCACCAGGGTCTGTATACCCATCATCAGGGTCCAAATTATCTATCACCAGGGTTTATATACCCATCACCAGGGTCTATACACCCATCACCAGGGTCTATATTATCTATCACCAGGGTCTGTATACCCATCACCAGGGTATATATACCCATCACCAGGGTCTGTATACCCATCAGCAGGGTCTATATTATCTATCACCAGGGTCTGTATACCCATCACCAGGGTATATATACCCATCACCAGGGTCTGTATACCCATCAGCAGGGTCTATATTATCTATCACCAGGGTCTATATACCCATCACCAGGGTCTGTATACTCATCACCAGGGTCTGTATATCCATCACCAGGGTCTGTATACCCATCACCAGGATCTATATACCAATCACCAAGGTCTATATACCGATCACCTATTTCTCGTTATCAACAAGGGTCTATCACCAACAGTCTATATTTACATAGGTTTGATTTTGATATCACCAAGAGTATGTGCATCGCAGAGGGTCTGTCAAGGGTCGCAGTATCAACAAGGGTCAATGACTCTATGTATCACTCAGGGTCTTTATCACTAAGGTCTTGTGTTTAACTAATATTACGGTAACACCAAGGGTATGTGTATCATTAAGGGTCTGTGAACCACCACCAAAGGTGTCTATCACCAACAGTCTATGTATCAATAAGGGTCTATGTATCACCAAGGGTATATGTATTACCAAGGGTATGTGCATCATAAAGTGTCTGTCAATAACCAGGGATCTGTGTTTTAACAAGGGTTTCTATCACCAGGGGTACTGTATATGTATCACAAAGGGCCTATTTATCACCTAGGGTCTGTATCAACAAGGGGAATTTATCTCCAAGGGTCTATGTATCACCATGATTATGTGTATCACCAAGGGTAAATGTATCTCCAAGGGTCTATGTATTACCAAGATTATGTGTATCACCGAGATTATGTGTATCACCAAGGGTATGTGTATCTTAAAGGGTCTGTGTTCTACTAGGGGACTATGTATCACCAAGTGTCTATGTATCACCAGTGGTCTATGTGTCGTCAAGGGTCTTTTTATCACCAAGGGTATGTGTATTACCTAGGGCCTGTGTATCACGAAGTGTCGGTGTATCAACTAGGGTCTATGTATCACCAAGGGTATGTGTATCACCTAGGGTCTGTCTATCACCAGTGGTCTTTGTATCACCAAAGGTCTGTGTATCACCTAGGGCTTGTGTATCACCAGTGGTCTATGTATCACCAAGGGTTTATATATCACCTGGAGTCTGTATCAAAAAGGATAAGTTTACTTAGGGTATGTATGTCACCAAGGGTCTATATTACCAAGGATATGTATATCACCAAGGGTTTGTGTATTATATTGAGGGTCTGTGTATCACCAAGGGTACATATTGTCTCACCTAGGGTCTGTGTATCACCAAAGGTCTATGTATCACAAAGGGTTTGTGTATCACCTAACGTCTTTGTATCACCAAGGATCTGTGTATCACCAAGGGTTTTCACCTAGGGTCTATGTATCACCTTGGGTCTATGTATCACCAAGGGTCTATGTATCATTAAGGGTCTGTGTATCACCAAGGGTTTGTGTACTTTTTGTCCATCAGCAATGATCATTAACCTATCAGAAGAGTGTGTATACTTATTACACAAGTCTGAAAAGCCATATTAAAGATTTTCCCTCTTGCGGGGTCGAAGTACATGTACCTTATTTTCTGTAGGATGTCCAAAATTTTTTGCATTATCAAAATGAAATCCAATTACTATGTTTTTGGGTGTGTTCAGTTACAAGGTTAACATCTTGTAGAGAAGCCCTGATCGAATTGTATAATGAACTATAATGATTGTCTTGAGATTAAAATTTCTTGATTTAAAGTTATTATTTTATTTTGTCATCATAGCATACCTTTCTTTATTTTGTAGTTGAATCCTGTTAAGGAAAAAGCAAAGGACATTGAACTTTATATCGATAGACAAAGATATCTTATTTATGTGGAAATATTTTGACATTGAAAATTTCAGTCATCATGTATCTTGATTCATCTATTTCATAAATGGAAAGAAATCATAAAATTCCATCATGTTGTTCATTTGTTCCACAGAAAATCTGAACATATACATCTCTTCATAATTAATAAATAAAGTGTGCCATGGTAGAAATCCTCATAAAAGTAGATCGACCAACACAAAGTTCAAATTTCATTTATGTTCGATGTAGAGGTTTATGACAGTAGAACAAAAGTGCCAAAATAGACTCTACAATTCTGAATAATTACATTTTGTCAAGTAGAAAACCAAAGTGTAGTTTTGCTTCAGGGAAATGATATGCAGTGTCTGTAATTTTTGAATGGGATGCAGTTGTCTATGGCAAAGTTCATTTGTCAAATCTTTTCACATGAAGATGTAAAAGACCTGTCGCATCAAGTGCAAAGCTTTGGCCAAGATTAAAGTTTTGTTCAGGTCAAATGTCAAGGTCAAAGATCATATGCAAAATAAATTGGACTCCTAATAGTTTTGTCAGGGGCATTACACAGGTGAATTATGCTTTGATCAGGGCACTAGTAATTCTTAGCCGGCCTTGTTGCTGAAAGAACAATTGCTGGCTATTGTCAGGTTGTTTGAGACAGGAAAAGCTTGACACCGGCCACAATCGGCCAATTAAAATTACGTATAAAATTTTTATCCTTACCCTTAGCCGCTTTTGATTTATAATAAGTGTATGAAAATTAAACATTATCATAAGATAAAAAAAAATAAAGTATTCATAAACGGTTTGTAATAGATAATTCATATGTTGAATATGAGAGTCCGATCTTCTGAAATGTATAGGGGGTCGACCTTTCAATGATATATGTTCAAAAGTTAAATGATGCGTTTAGAAAACAGGGGGAAGGGGGCAACATCCCTCCCCCCAAGTTACGTGCCTTGTCAATACGTTAGGTGCCTCTTAACATCTATGTGCAACATACACATAGATATTTCATGTTACTTTTTATAAATGCAGATAAGGAGGTTTTCGTTATAAATATAACTCATGTATGTACAAGTGAAATCTGAATTATTCAAATTTTTATTTCCATCAAATGTTCCGAATATTCAACTATCATTCGAATAAAGTAAATGAGTAGTCGACTAAGGTATAAATAAATATTTTGTTAATAAAATTTATCTCAATTTATCCAAAAGAGGAATCAAAATACATCATGATTCACATTAACAAGTAAAGATATTTCCACAATCCACATAAATAAACTCTTTGCCCGTCGTTTTAAGTTAATTTGAATATCCTTTGCATCCTCTTTAACAGGCTTACACTACAAAATAAAAAGTAAATAAGATCAATATTAGAATCAAGAAATTTTAATCATAAGAAAATCAATATACATGTATTTCTTTATACAATTCGATCATGCCTTCTCTACAAGAGGTTAACTTTACTAAACACATCCATAGACCTTCTTAATATTGGATTTCATTTTAATAATTCAAATTATGTTAGACACCATACCATATAGGCCTACAAAATTATGCAATAAAACCCTGCAAGAATAAAAATTTCCTTGATATGGCTATTCAGACATATGTAATAAAATGCACACTCTTATGATAGGTATTCAAACCCTGCTGATGGACAAAGGTGCACAGACCCTCAATAATACACAAACACTTGGTGATACACATATGCTTGGTAATACAGACCCTTAGTGACATAAATACATACACTTAGTGATACAGATCCTTGTTGATAAAGACCCTAGGTGATACATAGACCCTTGATGATACATAGACCACCGGTGATACACAGACCCTAGGTGATACATAGACCTTTGGTGATACACAGACCATAGGTGATACACAGACCCTAGGTGAGACAATATGTACCCTTGGTGATACACAGACCCTCAATATAATACACAAACCCTTGGTGATATACATATCCTTGGTAATATAGACCCTTGGTGACATACATACCCTAAGTAAACTTATCCTTTTTGATACAGACTCCAGGTGATATATAAACCCTTGGTGATACATAGACCACTGGTGATACACAAGCCCTAGGTGATACACAGACCTTTGGTGATACAAAGACCACTGGTGATAGACAGACCCTAGGTGATACACATACCCTTGGTGATACATAGACCCTAGTTGATACACCGACACTTCGTGATACACAGGCCCTAGGTAATACACATACCCTTGGTGATAAAAAGACCCTTGACGACACATAGACCACTGGTGATACATAGACACTTGGTGAAACATAGACCCCTAGTAGAACACAGACCCTTTAAGATACACATACCCTTGGTGATACACATAATCTCGGTGATACACATAATCTTGGTAATACATAGACCCTTGGAGATACATTTACCCTTGGTGATACACATAATCATGGTGATACATAGACCCTTGGAGATAAATTCCCCTTGTTGATACAGACCCTAGGTGATAAATAGGCCCTTTGTGATACATATACAGTACCCCTGGTGATAGAAACCCTTGTTAAAACACAGATCCCTGGTTATTGACAGACACTTTATGATGCACATACCCTTGGTAATACATATACCCTTGGTGATACATAGACCCTTATTGATACATAGACTGTTGGTGATAGACACCTTTGGTGGTGGTACACAGACCCTTAATGATACACATACCCTTGGTGTTACCGTAATATTAGTTATACACAAGACCTTAGTGATAAAGACCCTGAGTGATACATAGAGTCATTGACCCTTGTTGATACTGAGACCCTTGACAGACCCTCTGCGATGCACATACTCTTGGTGATATCAAAATCAAACCTATGTAAATACAGACTGTTGGTGATAGACCCTTGTTGATAACGGGAAATAGGTGATCGGTATATAGACCTTGGTGATTGATATATAGACCTGGTAATGGGTATATAGACCCTGGTGATAGATAATACAGACCCTGGTGATGGGGTATACAGACCCTGGTGAAAGATAAAACAGACCCTGGTGACGGGTATATAGACCCTGGTGATGGGTATACAGACCCTGGTGATAGATAAAACAGACCCTGGTGACGGGTATATAGACCCTGGTGATGGGTATATAAACCCTGGTGATAGATAATATGGACCCTGGTGATGGGTATACAGACCCTGGTGATCGGTATATAGACCCTGGTGATCGGTATACAGACCCTGGTGATAGATAATACAGACCCTGGTGATGGGTATATAGACCCTGGTGATAGATAATATGGACCCTGGTGATGGATATACAGACCCTGGTGATTGATAATACAGACCCTGGTGATGCGTATATAGACCCTGGTGATGGGTATACAGACCCTGGTGATAGATAATACAGACCCTGGTGATGGGTATATAGACCCTGGTGATGGTTATACAGACCCTGGTGATGGGTATACAGACCCTGGTGATAGATAATATAGAGCCTGGTGATGGGTGTATAGACCCTGGTGATGGGTATATAAACCCTGGTGATAGATAATATGGACCCTAGTGATGGGTATACAGACCCTGGTGATCGGTATATAGACCCTGGTGATTGGTATACAGACCCTGGTGATAGATAATATAGACCCTGGTGATGGGTATACAGACCCTGGTGATCGGTATATAGACCCTGGTGATTGGTATACAGACCCTGGTGATAGATAATATATACCCTGGTGATGGGTATACAGACCCTGGTGATAGATAATATAGACCCTGGTGATGGGTATATAAACCCTGGTGATAGATAATATGGACCCTGGTGATGGGTATACAGACCCTGGTGATGGTATATAGACCCTGGTGATTGGTATACAGACCCTGGTGATAGATAATACAGACCCTGGTGATGGGTATACAGACCCTGGTGATAGATAAAACAGACCCTGGTGACAGGTATATAGACCCTGGTGATGGGTATACAGACCCTGGTGATAGATAAAACAGACCCTGGTGACGGGTATATAGACCCTGGTGATGGGTATATAAACCCTGGTGATAGATAAAATGGACCCTGGTGATGGGTATACAGACCCTGGTGATAGATAATAGAGACCTTGGTGATGGGTATACAGACCCTGGTGATAGATAATACAGACCCAGACCCTGGTGATAGATAATATGGACCCTGGTGATGGGTATACAGACCCTGGTGATAGATAATACAGACCCTGGTGATGGGTATATAGACCCTGGTGGTGGTTATACAGACCCTGGTGATGGGTATACAGACCCTGGTGATAGATAATATAGACCCTGGTGATGGGTATATAGACCCTGGTGATGGGTATATAAACCCTGGTGATAGATAATATGAACCCTAGTGATGGGTATACAGACCCTGGTGATCGGTATATAGTACCTGGTGATTGGTATACAGACCCTGGTGATAGATAATATAGACCCTGGTGATGGGTATATAAACCCTGGTGATAGATAATATGGACCCTGGTGATTGGTATACAAACCCTGGTGATAGATAATACAGACCCTGGTGATGAGTATACAGACCCTGGTGATGGGTATACAGACCCTGGTGATAGATAATACAGACCCTGGTGACGGGTATATAGACCCTGATGATAGGTATACAGACCCTGGTGATGGGTATACAGACCCTGGTGATAGATACAACAGACCCTGGTGATGAGTATATAGACCCTGGTGATGGGTATACAGACCCTGGTGATAGATAATACAGACCCTGGTGATTGGGATATAGACCCTGGTGATGGATATACAGACCCTGGTGATGGGTATACAGACCCTGGTGATAGATAATATATACCCTGGTGATTGGTATACAGACCCTGGTGATGATTGTATAGACCCTGGTGATGGGTATATAAACCCTGGTGATAAATAATATGGACCCTGGTGATGGGTATGTAGACCCTGGTGATAGATAATATAGACCCTGGTGATGGGTATATAGACCCTGGTGATGGGTATATAGACCCTGGTGATGGGTATACAGACCCTGGTGATAGATAATACAGACCCTGGTGATGAGTATACAGACCCTGGTGATGGGTATACAGACCCTGGTGATTGGTATATAGACCCTGGTGATGGGTATACAGACCCTGGTGATGGGTATACAGACCCTGGTGATGGGTATATAGACCCTGGTGATGGGTATACAGACCTTGGTGATAGGTATACAGACCCTGGTGATAGACAATATAGACCCTGGTGATGGGTGTATAGACCCTGGTGATGGGTATATAAACCCTGGTGATAGATAATATGGACCCTGATGATGTGTATATAGACCCTGGTGATGGGTATATAAACCCTGGTGATAGATAATATGGACCCTGATGATGTGTATATAGACCCTGGTGATGGGTATACAAACCCTGGTGATGGGAACATAAACCCTAGCAATACATAAACAGAACCTGTCTATAATAGAGAGAGAGAAAAAAAATAGATGAAAAAAAAGATAATTAAAATAATAAATAAATTAATTAATTGATTAATTTTAAAAGAATAATAATAAAAAGGAATAAATATGATGAATAAATAAATAAATTATTTATTAGTACATCAAACATTTACTTAATTATCAGAAATAATAAATAAACCAATAAATAAAGAAAGAAACCAATAAATAAATAAACAATCAAGCAAAATATAAAGTAAGTAAACACATAAACAAACAAATTAAAATATAAATGAATTAAAACATAAATAATAAATTAATCTATAAATTTATTAATTAAAGAAAAGAATAAATGATTAATAAATAAATAGAAAAACTGATTACTCACTAGAATAATTAATTAATGAAGAAAAGAATGTATTCATAAATAAACAGACAAATAAATTTCCTAATAAATAAATAAGTTACTTAGTTTATAATAATTATTACAATTAAAAATAAATAAATAAATAAATAAATAAATAAATAAATAAATAAATAAATAAATAAATAAATGAATAAATAAATAAATAAATAAATAAATAAATAAATGAATGAATGAATGAATGAATGAATGAATGAATGAATGAATGAATGAATGAATGAATGAATAAAAAATTAAATAAACAAATAAAAACTAATTTCAATGTCGACTTATTAATTCTTCGGCTTTTTAAATAAAATTTTATTGAATTATGCATAAATTTCTGCATCTGAGAATAGCACTACTAGTTTTCGTTATATATTCCGAATTTCCTCTCTGCTGTTTTCCGAACTCGATGTAATTTTTTTGTGCGCATGCGCTCTGCCTGGTTATAGAGGCTGGTTACGAGATATAAAATTGTATTCATATTATACCTCTTTTTTCTCACAGAAACGGCATTTGTTTCAAAATGGCGGAAGATTTGGCTGAAAACGAATATAGCGAAGCAGAAATTACTAAGATACAGGTATATGTACATTAAAATGATAATATGAAATTGTTTTATGTAAATAAATAAAAAAAACAATTGTATATAAAAATTTGGCTTGTTTTCCAAAGGATGAAACCGAGCAAAGAAAAAGAAATGTACAGCCTACAGGCCCAGTACAATCACTAGATTTAGCTACGTAGGTAGAATTACCTACGTAGCTTTATTAACCTATCTCAGGTAGCTTTATTTAGCTATTTTAAATGTAACTTTTTCTTTTTTCTTTTTTATTAAAAAGAGACAAAATTTCGCAATTAAATGACTTGATATTTATATTAGGGAGGTTTTAAAAAAAACATTCCAAAGCAGAGATAGTTTATACATTGCTGCGTTTGGACAATTTAGAACAAAACGTGTAATTCCATTGTTTGGTTAACTTTCCTCTCTCATGCGTGCAGTGAGGCATGGCTGAGTATGATTACTTCACTTTGTGCTGAATAATTACCAACCTATTATTGTATTAACCGGAATTGGACTTCTTTGTCATTTCATTCAAGGAGTAACTGTTCTAACTGTCATACATAGCCCCAAAACTTTCAGAACTTTGGTTGCAATTGTGCAGAAAAAGACATTTCTTCTAGAGGGATTTTTTCATGAATTGTGTTTATATGAGTTCAAAATTGAAAATGATCACTGCATCATAATATTTTCTGTACACCCTGAGAAAAATGCTATTTTATAGAAATAAATTGATTTGGTAGCTAAATAAAGCTACCTCAGGTTAGTAAATAAAGCTATGTAGGTAAATCAAGCTACGTATCTAAACATGCTAAATCTACAGGCTTCTGAATTTCTATCAGTGAGCTGTTATATGATTTGATCAGAGTGATATAAATTGTAAAACGAGAAAATTTGGTGCATACATATTTTAGCGCAAACACAATGCATTGGCGCAAATAAATTTTAGTGCTCGCACTTGTCATTAAAATCAGGGACCTGTTGAAATTATATAAATTAATGTGATATTTTTTTATCCACTCCCGTATTTGACTTTTTGGTTAGTCAAGCACGGAAACACAATAGCGCTCCCCTATATAAGTTAACTTTACCGCAGTGTTGCAATCACATGGACGTGGCACAATGTTAAATTTTATTTTAATTTTATTTGAAATAAAAGACATGGAGTATTAACACATTATATTCAGATTAAAACAATCCATGCATCGAAAGAAAGTTACTTGGATAAATGATAATCATAATCAGGTATTGTCTGCAAGCTCAATCGTCATGCTTGATTGCACTGTTTACCTCGAGGCGAAAGATGATTGACACGCTGAGAATCCAAATTTTGAAGGTGCTAATGATAAGTATCGGGTTACAACTAACAAAAGTTTAATTAAATTTAATATGGCAGAAATTTCTCAATCCATCCTACCATGTACAGTGCTAGTGTATATATAAAACCCAACGGCCCTTCGACATTACGTAATAGCACGTTCCAGTTTACATGTACATGTACTAATGTGAAAGCTTTGAACACACACACAAAAAATATTTAGAAATCTTAGTGCACAATTCATTTTAGCGTTCAGGGGCTCTTGCACCAAAGGCGCTAAAATTAGCAGTGCGCCAAACATTCTCGTTTTACAGTATATCCCCTCTATATTGAAGGGGTATGTATATCACTCTGATCAATCATATAACGGCTTAATGATAGAAATTCAGAGGCCTGTGGTCCATTTTTCTAGAATCTGTATCTCGAGACAAGCTTTATATGATTATATCACACTTAGAATATGTCCTATCAGAATCATAAGTATATCTAGCAATTTACTTGAATTTTTTATGGTTTTTTGATCTCTCCCACCTTAAACAGTCTTCTCCTTCAGACACAACCCAAGTTCTTATTAACCTCTGGCACTTTCACTTGAAATTCAAGCGGTAGTCAAAGTGACAAAAGTCTATCAGGAAAGGTAAAAATGTTTATAGCTGGACTGGAAATATATAAAACCCGGCCCGGGACCCCTGCATCAGTGTTCTACCAACTGCTACCTAGGCCGATATCCATGATCCAAACCATTATAAAAGCAAAATTTTAATATAATAGTCAAGATATTTTGAGTTGCTTTAAAATTACGTAACATATACTCAATTCAACTACAATTTAAAAGCAATTTGCGCATGTATTTGACTGAATCAAGATCCAGGTTGTACCAAGCAAATTTGGACAATATTTTACATTATGTCATGTATTTGCTAAGAATTTATCCAGCCCACTCCAGGATATTAAATGATAACGACACCTGTGCAATTTGCAATCATTTCCTCATTGACCAGATGAGCTTTCTAATCTCAGAATACATATTTTGTCAAGATGGGATATTTTATGCAGGTTTCTTTCTTTTTATTTACACTGTATATAAATCATTTTCTATCTTACAAAATATCAAATCATTGTCAAATTACAGGCACTTTATATGATTGTGTAGTTTTGCCATTTTCTGTCATTTTATGTATTGTATATTTCAGGCATTATTCAGAGGCATTTTGGTCAGAAAATGGATGAATGAGACCAGACAAGAGTATGAGGACATATTTAAAGAAATCGAAAACAACAGTCAAACTGGGCCACTTTGGTTATGTGATGGACTGTGTAAACCAACTTTCCAGAAAAAATCCAACAAGAGAAAGACACAAAGAGAGACTGACTGTTCAGTTAGAGACAAGACAGAAAAAAGTGAAACTTTCAGAACAAAACAAACAATATCTTCTCAGGCAGAACTTAAAAATGGTGCTACCGGAAAATGTAAAGACACTAAAGAACTGTGTGAAATAGGAGTTCAATCATCTAGTCATGCTTTTGACTATAATTTCCTCACAGTTGAGACTCAAACAAGTTTCTGTGAATCCAGTTCATCAAGTCAGGATATCCTCAAAATTGAACAGCATGTACCAACAGAAACTGAGATATCGAAAGGTGAAGTGCTAAATGTTCAGGACATACCCGAAAAATATAAGGAATCAAAGCAAACAGATGTACCAAAGTTTCTGACAGAGATGGCCCAAGAATCAGATCACTGTACAGAGCTGGCAGCTGAATTCATCCCAGACAGTGTAATGAAGGAGTCTACACTTAGGCAGAATGACTCATCGAAGAAAACAACAACTGAACCTCCCAAAGGAATCCCATCTACCAGAGGAAATCCTAATGTCCCATTTTCCATGGGGACCTCTGGGCGAACTAATGAAACCTCAGTCTGGGACAGTTTTCATAGCATTTCAGGTACCACAAAAGATACTGATCTTATTATTTAAAAAAAAAATATTAAAAATAAAAAGAGATGACAGAAATTAAGGACAGTGTTTTTCATGTTAATTGTGTCAAGCTTAAAAAATTCTTTGTTTGCAGTTGTCGACCTATAATTTTTAGACTGGGTAGGTAGGTAGGAATTCTTTTTTTTTTGAAAAAAAGTTTTTAGATTTTTGTTAGATAGTAAACAATTATCATGATTATACAGAGCTTTTCATAGGCCTACTAAACATAACTAAGCTCCACTCTTGTTATAAACAACTGATTGATAAAAAAACGAAAGTCAAAAATTGAAAATGAAACTAAGTCTTTCAATATCCTGAAAAATCAAAGAAAAAAAAAATATATCACAAAATGGCTAAAAAAAAGTTTGGGTCGGGTGCATTTTCAGTGGGTTGGTAGGCAACTGCAATTAAACAAATTTTATTTTAGGCCTTGACAAAAATCTTTAAAGTTGTGAAAAACACAGGGAGTGCAAAGTAATAAAATATTCTTATCATTGCAGCACCTGCTACTGAGTCTAAGGATGTTCAGCAGGAAAAAGAGCCCAGCCAGTACCCCAAGGATAAAGAATCACTGCAGGAAATGAGGAAAAACATTGCTTTAGAGTTACTTTGGGTTCAGCAGGCCATTAACAGTAGGAAAAATGTAAGTTATGATATATAATCCTAGTGGAGTTGGTAAAAAAGTGAGAAATAAACTGGAGACCAACACCTGGAGGTTAAAATTGCGGAAGATTCTTTGACATACCAGATACATGTATCTACATGTATGATGTTATTGATATTCGAGATACTAATAGGTATTCAGTTCAACTGATTATTTAAACCTTGCAAAACAAAAAAAAATTCATACATACCCAGTCTGATTAACACTAAACTACAGATGTCATCCAAGTCATCCATAAACTGTTGAAGATTTTCTGTTCTTCTGAAATGGCTGACACTTCCTACTAGTGTTGGCAAATCGGACGACTTTTAGTAACCGGTTACTCGCTTCATCTTCCGATCAAGTACCCGGTTACTCGGATGATTTTTGGTAAAAGTATCAATATATATTATTTATCTTATTCTATATTTATCGGTAGTAGTACTGCACAAATATATTGAATAGGGACATTATATTTACAATACACACATACGATATCGTCAAAGATTTACGATTTTAAAATAAAGAAAATTAATAGGGAATTCGACACACAAAGACAAATAAATACGTCATCGTCAATCACCATTTTACACTTTCTTTTTCAGCCCCCGAAATATATCGCAATCAAGGAGAATAAATATTTACATACTCCATAATTAATAGTTAATAAGTGATTAATTATTGGAGTGTCCAATAAACCGCTGGTTACCGAATAATTTAAGCTTAGGTGATTTAACAGATTTTGAATCAGCTGTTCTTTTGTTACAACTCCAAGCTTATTATGTCTGCGGCGGCATCTCGTTAAATTATCAAATGAGGTAATTATAACGCAGGCCTTCAAAATATGTATACCCCAAGCAATCAAAGCTATCAATTATATAAACTGTGAAAACTAATCAAAACAATTTGATTCACTACAACCATGCACTAGATCAAGTCTAATGGTACCTAAAATTAGGGAAATGTGTAAGTTAGTATACATTTATAAATTAAAAAACATTCATTTTCAATGCGTTTACTATGTAGAATTTATTTTATCCGAGTAACCGAGTAGCAGTTTTACTAACCGATACTAGCAACGTTCGACGGTTAACCGGGTACTCGTTGCCAACACTACTTCCTACCCTTTTCTCTGCTCTATTCTTTATAAAAATGCCCATTTATTATGTGCACTTAAACTTTGGAATTGAAAGCACAATATTCCTTACACCATGGATGTGTCAATGTGATCTGGAAGACTTAATTAGTCCAATCCACTTTTTATGCCCCCTTTAAAGAAGGGAGGGTATATTGCTTTGCTGCTGTCTGTTGGTTGGGCGGTCCACCATCAGTTTCCAATCATTTTCTTTGCATAATTATGTTGCACAAATTGAAATGAAATATAATATACAGATTTATCAGAAGAATATCTAGGTCAAACTAGGTTTTTGGTAGATCGGGCCATTTTGGACAGAGTTATGCCCCTTTGAATTAGAAAAATTCTAATTATTTGCAATCCGTTGATTTTTTTGCAGGGGTTGAAAATATTGAAATGATTTTTGGCATACAGATTTATGATAAGCATATCCTGATCAATTTTGTTTTTGGGTAGGATTGAGCCATTTTGGATAGAGTTATGCCCCTTGGACTTAGAAGCATTCTAATTTTTCAGCTGAGGGAGGCCTAAGTGTTTTACAATCATGTCTTGTTTCTTTACATTTTACTCTAGCAACTGCAAATCTTTTGATATTTTGAGGCTTTTTTTTAAATAAACCTAAAGGTATGGCATAAATGAAGATTGTCAATAACAGGTCAATGGAAGTCATTTGATCAATATATCATGAATTTATCATGATTGTAGAGCTTAGTAGAGATGCAATACTCTTGTAGCACCTCATTAATCCAGACACTTGTTTCCAACCAAATTTTGAATTAATGAAACATCCATATTACCTGAAATGATCCATTCCTTGATTTCTATGGAATTGTAAATTCTGTTCTCTACAAATAGAGAGAGGTGTCTGGAATACTGTTATCCTTATTGAGGTCTACTGTATCTTGATTATGAATACTACAGTACCTGTGTTATAATCATATAATGTATTACAGTACTTCTAACCAATAGGGTGCAATTTTATCACAGAAGCAGATGGGCAGTATTAATGCATATTTCTTTTTAATTTTTCAGTATCTAAAGTTGAAGGGACAGATAGCAGTTTGATGGTAGATCAACAGAAAATTTGATACAACAGTGAGATTGGAAAGACCTTGATTGTTAGTACATTAAGCCTTAATGCTGGGTTTTCCCATTGTGTATTCATGTACCGGTAATATGTTAAAGGTTTTGAGTATCTTTGAGGAACAAGTAACATATTCAAGATGTTTCTCTAAGCTTGTAATATCTGTGCCTCATATTTATTAAATATTTTGTAGATTATGCAAATAATTAACATAATAAATATTTCACATATTAAGCCTTTTTATTAAAAAATTTTGACTGTACAATCAGTTCAGTCCAATACGAAAATTCGTAATATTACGAAAAAATGTAAGATTACAAGAAAACGTAATATTACTGCCACTCAATTTCTTGCAATGCTTGAATTTGTCTTGGATTACGAAAACTCGTAATATAGTCTCTTACATCTGCTATATTACGCGTATTCGTAATTTAACTACATTACGAAAAATTGTAATATAAGTTTTATATTACGATAACTTGTGATATTACGTTTTCTCATAATCTTACGTTTTTTCGTAATATTACGAATTTTCGTATTGGACTGGACTGACAATTGTCAGCTGTAATTCAAACTTTTGAAAGGCCATTTTCCAAATTTAAAACAAGAGGTCCACATGCCATAGTGTCCTGTTACAACTTTCCTTTAATAATTTCTTAACACCAGAGGAAAGGATGGACAAAAATTGGTGATCAAGTTTTACAAGAGAATACATAGAAAAGAAATATGTTGATGAAGTATTGAAGAAAATAAATAAGTGAGCACTGTGGCAAATGAGACTCTAGTTTTTCATACCAATTAAGGAGCAGAGGAGATTAAAAATCCAAGCATTAATGCTTAGATGCCCCACCCTCCAAACTCCTGACACTGGGGTCATACTGTGTACATTGTTATTTTTGGCCCATCCTATTTTCGCCAAACAATTTTGCCCCATTTTAAACTCACCAAGTCATATTTTTGTTTAAGAAATTAAAACTTTATTCTTTGAGTTTGTCCCCTTTTAAATTCTCACAAATGAGGGTACAGCGAAAATAAAATGGGGAAAAAATTTCCCTGTATACAGTATATTTTGCAATTTTGGAAAAGGCACCATTATTCAGCATGACCATGCACTAATTCATTGGTTTAATAACGATGAGCATCAAAGAATTTTAAAGAATATTTTAAATGCATTTTCACTATACTCAAAAGAGACCTGAGCTAACATTAGAATATCTAACCCAGGAGCCATGAAACATACAATTTTTGGAAGAGGCACGTGCAGCCTTTGTCATGATAATAACTATGTGTTTACTTCACAAATTTGGAAGAGGCACCCTTATACATCATTACCTTGCACTTAGTCCTTCAACTTAATACCCATGAGCAAAGGAAATTTTTCAAAGAGTTATAAACATTTTCACAATACATTCAATACAGCCTTTTGCTAACACCAGAACTTTTGACTCAGTGCATGATATTACCCAAGTTAATCTCCTGTCATAAGCATAACATGGAGAAGAAATAATCAAAACACAAATGTTAAGTTTTGCAATTTTAATTATTTTTATATCTGAATATTCTGTAACATGAAAATAGTGGACAACAAGTAACAATAACCATGGCAACACATTGTCATATTATGGATAAAAATGTTAATAATACACAATAATAGATTTATATTCTACTCATCAGCTATTTCTGTATGTAATGTCATTGTACAAAAAAGCCTGAAAATAACGTACAAGATTACAAAAACACGCCAGCACTGAACAGAGGTAATTGGGCTTCAAAGGTAGATAGTGCACATACATAATAATTAGTGAAAATCATAATTCTGTGTGATAAATACTGTCAACGTAATCATTCAAGTTTCACCGACATGACCTTTCAAAATACATTCTTCTGACACTTTGCAACTTTTTATACATGTACCATCAATATTCAAAATTGTATGACCAAAAATAAAGTGCCACGCCACAGCATGATACGCCCGTCAAAATATTACACAATTATCTTTAACAGTTTAGACTGCAAGAAAATCACTTCAACCTTGATTCTAAGATTTCCATGATTTTTTCATTTTTAAAAAAAATATTTCTTTATCCATCCCCTGTGCTGTAGGCATAATTATAACAAATATTACATAACTGACAGATTTCTATACTGTTTGTGTCAGACTTTGTCAAATGCCAGCCATCATAATAAACAATATCAAATTAGTCTTAACAACTTAATCTATGCCAAATTAATTTTGAAAAGAAAGGCTGGCCATCAAATGACATATGCTTTGACCAGCAGTTCTTCTGTCTAATCCCCAAAGGATACAGATAAGGCAGCGCTTGATCAGATAGCCTTCGTACATTGAACTCATTAATTAATCTTTGACTGGATGCTTGTCTACTCATTACTCCCTAAATATTAATGGATCTGCACTTTTTATCCTAAAACACTTTTAAAACATATAAAATACTCCATGATTTCTTTTAGATTTAATGCCAGACAGGTTTTATATTTAATTCATATGGTCAAGTAGGCATGCTGATTCAACCCCACCCCATAAAATTAGTTTTTAATTAATTAATATTATATAATATCAGATTATTAGTTTATTATGCAATATCAAATAAGTTTTAATTACTTTTTATCAAATTCATTTTAAAACTTAGCTAGCCAACAAGAGCTATTTTTAATCTAACAGCTAGGCTGGCTGTCCATTTGCCCAATACCCAAGGGATAACACCAAACCTCCTCACACTAAACTCATTAATTTCTCTCTAATTTAACATGCAACTTTCTGCTATCAAAATTCTTCCTGACCAGTGCTTGATAATTATGCCCATGGGACAAACTGAATTCCTCTCATTAACACTGAAATTTATTTAAGATTGCTGTAAAGTATATGATGAAAAAATAAGTTTTTACTTGATTTAATACTTTTCAATAAGGATACAACTCTATTTTTTTACATTTTTAGGATTATGAAATTTAAAATTTAGAAAACTTAGTTTTTTAAAAAATTTCACTAAAATTAAAGGTCACAGTGACCTTGAAATAGGTCGCGACACACCGTCTACCTAAGATGTATACTTTTGCCAAGTTTGATAGCTCTAGGTCTAATAGTTTTCTAGTTATGAGCCGGACAGGATTTTTCCATATTTGGCCATAGCATCTTTATTAAAGGTCAGAGCGACCTACTTTTGGTGCACGACACACCGTCTACCCAAGAAGTATCAGTTGACAAAGTTTGATAATCCTAGGCCTAATAGTATTGAAATTATGAGCCGGACAGGAATGGACAGACGGACAGACGGACGGACGGACGGACATGAAGCCTATAACATAATACGTCCCGTCTTAAGACGGGCGTATAAAAAAACAATATTTTTTTTTAAGATAATAACATAAATTTTTATAAAATACTCCTATCATTTTTGTTATTGCAATTGTTAGTGATGAAAACCTTGTGCTACAATACAGGTTAATGTTAAATGCAATATCCTTACAGAGAATTCAAGACTACATACAATACTGGTATGTTTTTATAGTACACGCCTTATCAACAAGCACTTACAATGTTGTAAGGCACTCTTAACCTCCTTCTCTTAAAAACAATTTTAATTACTTTAATTAATGGAGCTCATTGAATTAAACCTACTCCCACTTTGTCTAGCACACAGAAAATGCAATACGTTATAAACTGGAAACTTCATGCCAAATAATTCTCTGGTGCCTTGCAATTCATTGACCGTCATCTCGATGTTTATTCATGTAAAATTTGCATTAAAGCTTTTAATTCCAAAGGAAATCAAATTTATAACTAAATAGCAAACCTTGCTTGGCAAATCTTAAAAAAAGGACCAATAAACCCGAATTCTTCAAATACAGATTAGGTGTTAACTGTATGTAATTTAGGTAATGAGGAGTCACATTCTGGCACTTCCCAGTGAAATATGATCACTGCCTAAATATAAATCAATGATTGGATATATCTAAATGATGATAAAACCAACAGATAATTATACCAGAGTGCATAATCTGCATTTATGCTGAAATTTGTATACTTGTATATAGAGAGATGTTGCAAATAAAAATCTTGGAAATAAGCTTTTAAACAGACTGAAAATATTAAAACACTGGCCAATTATAAAGTCCTCAATAAGAAGACTACTTGTGAAAGAGACATAAAAACAAAGAAAATTGAGAACCCTCAAACAGACTTGCATGCATAATTCATATTTAAAAAAAAAATAAAGAAATAGTAATCAAAAACAATCTTCAAAAATGTTATTTCCTTTTAAAGGTATTTTTAAATATATAATTGTGATGTTGTATTAAAAAGTCTCCTTGTTACATATTGTATGAATGAATAAGGCAAGTGTAATGTATGAACACTCCTACATCCTTCAAAATAAAACTTAACAAAATGCTTAAAAAGTGTTGATAAATTTACAACCACCAAGCTTTGTATAATGCCTGTAATTAAGGTAAGATGCATCTGCCTCTAAAACAAAGTCACATAAAATAATAAATTCCTCAAAAGTTGTCATAAAACATTAAAAGCTTCAAGTAAAAATTTGCTCTATAAAACTGTCATCTCGTACAGTAATGATCAGCAAATCATCAGAAAAAGCCCAACTTCAATATTTCTTCTACCGTCAAGCTGTCATACAGTCAATTTTACTTGCAGTTAAGCAACATCACTCACACACAAAAAATATCTTCTTGCATTACAATTTTCGAGCAGCATACAAATGCTTTATGCAGACATAAATTTGAGATAAAATGCACTTTTCCTTTCTAACAACATTTTTTGTACAAATATTGCATTACATACACAGAAAGCACACAACCTCTATCACATGAGATGTATGAAATACAATCTGTTGTACCAAGACAGTTCATCATACACTTTATGTCTGACACTTAATGGTCACAATCCGGTAGAAGTGCAAATCAATAGAAAACAGAAATACCAGAGCTTTCTAAGAGAGCTGTCTAAATTTAGACTGTAAGACATAGCTGCAAATTCATTAATGAAGAAAAACTTCCAACAGATATTTTCTTGTACTGAGAACGATTACAAATACAACACTAGGCTGGCAGAATATTTTACCTTATGCCAGTTTAAAGCACAACTCTTGCTTTCCAGCCTTTACTTTTAAAGCTTTTAAGCAAGTACTAATTAATTTATTCTATAGAAAACTTCACAGGCAATTTTTCTTTGCTCCGTGCATTTTTTAAATTATCAGACATTTCAAAGTCAATTTCTGCATACCCTTGTAGAGGGGGACCGCAATCATCTGGGGAGGAAGGATGCCTAGTCTGGCGAAATTTCTGTTCCGCTGGGATTTCTTCACTGGATCCGAGGTCCAGCTTAGCATAGTTCAGTGTGGGTCCTTCTGGGAGCTGCTGACTGGAGGTAGATTTAGACCTCACAGTTGGGAGGGACATTTCCTCATACTCACTGGCAAGATCGGAACAACTACGACGATTTATATCCCCCTCCTGCCCATTATCACCACTCTGTTCCGACTCCATGGCCATGCAGGGCATACTAAGTTGTTTATGAAGCTCTTGATTTGAGGTCACAGAAAGTGGAATAGGGCTTTTTAAATTTAAAGATTCACAGCTTCTCTCAATTTCTTTTTTACTGTCTCTGAACACATTGTCTTGTTCCTGAAGGGAACTCACACTTGGCTTTTTCTTTAGTCCAGTGGTAACTGTTTGATCCGATTTTGGGCCCTCATTCGGTGGACTGGCTCTCAGTCTACTGTCCTGTCTCGTATACAAATCACCGTCTACTGAGGTCCCCTCTGAAGGATCTCCTCTGATGGGAGACCTCGGAGGGTAAGAGAAATTTGAGCTCCGTTTATTGTCCCCAAAGTCCAGCCCCACATACCCATCATCATCCTCAGTGTTGTCCAGTAGCACTGCTTTCATTGGGAGCACCTGTTTGATTACTGCACTCTCTCTTTTGCTCTCTTTAATCAGTTTTCTATCAGGTTCAGACTTTAAACTTGCTGGAACATTGTTTGGTGGTTTTGCAGAACACTCAGTTTCTAGTTTCTCAGTTGTATCCTTTGTTGGTTTGTTCTTCTTTTCCTCATTTGAACTTGAGTCTGTATTAAAATAAGATCTGACAACTGTTGGACTTTTCAGAGAATTGTCCACTGTAATAGTTGTATCTGGTGCATACTCCATATATGAATAGTTCTCTGAATTGCTTTTAGGCTTGGTAACAGAATTATCCTTCTTTGTTTGAGGAATAGTGTCTGTGTTCTTATTGGACTCACTTTCTCCACCTTTATTTTCTTTAACTAAAAGCATTGCTGAGAACAAGGGGTCAGCTGACATACTGTACTGAGGAAGTTGGGCACTTGGTTTTTGAACAGTTGTGGTGGACTCATGCACCACATTGCTTTCTGCTACTCTGCTAACAGTCTGTGGATTTTCCGTCAGGTTTCCTACATCTACACTACCGGGTTCATAGTCAATATACTGATTATCATCTGATTGTTTCCCAGCCTTCTTGTCCACACTTTTATGAGCCTCACTGGACACTATGCTTGCTTTGGGACTGTGTCTTCCTAATCGGGAGCCCTTGTGAGATTTCTGATCTGCTTTGAAAGATCCAGATCTTGGACTAGGCCTTGAACATGTGCCAAAAGAATTAGATCTGGAATCTGGATTTTTCTCTGAGCCAAATGATCCAGATCTAGATCCAGGTCTTTTTTCATAAGAAAGTGAATTTGACCTTGAACTTGTTTTTTTGTCCGATAATGATCCAGATCTAGTCTCCTGCACCTGATTTTCTCCTGAAATCCCAGGAGCATAAGGAACGTAGCTTTCATCCTCAGACTCTCTGCCTGATCCACACGGACTCCTGCTTGCAATGGAGGACCTAGAACTCACATTTAAACTTGATGATTTTTGAGCATTTCCATCACTGGATTTGATTACTTTTATACTGGGTGATTCCTGTTTTATTCCAAAACTGTTTATAACTGCAGGTGAAGAACTAAGGCTTTGGTTTGATGAACTTCTAGAATGACATGCACTTGACTTTGCACTTTTGGGGGTTCCAATACTCATATCGATATATCCTGTATCATTACTTTTTTCCAAGTGCATGTCCACATATTCCGAGTTTCTACTAGAGTTACGCAGAGATTCAGAGGATGAAGCCTTTGATGAGAAAGACATACGTTCAATAGAGTCATTAGAAGTGCGATGAAATAATTGTTTATCAATACTTGAATGACGAACCGATTCAAAGGATCCTACTTTTCTCCTGACATCATGAGCAAGTTGGGCTAGTTTTGATTGTTGTCCATAACTTGATGAACGCTGACGGGCTTGTGACAAGATTTTACCTACACTAGATGTTCGAGGCCTGTAGCTTTCACTTGTGGCTCGGGGTCGGTATTCCATCTCCATCATGGAGTCTTCTGAGAAAAGCGACTGGCTCAGTGGACTTGAACCCAAAGAAGAGTCAGTATTCATATAAGTGTGGGTGGCTTGTGCTTTCTTCTGAGCAATGAGGTGAGGAGCACTCTGCCAGCGACCACTGTCTGTTGTTTCCTCCTTGGCCTTCGGTTCAACATAACTGGTATGGTGCCTCATTGTTTTGGTAGTACTGGGTTTAGATCCTAGGGAGAAAGATCGTTTCGGCAGATCGCCAGACATTGAGTCGTCTGAGAGGTAGCAGACCACTTTGGCAGGGCGGAGATTGTCAGAACCAGGTACTGGACTGTTTGCTGTTGGCGTCATAGGTAAATATGCTTCTCCACCTAAAACAGAAAACAAACTTATTTTAATCTCTACACATTTTCATGTAATTTCAAACTAAATTAAACTCAAATGAACTTTTTACACATTAATATTATTTTTTACTAATATTAAACTGCTGTACTACATGTATTCACAACGAGAATATAATTCCAATCAAGTTCAATATTTATTGCTATTAATGACCCCCTTTTGATGAAAACTTACTTCCTCCCTCCTTGATCTGAGGGAGAGGCTGACTGGAGGGCCCCATCTCCATGTAGCCTGGCTCCTTGGGCTGTCTGATGGGAATCGGTGCTGAGGCTGCTATTCTCCCAGCATGCCCTGCTCCCATCGGGATGTAACCACTGTTCATCTGAGCGGATGCAGCTGCAAAAGATAAGGACGCTTTTATAATAAAGTCTGAAAAATCTTCCCCATCATATAATTTGTTTTCAGTATAAGAAATATCTTCTACCGTATATGCTCGCCTATAAGTTGGTTGTATTTAATAAGCTTATATATCAGAGGGACTGACCTCATATAATACCATTAATTTTATAGCTCGCCAATAAGTCGGACATAGAGTTTTGGACCAGAGATTAACTCCCAAAAATCTGACTTATAGGCAAGTACATATGGTATATAAAAAAGGAAAATATTTTGTGAAAGAATCCACTGTAGAAATTTTATAAAGTCAGTGTAACCACATTAAAATCCATGTGATCATTTTACAATGTCAATGTGACCATTTTACACTATCAATGTGACCATATTACAATATCAATGTGACCATTTTACAATGTCAATGTCACTATTTTACAATGTCAATGTCAATCTAAAATGTCAGTGTGACCATTTTACAGACCATTTATCTATGTCACTGTGAGCATTTTACAATGTAAGTGTGACCATTTACAAAGTCAGTGTAACCATTTTACATTGTCATTGTGCCCTTACCTTTCTCTGAGTGTGGACTTGATATACTCATGTCAATATAACCAGGCTCAGGATTGTTACTACCCATTGAACCAGGCTTCATGTCCATGTACCCTCCCTCCATCCTGGGCACCGGTTCATGGTCCGAGGCAGAGGACCCTGTAAACAGACAGGCTCAGCAATGTTAAATAAATGCCATTTACAGTGGTCTTTTTGAAATGTAGTATGTCAGATACACAGCTATATATACTTAATTTTTACTGCTTAATCTAATAAATTTAAATATTTATTTTCTATGAGTTACATATTTTGAGATTAATACATATTTGGGAGGGGGGAAAGTGGTAGTATTTTTCATATTTTGAACATGATACAAGTTCGTGTACAATATACAGGAAAATCCAGCTGACTGATAATATTTATGAATGAACTTTTTTAAATTTCCAATGACAGACTGCTATTGCTAATTAAGGATTTGACCCATACCTGATCTCTCCATTGGGTGGTCTCTAAATGGTGAAATGGACCGTGAGGTGGGAGACATGACAAGATAGGAATTGGGGTTCTCCACTGAATTAGGACTCCTCACGTCCAAGTGTCTATAAAAAAATTAATTAAACCATAGAAAAAACAAAAAATAAGCTCCGACCATCATAAATGAAATGATTAGTTACACTGTCAATTATAGGAGTATTTACTTGACAATGGTTGAGTCCGGTCCTGGACTAGAGCCATACAATTCTGGACTTTTATACGTAAAACTGTCATGACGAGGTTTCTGTTGCTCCATCGAATTGGACAAACCACGCTCACGGAAGGATTCTGATGGTGCCTTATGGGAACTGAAATGCAGAGAACAAAAAAATTTATGAGCAAAATCAATTATACAGTAAATTACGCTTATTACAAAGTGCCACGGATGGAAGATTTTGCTACAGTGATAAATGTAACAATCTCTCAGGGAAGATTTTAACTTCCAAATTAGCTGTAATAATGGTTTTTTTTTTTTTAGCAGTTTGCATTATATCTTTAGGTTACAAAATAGGAACTACTCTTGCAGAGCTGCCAACATTCTAAAATGAAAAATAGTAAGGCGGGGTCTAGGGACCACCTAGGCCCCTTGCTGCTAAAGATTTTTTTTGCAAATGGACATGTAATCTGAGGAATGTTTCCATCTTTTTACTCTAAAACATTTACATGAATGTAATCGGCCATCTAAAACTGCAACGATGATACAAGCAAGCATTGTAAGAATTATGAATATATTATAATAGTAGAAACTATAGACTGCCAGCTTTGAAAATACCGGTATTATAAATTTGAACGAGAAAAACTTGAAATCGGAATAATATACAGAGAAATCGTAAGGCGTATTTTAGACGTTGATTTCGTACGCCTTACGCCAAAATCGTAAGGGTTGGCAGCTCTGCTCTTGGGGACAAACATACATGCATGCATGGCATACAGTGCAGAAAACAAAATATTTGTCAAATTTATTGTGTATCCTGACCTACTACTGATGGCAATGACTAACAATGTCAAGACTATAAAAGAAACTGACCACATGGATAAAGGATCAATTAATTTAATAACGATTCTCTGTAACCACTTAAACTTCGTTGCCACGCATGGTCACCGATTTTGATGAAACTTCACCCATGCTTAGTACTTGACACCAGAACCAAATATCAAACAAAATTTCGTTGCTATGTGTCTCGGTTGCTATGGCAACAGCCTCAAAAGTTTGAAAAATCGAGATTTTCAGCCACTTTAAATCTTGACCGTGGCTTAATGAAAACTAGAAAAAGCAAACAAACCATTCTCACAAAAACATGGCACCTTGATGTCACTTATACTGTAAAAAAACTGCTTAGAATATATCTCTAAGTAAGTGGTAGCCAAGGGTACATTTGGAATACATTTAAAATGCTGAAATATGCTGAAAAACACTCCGTATTCACTAATGATAGATGTTACATGCTCAAACTCAATCAACGACTTAAGAAAAACAATGAAAATGTTTGACCTTAAGTATATAAGTATAAGCAATGTTATTCTATAAATAACTTTTGTGGTTGCCATGGTAACACAGTGTAACCATGCAAAACCAGTAACTAAGATTGAGTTAATGCTACTGTCTTGAGGAAAAACATGAAAATTCAAGACTGGCAAATATGCATCCTTAGGACCTTGCAACACCAAAACCATAAGAAAAATTCGGTATAATTGCTACTTTGTAGTGTTACCATGGAAACAAAGTACCAGTGCTTAAAAGTGAATTATTTTTCACTGCATTAAGAATTTAATTGCCATTTAATCAAGAAACAAATTAAAGGACTCAGCTTGAATAGTAGTTATCTGTTAGAACTGAAGTTGAATATCATATATTGATAAAATTTGATGAATAAAACAACACTGTTGCTATGGTTACCAAGAAGTGAAAATGTTCGATTTTGTGAACTTTATATCAATATTACCGGTAAACCCTGTGTGCCAACTTCTTGCATCCACTTACAGATTGGATGATAGTCAAACTTAAAAGTCAAGTTCGCTGTTAATAAATATCAATCATAAAAGTTTTGGGAATCTACATTTGAGGGTACGTATCCAAGGAAAGAAAATATTTTTCAGGTTTTTAAGCATATATTTTCTGCTTATTTCCATAGCAACGCTCTATTTAAAGAATCTAATCTGAATTTTTTCAAATGGGAAAACTTGGAGCACACCAACATCTTATAAAATTGATCATTAGTTATGAGGAAATGTGCTTTTTTTAAAAGATAGGATCAGATTTAAACATACATAGTGCTACTTTGAAGGCTCTCTGTGGTATAAAAACCTTGGCAACCATTGCCAACCAAAATGAAATATCATATTTTGTTCTTGGTATATGTTTCAAGGTTCTTTTTTCTATTATTTGGTCACATTTCATCCTATAATTGCTTTTTATTTTTATGTGTATGACTTTATAAAATTCAATGAATATTTTTTTTACTTTTGAATACTTTGTTACCATAGTGACATATGTAATAGTTGATTTACCAAACATGTTTATCATGCACGTGAGACATCTGACCTTCAACTTTTGGAAACAGTCATTGCCAATTGTTTGCTTTGTCGCAAATGTTAACTATGGGGCTCTAAACATGTTAAAAAATGCCATTTTTCGAACTTTAAGACATGTCGCCATGGTAACTATAAAACATAGCAACCAATTTTTGCCTGATTTCAGTTTAGGGTATCAATGACTTTTATCATAGATAGTTTGGAGAAATTCTGAAACTATGCGTGCCACAGATCCTATATGAAATTTCAAATGATTACAGAGAATGGCTCTTAACATGTTTGATGCTTGGTATTTGACAATTAATTACATCATATAAAAGTACATTAATAATCGATGTCATGTGTTTGACATTGGAAATTCCAAGTAATAACTTGTCAATCCTGGAGATCAACAATCCCATTGTAAGGTACAGATACAACTATCACAATCAAGGCAAACTAAAAGTAAGAACAATTAATTTCAAAGTATATTGAATTCAATAATTGTATCCAAAATAAAATTTAGAGACATTCTCAGTTAATCATTTCATTTTGTTCAAAAACAATTGAGTTTCATTTGAAACATAATCAACATTTATTATTTTTAAAACATTGTCCGATACATGTACAAGGATCATTTAGTGATTTCACAAGAAAGAAAAAAATAAATATCAACACACCCCTATAGCCTCAGGATAAAACTAAACAACAAAATACACACAGAATTTTACAACATTACATGTTATCTTGATAGACTGACATTTATTTGCGTCGGCTATTTGGGGGGAGGGATTCACACTCAACCAATTTATGAGCAATATACTCTGCATCAAAATAATTGATTAAAAAGAGTTATCAGCCTTTCCTTCTAAAAAGTTGGTGTTTTACTGTTAGTAGCAGTTTAGATGGGAACATACACACTATATGAATATACAGTAAAACTCTGATAAAACGAAGTCACTGGGACCTCTGAAATTACTTCGCCATATCCATAATTCATTATATCCCTATAAGGAATTCCTTGAATTTATATGGCTGGGGATTCAAAATAACTTAGCTATATCTGTCAATTCGCAGTATCTGTGTTTGTACTAAACAAGTTTTACTGTATGTAATACACACCTGGCAGGACTTGTACTGATCTGGGGCAAGGTGTTAACTTCAGGGGGCAGGGCACTGCCAGGACGAGGTATTTTTTTCTTCTTATTCCTAAGTGACCTACAGAAATAATTAAAACAATCAATATATACACCATAGCACATATGTTACAAATGCTTTGAGAGATTAGAAATTGTTCAAATTAAGACATGATGCAAAATTAAAACAAAATCCTTTGGCCTTCATAATCAAAAGTTTTTAAAGCTAAAAATTATCAATTCTTACCCTTAAAATATTCAATTCACTAGGAGTAAGGATATCAACTAATTTGCATGTGCTCTTTACTCTGGAATCCAATTTTTGTTGTACAATTTCCCCCTTTTCATTTTCCCTATTGTCACTTCATTCATCACTTACCCTTGACCTTGACTGCCCTCACGGCTGCGACTTTCATGAGTCTCCATCTCAGCATCCCGAAGACGACCCGAGGAACTGGTGTTACTGCGAGACCTAAAAGGCTCTCTCATTGCACTGCAAAATTACGTTATGTAGCATAAGAATTTGGGTATTTTTTCCGTTTCTCTTTCATACAGCTATTAGCATCATTGACCAGGCTAGTATTATTAATTTGATGTATCTTCTAGTATGTAACAATTTCAAATGAGTACTAAATAAGGAAAAGAAAAGTTTATAAGGATACACAGTGCAGATCAAATGACCAGAGAAATACAATATCATTTTTTGGCTATTAAAAGTTTCACTTCTGGGAATTCCATCTAAGTATTAAGTAAATCAAAGGAACAATGTACCTGATGTGTAAAGGAGTAGGCAATATTGCCTTATTATAATTACCAGAAAAGCCATTTTTGGAAATTTGCTTTTTCATTAAAATTGCCTTTTCCCTTCAATTATATCACCACATACAAAAAATCAATTGTAAAATCAATTTAAGTAAGACTATAATTTAGTATGCATAAATACTGAAAAATTTTATTGCTATAAGATTTCAAATGCATTGAGAACAAAAAATTATATAGTCATCATGGAGAGGAAATATAAAATGACAGTGCCCACACGATACACCTACTCATCATCTGAGAGTGAAAAGCACTCCAGCCTCCTCCTATCAGAGCCACAACTATTGTATTTGTCTCCCACTTATCACCTACACAGCTGCCATCACCACTTGTCTACGACAATGACTAGTATCACATCAGAAAATAAATCGTCAGTAATATAGCAATTGACAAACACAATTCATTGATCACCAAAGAAAAGAAAAATTCTAATCCCCAGGGTGCTTTATAAGGAGAATACGGCATTATACTAAAGTATTCTTCATTTCTTAAATGTTTGAAATTAATGTTTATGTATATTGTACTGACATGTTTCAATGCTGATAAATATAAATTTAAATAATTTGTAGAGTACAACAAAGAAAATGTCAAATTCAGTAACCATTTTTTACACTGGTCTTGAGAGTCTGGTAAGTAAAGTACCCATTTAGCATGCTTAGATAGACAGGGCACTGAATTCCATACCCAGCATCACCACATGTTCTCTTGTTTATTAATTAATTTATTAAAGCAAAACAGACTTTATAAAATTTACATATTAAGCTAGCACGAACAGAGGTATAGATTTTAACTGAAACTAATTTCATGTTTACTTATATGCACCCTTGTTATTCTTTTGGAAATGTGGACAATTGCAATTTTGTAATTTTTTGAAGTTTAAAAATGTTTTTCCTTGGGCATTGCTACACCATGGCCAACAGGGCAATCAGTTGAAAAATTGAATTGTAACTAACATGTGAAGGGCTGTAACTCTAAATTTTGATGAGATCCCCCAACCTTTTAAATTCTGGTCCTACTCAGTTCAAACAACATATGATACACTATTGACAATTATGGGTCACACTTTGAGCAGAAAAACACAACTATAAACTTTTGACTGCAGGTGAGCTAAAAATTCAGATGTCATACTGATTATCTCTGCATAGTAATTTTCTCTGCATTCAATTTGGATCAGTCTGTAGCAAGAGTGCAACGATAATACCGCGGTTTATTTCTCTACGGTTCGGTTCACGATACCTGAAACTGATATCACAGTTCGGTTCAAACAGTCCGTAATTATCTGAATCATCCGTTTTGGTTCCTTGTTTACTATTTCAAAATGGCTTCTGCACGAAGCAGCAGTTTAACTTGTTTCCAGCCTCATATTTAATGGGTTGAAGGATGTTATCACTTTCCTAGTGTTAGTGTAATGAACATTTGATAATTTTTTTTAGTTTAAAGTATATGATGACAAACGTCTGACTTTTTAACCCAATATGTCACGTATCGTGATACATATCGTATCGTGAACTGAATACCATGATACGTATCGTATCATGTGGTAGGCGTATCGTTGCACCCCTACTCTATAGACAGCAGATTTTATTACAGCACCTGAGTAACCTTGTGACCAACTAGATTGAAACCTAATGTGATACTTGTTTGAACACCCTATTCAGCTTTCAGGCAACCTATTGAAAACTTTACCAGTATTTTGTAATTCGCTGTAAGAAACTACAAAAATACACTTTGTGCTATGCTTTCCTCACCTCAGTAGCACTTCGTGCATGCTCTGTGCTATGTATGCATCATCGACCTGCATCCACAGCTCTCCCGACCCTGTCGGAGAATGGCGGCCCAGCTCCATGAAGAAAAACGCCTCTTTATGGCCACACCTCCTTATGTTCATCATCTAGAAGAAAAGCATTGCATTAATCTCAATTATAATTCATAAGTAGCTGTAATGTTGGGTATGAGAGATGTTTCAAACCAAATAGGTTGAATAACTAATTACTATTAAACACATACTCATAATCGTCTTACAAATCTACTTAACACGTACTCATAATCTTTTTACAGATCGGACAGAATCTGAGCATGATAAAGCCGCAGTCTCAGACTCACAGATGACTCACCTGGATTTCAAAGTCCACTTTATTAGAATTATTCCTGACAAAACAGACTGTGTCCTGAAGACAGAAGCGGTATCCTCCACACAGGTGCTTGCTTACTCCTAGTCCCTTAGGTTTGATCTCCACTTGCCATATATAATCTGAAGTCAGAAAACATTGCAATGATACAATAATGTATATATTATACAACTCAGTAGATTGGATCTGTTGTAATTGTAAAGAGGGAGGAAAAGGGAAGACATACATATACGAGTATACTGGAAGGGGGGGGGGGGGGGGGTCACAAAGATTCCAGTGTTGATTCTTACAACTTTGAACTATTTTTCTAAATTCCATGTGCTATCATTATTCCAGTGAAGATCTGATGTCTTTTTATATTATTTATGTAAAAGTTATTGATTTAATTCTGTTAAGTGTACTGAACATAAGGATGACAAGTTTCTATGAAAAGATAAAAGTGGATATTTTTTACTTAAGGGGGCCGACTATAGTTTTATTGTGTGAAAACTACAATAGCGAAACTCTTCAAGTGTATACCATATATAACTTACATTAACTTCAGTGTACATGCAAAGTTTGGGGGAAATCTACCGTCCAGGTATTTCTGAGGGACTGTCTCAAAATACGGGTACATTTACTATAGGATTATATAGGAAAGTGCCAATTTTTAGCACTTTAAAGCAAATTATACAAATACTACAATAGACATTTTGTTCAAACTATAATATTTGATGAGTAATAATATATTATACAATATATGTAAGAAACACAAAATTCTACCGTCTTGTTACCAGAGGGGGCATCTCAAAATGCAAAAAAATTAGCAAATTTTACTATTTTTATAGAGTATTACAAAATATGACGTACACAATGGATTCACATGAAAACATAATAAAAATATTGGAAATATTCTCAAATTTCTATGTTTTAAATTTCAAGAGCGTATGTTGATTACTTTTTCTTTAATAATATTTTTATTACCCCTTTCTTTAAGAGCTACAGATTATCATAACGTCAAAAACACACTGCAACGACGTCAACCTACCTATCAATTGCAAAATCGGTTAAAAAATCAGTTATGTCAAATTGTAATTACATTTTTATACCTATAATTTCTTAATTTTGTTTAATTTTAATAATTAAGCAAAAAAAGTTGCATTAAAACAGTAAATACGCTTCATTTTACTATGATGCGCGAAATATTGCGCAATGGAAACTATAGTCGGCCCCCTTAATTAAACTATAATAAGTTTAGGATGAAAAGATAAAAGTAGATATTTTTTACTTAATTAAACTATAATAAGTTTAGGATAGTTTACTCTAACCAATTAAATTTTTTTTTTCCAATTATAAAGTCAATTTAAGTCATGCTCAACATATTAAATAAATTCTTTCTTACACCAATAATTGAACATAAAGTACAAAAAATAATTAATGTCTTCATCATATTACAAGGAGGTAACTAAACTTTGACTCAGAGGCAATTAGTCATGATAATGAAAAATTTACACATTTATAAACTAAATAAATGGAAATATATTTAAAGATTCAAAATAATAGATAATTTTTTTGTAATAGTATATCTATTTTCATGATGGTAAAAATCAACTTCAGAGTGATAGATGCATCGTTTTAAACAAAGTTAAATGCCAAACATTTTTTCTCTGTCTATTTTGTAGATTCTTGTATAAATGACAAATTATCCTGTAATACTTTAATTTTTTAAGGTTGTGCAGACTAGTAAACTGATAAACAAGAGTTGATAAAAGTGAGACAAAATATCTTACATTTGCATAACGTTACAGTATATACATTAAATGTTATTCAGCATCAGTTGTGTGTTTGAAAGAACCGGAATAAACTTGTCAATAAAAGCTTGCGTCCGATGTAGCTTACTTGAAAACAACAAACGACAGACGAAACAAAAATTAATACAGGCAAGTACTGAAGTAGTAAGACTAATAGTTATTACTGAGTACTACACTAAGTATTCTGTTGATTGCTGATCATCCTTTTTCTCAATATTTGGGGCAACATATCTTCATCATTCTTTATATTTATTTGGCTTTATTATATACTTGAATTCTTCTATGGATCCTCATTATTTAGGTGACTGTTAAGTCCCTTGGGCCTATTGCTAGTGGGTGGCAGCAGAATTTGTCAAAATCAAAATCTAATATAGAATAAAGTTTCATTATGTAGTCTTCAAATTATTGGTCTATAAGGTTTAATGAAATTGAAAATGGGCCAAACTGTAGTAAGAATGATTTAAAAACTAGCTATCAGACAGACAGAAGAACAGCTACTCAGACAGTCAGGCCACAGACTCTTTACTACATTACCACAGATTTAGCTTTTCTGGTCTCTGTCCAGTAAATTATGGATTAACATTAAAATTTACCAGTCATGCTGACTGTAAGTTTAAATGTTAGGAAGACCCCTGGGATTTTAGAAATTAATGGACTCACTATTTAGAGCAATACACAACTCTTGATTCCTCAAAGTCTGCACTGAATGCAGAAAAATCTCTTTTCTATATTATTCCCATAACATTATTTATTTAATATGTTTATAGCAATGTTATGACTTATACAGAAATATCATTTAGTATAAATTTGTAAATTAAGCTTTCAATAACAGTGTACAATTTGTATTCATTTTAACAAGAAGTCCACTGTATGCTAAGAGGGATTAGCTCAAGGATTGTCCTTGTACAGTAGTTTAGACAATCTTAATGCCCCTCATTATACACGTTATGTGATATCAGTTTTACTACTTGTTAAATGTTGAAGTACTTCTACTAGCGAAAAAAAGACAGAAAAAATATCTCTTATTCATTTAGAGTCGCCTGCGTGGCGCAGTGGTTAGAGTGTCTGCTCTAGAAGCGAAGTAAGGAGTCAATTCTTACGTCGCAGGTTCGAATCTTGCTGTGGGATGATGAGACTGGTCCTTCAGATGAGACCGTATGAACCGAGGTCCGATGTCACAGTAGGAAAAAGATCCCTCACTGCTCAAAAGCCTCGAGTGCCGAGTATAGGACAAAATTTGTAGCTCTCCATTGGCAAGTGGTGGTGTCTCCATATGAGTGAAAAATTCTCAAGAGGGACAATAAACAACATACAATCAATCAATCTAATTCATTTAGCATTAAAACACAATAAACTAAAGTCTATAAAAAAGATCATGTTTATAATTTACACAGTTGAAAAAAAGCACCTGCTACATATAGGATATTTTAGGCACGCACTGTAGAAAAACTTGTTTTTGAAAAGTAAAGTAAATTTATAAATTATTTCTGCAGTTTTTTTTATCACGTTTTTAAAGACATCATGATCTGGTTGACAGGGTTTACACGTCATTTGGAAATAAACAAAGTTAGACAAACAAAACTTTTACAACAACACTTCAGTGCACCTGTACTTGAAGTTGCACTAAGATGTTTACATGCAGGGATAGACATCAACTGCCTCAGGCATATTAAACATGTTAAAATTTTCTTGACTTCGAGCAAGTAGATTTTTTAGAGAAACCTATTTATATATCTTTACTTTACATTACCTTATCAAATATAAACAAGAGGCCCATGGGCCACATCGCTCACCTGAGTAACTTGGGTGATGAAGTTCTTTACCCGATTTCCCCTCTTGCTATACCTATCATGCCCCCCTACCCCCTCCCCTTTCATGATTTTAATACTTTAGAATCTACACTAGCAAGGATGCTTTCACATAAGTTTCAGCTTTCCTGGCCAAGTGGTTTTTGAGAAAAAGATTCTTAAAAGATTTTTCCTAATTTATCTATGTAAAACTTGAGATTCCCTATTGTGGCCTGCCCTACCCCTGGGGGTTATGACAATTAAATATCTACTCTACCCCAGGATGCTTACACATAAGTTTCAGCTTTCCTGGCCAAGTAGTTTTTGAGAAAAAAATTCTTAAAAGGTTTTTCCTAAATATATCTATGTAAGACTTGGATTCCCTATTGTGGCCCCGCCCTACCCCTGGGGGTCATGATTTTAATAATTTAATATCTACTCTACCCCAGGCTGCTTACACATAAATTTCAGCTTTCCTGGCCCAGTGGTTCTTGAGAAGAAGATTTTTAAAGATTTGTTCTATATATTTCTATGTAAAACTTGTATTCCCTATTGTGGCCCGCCCTACCCCCGGGGGTCATGATTTGAACAATTTAGAATCTACACTACCCAAAGGTGCTTCCACATCAGTTTCAGCTTTCCTGGCCCAGTGGTTCTTGAGAAGAAGATTTTTAAAGATTTGTTCTATACATTTCTATGTAAAACTTGAATTCCCTATTGTGGCCACGCCCTACCCCCGGGGGTCATGATTTTAACAATTTAATATCTACACTACCCAAGGATGCTTCCACATAAGTTTCAGCTTTCCTGGCCCAGTGGTTCTTGAGAAGAAGATTTTTTAATGACCCCACCCAATTTTTGTCTTTTCTTGATTATCTCCCCTTGTAAGGGAACTTAGCCCTTCATTTTTATAATTTAAACTCCCCTTACCCTAAGGATGCTTTGTACCAAGTTTGGTTAAAATTGGCCCATTGGTTCTTGAGAAGAAGTCGAAAATGTGAAAAGTTTACGGACGGACGGACAGACGGACGGACGACGGACAAAATGTGATCAGAAAAGCTCACTTGAGCCTTCGGCTCAGGTGAGCTAAAAAATAAAATGGGTACTCTATTTCTGACAGGATATTGAATATTGTTTTTCTCATTTATAATCCCATGGAAGTGCTTCTAGATCATACCATTTATTCAGGATGCAAATTTTTTAAATAATTTTTGCCATGTTTAATCGTTAAGTAGAATAGATTAATTTGCCAGTGTCAACAGAAGATCTTATCTTAAGACTTAAGTACAGATTTATTCACAATATTGTGTTTTGAAATCAGCTACTCAAGAAATTTAATGCCATATAAGGCCAAACAAAAATATATGTGTAGTTCCTATTACACCTCCAAATTGACATATTTTCGAAGTATTAAGATTAAATTTTTAACTCAATTTTTTTTTGTTAAATGTTTTGTGAGATAAAGAATGCATTGTGTGAGAGTATAACTGTGAGATTTGGTATATGAGTTGTGTGAAGGTATAACTGTCAGATGTTGTATAAATTGTGATTGTATAACTGTGAGATTTGGTATGAGTTGTGTGATTGTGTAACTGTGAGATTTGGTATGAGTTGAGTGAAGGTATAACTGTGAGATGTTGTATAAATTATGTGATTGTATAACTGTGAGATGTGGGAGGAGTTGTGTGTGGGTATAACTGTGAGATGTGGTTTGAATTGCGTGAGAATATAACTGTGGAATGTGGTATGAATTGTGTTAGGATATGATTGCGAGATGTGATGTGAATTTTGTTAGCTAACAAAACTGTGAAATATCATATTAATTTTAAGAGAGTATAACTTAAAGGTTTGTAATGATTTGTATGAACATGGTGAATGTTGAATGTATGAGTTGTGTGAAGGTATAACCGTGAGATGTGATATGAGTTGTGTGAAGGTATGACTGTGAGATGTGGTATGAGTTGTGTGAAGGTATGACTGTGAGATGTGGTATGAGTTGTGTGAAGGTATAATTGTGAGATGTGGTGGGAATTTATTTACCGTAGTGGGGATGTGGCTGTTGATAGTCTGTCAGGTATTCATATTGATGCTCCAATAACAGATCCAACCAAATTTGCATCTCTCCAGCATCTTTTACAACTACAGCAAAACACTCATCCACCAAATACAGAGCAATGCAGTTCTTTTGGCGTGTGTCAGACTTCTTGTTGATATTAAAACAGTGGTGGAGATATATTTGTCGCTTCGGCAGTTGTCCAGCTTTGAATTTTTTCTCAGAGTCATGGTACTCCAGCCTTGCTGGGCCACTGCTACTGGTGGAGCGCAACACAAAAAACTTATCCTTCTTTGTCTGAAAATGCAGGTAATCAGACATATACTCAAGGTTTTTACAAGACTTATATGACTACATGAAGTAACATCTTACATCTTTTTCATAACTATTTTTTTTCAATTTTATCTTTAGCATGTACAAAGTCACACCTTAGTGCAGTGAAAGTATTCAACTTTTAACTCTTCTGAAATAGTGCATGAAAATTTAAGGAAAAAAAGTCATCAAATAGCACTCTTTGAGAGACTTTAAACTCACATTTCTAAATATTTTGGGACTCTATAAATCAATTAATGTGTACACACAGGTACTTCTTGAATGAATTCATAGTGCAATGTGAAGCAACCCCACTATTAAATTCATGTCTATGTACACCAAGGTGTCCAAAACAACAGAAATGCATCATTTGCTAAAAAGTTAAAATATTCAAAGATGCAATGTTAAAGCTATGATTTACTTTGGTTGTGTTTTTTTATTTGGTTAGTCCAACTAATGTATATATGAAAAATCAAATGCCTGCATTTTTCATTGCCATTTTATCAAAAAAAGGATATATAAAGCTTCATCAAGCTATTCTGAATAGCTATTAAGTTCTAGCTGCACTATGGTTTTCATATATTTATAGTGTGAATAACACTCAGATCCTGCAATGCAAAAATAATTGCAATTTCTGGTGCAAGATTTTTCACTTTTCAGCTTTGATCAATTGACAATTTTACTCCCTAATTCTAGATTGATACAATGTTTACCAGTAAACAATCTGTATATTCTCCCAACCCTGTCTCTAAAATGGACAAATTTGCTTGATTTGAATTTTATGCAACCCAACAGACAATTCAAATCAAAATAGTTTATCCCCTGTAGAGACAATTTCAAAGGGTTGTGAGGTGGAAGAAATAAAAAGAATGTGTCCAGAATCAGGGAGTAAAAGGTGGTTGAAAACACGAGAACTTCTCCCCAACAGTGCACAAAAAATCTTGCATCTAAATTTTACATTTTTTGCTTTACACGCTCTGTAACATTATGGTCAAAGACTGATATCATTCTATATAAAACCATAACACTACAGTTCTGCGGCTAAGCTATAAAGTTAACTCTCAAGTTTGTGCTGGATCTGCTTATACCTTTAATTTCTTCAGATATCCTGTTTTTAGTATATCCGAGCCTGGCAGCTCAAATGCCATAACAGACCATCTGTTAGAGCTGGCACGACTGATATTGTCATCCTCTGAATCGAAATGTTCCATCATTTCGTCAACCTGACAGCTGAGTTTTCAAGTTATGAAAAACATCGTGCAACTGGACCTCTAAATTACAACATCGCTGGACAATCCATGTTCAAAAATGTCCTTTAAAATCATCCACATAAGTCTTTCGGTTCAGTTATACCATGCACATCCATTCCTAAAAAGTTGTTTACAACCAAATTTGCATGGGTGTTAAACTGGGACTGCGTGGCAGTATGCGCCAAACATTGGTCTCCTGCTTTAAAGGTGATACTTTCTCACTGTACCTCGGTTCAACGATAATTGAGTCTAAAACCAACATTTCCGTGTCTTATTTGAATTAATTGACGAGTTATCTGTTGAATTCATATGTTTGTCAAGGACAAGAAATATTACAGTAGCCATATCTGTCACGTGACTCGAAAATTACTAGAAAATTTGTAAACAAAGTCTGCGCATGCGTGAGAGTTATTAATTCGTACGTCGACTTACATGTACCTCTCGATGTACATATTTTTCTTAGTACTGAATACACAACTTTATATAAAAAAAAAATTCAAACAAAAGCATCATTCGTTCTAAACACGGACCGGTTAACATTTTTTTCCAGATTAGATATTGATTGCCGTAATAAAAGATGTGCAAACAAGTCGAGCGAAGTGTCCTTGGTGCGAAAAAAAATAAATCTCAAATTTTTTTCAGATAATTTGTCTAACATTTACTATCTTTAAGGGAGCGTATTAGTGTCATGTAAAAAAAAAAAATACGTTGGTAATTCAAACTTTAAAGTTGGTTTTAATCTTGGTTTTTCCAACTTTAAAGTTAAATTGGTAATTATAATTAATTCCAATTTAATTTAATCTTGGCCTTTTCCAGCTTAAATCTTGGCTTTTCAAACTTATATCTTGGCTTTTTAAACTTAAAAATTGGTAATTCCAACTTTAATTCAAGCTTTTCCAACTTTAATTTTGGCGTTTCCAACTTTAAAGATAGCTTTTCAAACATTAATTTTTGGCTTTCCAACTGGAAAAGCCAACGAGAGAGAGAGAGAGAGAGAGAGAGAGAAGCAATTCAAGTAACATTTGAATTATAGAGTATAGATAATTTTTTGCAAGGAAATGTCTGAATAAGCAGTATTTTGATCACAAATTCTTTCGAAAAATTGGTATTTTTAGAATTAAGTGTTGTTTTACCTTAAAACCACGGCATGCTTCCAAACAGTCATATTTTCTATGTTGTTTCTGTTTTTCAAAATAACTGTTATTTATTTTTTAAATATTTTTGAGGTCGTTCCATTTGTTTTAAATATTTTCTATTTTTTTAAAATATTTTTTAAGTTGTTTCATTTTTTGTTGTTGTTGTTTTTTTTTTAAATATTTAGTTATTATTTTCCAATATTCTCAAATACTTTTGCATTTTGACATTATAGAAGTTTTTAATTCAAAATAGAAAAATCGAAAAAATTTATTAAGCCGTGTTATTCATTAATTTTCTCTAACAGAAATATTTGTCATTTAAGTAAGATGCAATAGGAGAACGGTACAACGTTTATTTGAATACGAACGTAATATTTATCTTTTTTTTCTTCTCTCGTCATACCTAGAATTATCACCCAATACTCATGATCTGACACACGTATATTTAGTCCATAAAAACAGATGTGGTACTACACATACATTGATCCACAAATTACTATATACATAAATAAATTATCACATCAGTATTAATATGAAGTTGTCGATCTCCATGCTTGTTGGAATACGTTATTGCGTGATCACATAAAAGATATATTTACTTTGTATTAAAGAACAATATCTCATTCTGGTTTTTTATATAAACATGCATTTACATATTAAAATTTATAATGACCCTATACATAGGCGTCACGGAAACAAGTTGAAAAGGGTGGGGGCTTATAAATAAAAAAAAAATTAAACCGCAATTTTCAATGCATGCCTATAGTCTACAACATGTATATCTTTGCAATAAAGTGGGGAAGAGGGTAAGCCCCCCCCCCCCTTCATTCCCCGGCCATCCCCGTTCCGATGCCTATGTGATACATACTTGGATGTACATGTGCACTCTCGATGGCTCGAATTTTGATCTCCCGAACTTCCAATCCTCTCGAAGTCCTTCGTCTTTTGAACCAAGACCTTAATTTTTCTATCTTATATAGACTTCACCTTCCTTATAATTGAATTTCATGTTTGTAACAATGCATCTGTTCTGTACACAGGAAATATGTCTTACAGTTCATTCGACGTGCATGAACATTCTCTTCATACCGCGGCAAACTATTCTTAAAACGAGATTCTAGTAAACTATTGGCAAATACGTTGACTATACATTGTATCAACAGTCTGTAAATCGATTCATATTTTGGCGATTTCTATGGTCGAAACAATTACCTTTAATCGGTTAACTTTTTCCAGAACAAATTGTAGGGAGATTATTTGTTATTTTTACTGATATACAGATTGATTTTTTCCGTTTGTCCGGTGATGACAACAAGGCCAGGGGCCCGTTTCACAAAATATATGTCACCGGGTTCACAGGTGCGTGAAAGTCAGTCAATGTATAGGGTTTCAATAGCTCAGTTGCCATTGGTTAGAACCAGTACGGTTCGAGTCCCAGTTGAGACTTGACTTTTCACCACCTGTGACATTTGGGGCCCAACGAAAAAAAAAGCCCCTTGGAATATACTTCACGCATTTCCTTAATTCCTAGAATTCGAGGAGGAATACGTCACCGGGTTCACAGGTGCATGTAAGTCAGTCAATATATATAGTAAGTTGGTTAGAGCGCTGGCACAGTACGCCAGAGACCCTGGGTTCGAGTCCCAGTAGAAACTTGACTTTTCACTACCTGTGACAAAAAGAACCTACGACTACAGCCAACATTGAATAATGTTGATTAATTAATATAATAATAATGTGTATAGCTACTTGCTATATTAATTGCTATTTTACTTAAAAGGAATTTAACAGATGTTTTGAAAAAGGATCAATGGCAATATATTTTTAGAAACTTAAAAGGAATTTAACAGATAAAATGTTTTGTATTAGTTATATAAATTGCAGGTGTATAGGAATAATCTAATCTCCCCAATGGCATTTTAAGCTGAACATTCCTAACAGGTGTAGTACCCTCTGATGCTTTTTTAAAAATTTGTGTTTGTATATACAAATAAAAAAAAAATTATTTTACATTTATCAATCCGGAAGACAAGCCCCTATGACCTGTTTTGTTTTTAAAATTCAGAATGACCAACAGCTGCAAAAAATTATATTTATATATATTTTTTTCGAAAAGTCATCCTTTCACCTTTGTGCAAATACGAAATGTATAGATACGACTTAACAAATTTTGCCCTACTTTTTTTATGACCCGGAAGTTGAAACCAAGTCAGTCACATATTTGGGGAAATTTCCGTCGTTTCCAAACTAAATAGAGGAAGAATGAGGCAATTGTTTAGATACTAGCTAACAACAAAATGGCAGCCATCTTAATATCTTTAAAAATTTGACTAGGGTCATTCTAATTGTTTTGAAATCGCGACCTTTTGATCTCATTATTTCGCCAAAATGTCAGTGTCTGAGATGGAGATTTTGGATACGAATGGCGAAAGTATAAGCCTCAGTGATAAGTATAAGGAGATAACTCTAGATGCATTAAGGGTTAGTGCAAGAAAAAAATTATCTTTGTATTTAAACGTCCAAGCTGAAATAGTGAATGATGCCAATGGGTTAGTTAGTGACTACAATGGCCTGGCAGAAATGGTGGGTTTTGGATTCCTGGAGATCAAAGATTTTGAACGTCAGAAAAATCCAACAGATGAACTACTTACTGAGTGGACCAACCGACCAGACCTTTCCCCAACTATCGGAAAACTATGGGACTACTTGGTGGAGCTTGGTCGCTTCGATGTTCTTGGAGACTGCAAAAATCTCATCAGTTAGTTGTCAAAATATGCAAAAATCTCATTAGTTAGTTGTCAAAATTATAGTACATTTCATGTTTTGTTTCACAGATTATGTTGCACAAAATGAAATGCATTTAATATAAGGGCTGGGACGATACAAATTTTTCTATATCGATACATATCACGATATTTGAGCCACGATACGATATTTATCACGTTATGTTTAATTGCTTCTAAAATCTTTTTTTGCTTTGAAATAAACAAATTATTTCTATGCAAATGAGAATAATTTATTCAAAATAGTTGTTTATATGTTGTAAAACAAAAATATATTACTCAACTGGCGTTAATTATTATTTATTTCATATCTATATTTATATTTAACTTATTTAAAATTTATTTTATATATTAAACCCCAACTGTTAAATAAACAATGAAAAACAGAAGTCAGATTATTTTTCTGGGCGATATTTCAATATTTTTTCAAATGTATTGATATGTGTATCTTCCTTATATATATCACGATATATCGATATCTCGATATATTGTCCCAGCCCTATTTAATACATTGATGGTGTGAATGTTAGATGAGCATAGTACTTCTACTGTTTTATTTAATAGTTCGGGCTCGTCAAATCACTTGTGACATTTGGTGCATCTAGACTCTGACGTCACATGACGTATGAAAATTGTATTATCAAAAAGGAGTCTAAATGGTGCTGAAAGTTAATGAAGAACATTTTGTTTACTATTTTTCATTTAAAAACACCCATTAAATCAAGGCGAGTTAAATTTTTGTTTAATATTTGCTGTTATTCTCGCAAGAACATAAGCATTAACAAACAATGCACTGTGTGTCCAGAGTGACTGCGGAAAAAATTTGTTTGGATCAATGTGCAAAATCTGAATTGTCTTTGCCCAGGCTCACATTGATGAGAGGCTTTGTGCTGCTCGCTGGGCTCGCTATAAGAATTTAACTTTTTTTTTTTTTACAATCAGATCCCATGCAGGCATGAAGTATAAACTAATTAAACTGAGGCTTTTCATATAGGCACATCTCACATTTATCTCAGCTGAGATTAGATTGTCTGAATATTTGGACTGATGCCATCCTTCATTTTTCATGTCTGGAAATTAACACTCAACATTGATCGCTTCTAGTTTTTACATGTATTGTCCACCTATATGATACTCATTCACATCAAGTGTAAAAGTTATTTGAATGGTCATCTTGTTCGTTTTAATAGGTATGATTATACTGCATTGCATACAGTTACTGTGTACATGGAGTAAAGATGTAATTCCTAAACTGAAAAACCAAATTTTCCTTTTAAATAATGGCTCCAATATTAGATGCAAGTCAATTTTTTTATCTCCTAATATAAATTAGAATTATAATAGTGTCTTATTGAACATGTGCTCAACATATCAGAACAGACCATTATGTATCATGGTAGTCATCATTTGAACAAAAACAAAACTGGGAAAAAAGTGGATTTCCGGGCATGAACTATAAAGGGCTGTTCTAAGATTTGGTGAAGGTGTACGTCCAGATATCCAAACAAGCCAAAACTCAACAAGAACAGAAGCATAATCTCATAAAATAAAGAACAATACTCATATAATTTATCATTTTTTCTGGTAAAGTAGACAAAAGGCAAAAGTAGTTATACACCAAAACATCAGGACATTCTGCATGTTCTTGTCTGGCATAAAAAATGATGCACCAGACTTTATACACTGTATATTGTTCATGTCTGATTGTCTGATGTCTTCTGCAATATAGCTGTATGTGTCTTTTAATTATTTTTTTTGTTAGATCCCCTCCTACCTCCACATACACAAACACACACAAAATGGAAATTGCTAGAAAGGCATAGGGAACTGTTTGTCAGTTCATCATACTGATGCACCTTTTTGCAGGAAATAGGTCTTTATAAAATGCTATGTTAAAAAAATTAGCATGTTATATCAATTTAGACACGCTGAAAAAATGAAAAAATCAATAATAAAATACTATAATAATGCAATATACCTTCAATTTTTGTTCCAAAACAGCATGCTAGTGTAATTTTTATAATTCGACTAGTGGTGTTGATTTAGTACAATACGAATACGTCACCTGAATGGTAGCAAAATATTCCTGGTCTTTACATTCTTTTTATCAGCAATGTAAAGCAGGCAAACACCTAAGTTTATAACTTTATATATACCATAAATAATACAATCTTTCTTTCAGTCAGAGACGCTGATGCCTACATCAAGATGAAAGAAGATTTAAAGAGCAAAGAAAGTCCTGTACAAGAGGATATGGGTAAGGTCTTCATTATTTTAGCAGTACACATCTGTATGTTAAAGTCAGTTTCTTCTGACCTAAGTTACATAAAGTACCAAGTGAATTACTGGCACTTTGAATTTTGAAGTTTTGTTCATTGTCCTTGGACTCCTTATCATGTTTATTTTGTACCAATAATTGAAAATAGGAGGGGGTAAGTAGTGTGGGCTTGCCTTAAAAAAAAAAATAAATGAATACTTGAGCACTTTTAAATAGTAAAAAAATACTGTCTCTTAACATCCTTGTTAATTGGGTTTACCATGAAAACATCTTTGTCAGCAATTGTGCAGCTTATACTAAATGACCTTATGATGCACTGGTGTACAAACGATGTAATAATCATCCTTTGTCCCACACAATGAGTACTAAATAAATAATCAAGTTACCAGGTATACCATATTTGAACACTGTCTATCCATTTCAATTTTTGAATGTAATGAAGGTGAAGGTATGATTAAAATTTCCTTTTTTGATGAACTTGTATAAGTAGCTGAGACTCTCATTGGTAGAAAGAGGTACATGTACTCCACTACCTGTTGTAGAGGATTGTGTAAAAGAAAAATATTAATGTGAGCTAGTTTATTGGTGACATTTAGGTCAACCAGGTAATTTTACTAGTAACATGAGTAAGCTTTGAATAGATTATATAACATACACTAATTATAGAAATTGCATACACAGTGGTTTTATTATAATTTTTGACTGCACAGGTAAATTGTAATATGATCCAATGTTTATTATCAAAAAAAAACTATAACTTAAATTGTAAACAGCACAAAAACTTGAAAGTATTTTGTCATTTAACTCAAAGTTACTAGGTATTGAAGATTGACCAAAACGTATATTGCATAACTTGATATGGCTGCCTATCTTGAGTTGAATGTTTATTTTTGTTTAATTTGAGTATTATTCTTTTTGGATGTTGTTGATTGCATAATGGCACCAAACTATGGCCATGCATTAGGAAAGAATAAAACCATCTACTCTGGATGCATTGAAATTCATTGGTCCTTTAAGATGATTTGCTATGATGCTATCTATGTTCAATTAAACATTTCACTGATTCTGAATTCAAATATCCCCACATTTCTATATATAGGTTAAATTGTGTCTGATATTTAAATGCCAAGTCGAAAATATATGGGTATTGTTTTAAATCTCGGATATCTATGAAAGCTGATTGATTTAATTTGTGTAATTTACAGGATAGTCCTATCTTTATATAAAGTAACTAAACAAATACAAGATCTTTTTAGTTAGTCTGAACTTTTCAAAAATACACCATATATGACTTTAACTATCGTTCAACCAAAATAAATAATATAGGCCTATGAATCCTGAACCTGATCTAGAACATGTAGACAAAACCGAATCAACATAAACAAATGTTATCAACACTTGAATAGTGAAAAAAAAAGTAATGTAAATATTCTTCATAATGCTATTATACTTGCTGACATATGGACAGAAAGTTTAGGGCCAAAATAATAGGTATCATCTATGTACATAAACAATTGGCAAGAGAATAAATAAAATTCAGGTAAGCATTCTAGCCCATGGGCTTCTTGTGACATGCAAAGTTTTAACTTGGAGGATGTGTGAAAACAAACATTTAATATAAGACTGACCTCCTTGACCAGACTGTCTGCTGTAACGGTTTTTGCTCTGATTTCAGTAACTTCCTCTGAGACAGCTGTGGACCACCATGTAGATGAGCTGTCCATTCTTTGTAAAGATGATGGTAAGTTTTCTCTTAATTTTATCCAAATAAGAATATTACAGTTAAAATTTGGTGCACTTTCATTTTATTTTTGATAGGGTGTGTGATTTTATCGTTTTACTAGTATGTCATGAATTGTTACTGTGAGACTTTTATGATCATATGGAGCAAAAAAATATTTATTACAATGTTATAAAATCTGGAAGTATTTCCTTCATTTGTTCAGAAGTTTGGATAAGTGTTTAGTGTTAAAATTGATACAAAATAGTAAAATCATACTGTATAGAGTCTATACAGTATTTAGTACATAGTATCTAGTACAAACACGAATAACACTACAATTTATGGATATATAGAAAAGTTGTTTTTTCAATTCATTGTAAAATTTCTAAGATATGAGGATATAACACTATCGGATATAGTAAATTTATGGATATATTATTTTTATGTTCCAAAAGGTTCAAAATAATTAAATGAACATTATATTAATAAAAATATTATGACTACCTATATAAATGTTTGACCTCAATATTTTAGTGGAGAAAGGGGAGCCGCAGTATTTTGATGCCTTTGTCTGTTACTCCCCCATTGGGGAGGACTTGACCTTTGTCAAGGAGATGATCTCTAAGCTGGAGAATCCGCCCCACAACCTGAAGCTGTTTGTTCCATGGAGGGATGATCTGCCGGGAGGGTCACGCTATGTTATTGATGCCAGGCTCATTGAAATGAGGTCGGTTTTCTTCTCCCTAGTAAGATCATAGAATTTTTATGCCCCCCTTCGAAGAAGGGAGGGCATATTGCTTTGCTGCTGTCCGTCGGTCTGTCGGTCGGTCGGTCTGTCGGTCCATTTAGTTTCAGTTCATTTTCTTTACAACCGCTGCATATACTGAAATGAAATTTGGTATACAGGTTTATCAGGTAAATATCTAGGTCAAGTTCTGTTTTGGGTACGATCACACCATTTTTGACAGAGTTATGCCCCTTGGACTTAGAAAAATTCCATTTATTTGCAGTTTCCGCTCATTTTCTTTGCAGAGGTTGCACATATTGAAATGAAATTTAGTATACAGATGTTTCAGCTGAATATCTAGGTCGAGTTCTGTTTTGGGTTTGATCGCACCTTTTTAGCTCACCTGAGCCAAAGGCTCAAGTGAGCTTTTCTGATCACATTTTGTCCGTCGTCCGTCCGTCTGTCTGTCCGTCTGTCCGTCTGTCTGTCCGTCTGTAAACTTTTCACATTTTCGACTTCTTCTCAAGAACCACTGGGCCAATTTTGACCAAACTTGGTACAAAGCATCCTTGGGTGAAGGGGAATTTAAATTGTTAAAATGAAGGGACATATCCCCTCGCAAGGGGAGATAATCAAGAAAAGACAAAAATAGGGTTGGGTCATTAAAAAATCTTCTTCTCAAGAACGACTGGGCCAGTAAAGCTGAAACTTATGTGGAAGCATCCTGGGGTAGTGTAGATTCTAAATTGTTCACATCATGACCCCCGGGGGAAGGGCGGGGCCACAATGGGGAATCAAAGTTTTATATAGAAATATATAGGAAAAATCTTTGAAAATCTTCTTCTCAAGAACCACTGGGCCAGAAAAGCTGAAACTTATGTGGAAGCATTCTGGTATAGTGTAGATTCTAAATTGTTCACATCATGACCCCCGGGGGAAGGGCGGGGCCACAATGGGGAATCAAAGTTTTATATAGAAATATATAGGAAAAATCTTTGAAAATCTTCTTCTCAAGAACCACTGGGCCAGAAAAGCTGAAACTTATGTGGAAGCATCCTGGTGTAGTGTAGATTCTAAATTGTTCACATCATGACCCCCGGGGGAAGGGCGGGGCCACAATGGGGAATCAAAGTTTTATATAGAAATATATAGGAAAAATCTTTGAAAATCTTCTTCTCAAGAACCACTGGGCCAGAAAAGCTGAAACTTATGTGGAAGCATCCTGGTATAATGTAGATTCTAAATTGTTCAAATAATGACCCCCGGGGGAAGGGTGGGGACATTATAGAGAATCAAAGTTTTATATAGAAATATATTGGAAAAATCTTTGAAAATCTTCTTCTCAAGAACCACTGGGCCAGAAAAGCTGAAACTTATGTGGAAGCATCCTGGTATAGTGTAGATTCTAAATTGTTCACATCATGACCCCCGGGGGAAGGGCGGGGCCACAATGGGGAATCAAAGTTTTATATAGAAAAATATAGGAAAAATCTTTGAAAATCTTCTTCTCAAGAACCACTGGGCCAGAAAAGCTGAAACTTATGTGGAAGCATCCTGGTATAGTGTAGATTCTAAATTGTTCACATCATGACCCCCGGGGGAAGGGCGGGGCCACAATGGGGAATCAAAGTTTTATATAGAAATATATAGGAAAAATCTTTGAAAATCTTCTTCTCAAGAACCACTGGGCCAGAAAAGCTGAAACTTATGTGGAAGCATCCTGGTGTAGTGTAGATTCTAAATTGTTCACATCATGACCCCCGGGGGAAGGGCGGGGCCACAATGGGGAATCAAAGTTTTATATTGAAATATATAGGAAAAATCTTTGAAAATCTTCTTCTCAAGAACCACTGGGCCAGAAAAGCTGAAACTTATGTGGAAGCATCCTGGTGTAGTGTAGATTCTAAATTGTTCACATCATGACCCCCGGGGGAAGGGCGGGGCCACAATGGGGAATCAAAGTTTTATATTGAAATATATAGGAAAAATCTTTGAAAATCTTCTTCTCAAGAACCACTGGGCCAGAAAAGCTGAAACTTATGTGGAAGCATCCTGGTGTAGTGTAGATTCTAATTGTTCACATCATGACCCCCGGGGGAAGGGCGGGGCCACAATGGGGAATCAAAGTATTATATAGAAAAATATAGGAAAAATCTTTGAAAATCTTCTTCTCAAGAACCACTGGGCCAGAAAAGCTGAAACTTATGTGGAAGCATCCTGGGGTAGTGTAGATTCTTAATTTGTTCACATCATGACCCCCGGGGGAAGGGCGGGGCCACAATGGGGAATCAAAGTTTTATATAGAAATATATAGGAAAAATCTTTGAAAATCTTCTTCTCAAGAACCACTGGGCCAGAAAAGCTGAAACTTATGTGGAAGCATCCTGGTATAATGTAGATTCTAAATTGTTCAAATCATGACCCCCCGGGGGAAGGGTAGGGCCACAATGGAGAATCAAATTTTTATATAGAAATATATAGGAAAAATCTTTGAAAATCTTCTTCTCAAGAACCACTGGGCCAGAAAAAGTGAAGCTTATGTGGAAGCATTCTGGGGTAGTGTAAATTCTAAATTGTAGGAATCATGACCCCCGGGGGAAGGGCGGGGCCCTTATAGGGGAATCAAAGTTTTACATAGAAATATATAGGACAAATCTTTGAAAATCTTCTTCTCAGGAACCACTGGGCCAAAAAAGCTGAAACATATGTGTCCATAAAAGGATCATGGGGTAGTGTAGATTTCAAAATGTCTAAATTATGATCAGTGGGGTAGGGTGGGGATGCATTATGTATAACAAGGGGGAAATCTGGTAAAGAACAGAATGGTCAAAGCTTCTCAGGTGAGCGATGTGGCCCATGGGCCTCTTGTTTGATAGAGTTATGCCCCTTGGACTTACGAAAATTCCACTTATTTGCCGTTTCCATTCATTTTCTTTGTAGAGGTTGCACATATTCAAATGAAATTTAGTATACGGATGTTTCAGCTGAATATCTAGGACAAGTTCTGTTTTGGGTTCGATCACAACCTTTTTGTCAGAGTTATGCCCCTTTGACTTAGAAAAATTCCAATTATTTGCAGTTTCCGTTCATTTTCTTTGCAGAGGTTGCACATAATGAAATAAAATTTAGTATACAGATTTTTCAGCTGAATATCTAAGTCAAGTTTTGTTTTGGGTACGATTGCACCATTTTAGACAGAGTTATGCACTTTTGGACTTAGGAAAAATCCAATTTGGGGGGAGGGGGGCATAAGTGTTTCACAAACATCTCTTGTATTCCTTGTGATACATACATGTGGCATTGTTGAAAAATACATATACAATTTTTGTTGTATAAAGTGTTGTTACTTTATGGGGATTAAGCTCATCTATGTGTGTATATTTTCCAAAATTCAGAGACATTCATTTAATTTAATAAAATTGTTTTGTTTCTCTGAATAATGAATTCTTTGCTGAATTGGATCATTATATGTTTATAGATGCAAACGTATGGTCATCATCATGTCCAAGAACTACCAGAACAGTGCTGCTGCTGATTTCCAGGTCAAGTTCGCCCATGCTTTGTCTCCAGGTATTTTTTCAGTATAGTTATTGTTATACAGTAGAACACACTGAATTAGGATCAATAAAGTATTATTCGTAATGCATTTATCAATAGAATCTTAAAGTAGGGCATGGTGTAACATGTTTAAGTTCAGCAGAGCTAAAAATTTTGAAAAAAAAAATTATTTGTTTATACATGTATTGAAAACTTGAGCCTTTTGGCTTAGGATTTTTTTTCTTTAAGTATTTTAGCTGTCTATAACCAAGTAAAAACTTCAAGATTTGAAATAAGTTTTGGGGAAAAATAATAAAAGAAGTACAGGTAGTTGATCAAAAACCACTTTGCTTGAAGGTGCCAGGAGTAAGAAGCTGATTCCTGTGCTGATTGAGTCGGGGATACAGGTGCCCCAGGTGTTACGTCATGTCACTCTGTGTGACTTCACCAAACAGGACCTGAAAGACTGGTTCTGGGACCGACTCTCTAAAGCCATCAAAGCACCACTGGACCCACAGATGTCAGGGTAAGTTAGAAATCTACATAAGTAGTCAGAAGAAACTAAATATTAACAAGCCAGATCATCAATGAAAGTTGGAAACTTGGGATAATTTATCCCATGTTTCCAACTTTCCTTGATGTCCCTTGCATACCCAAGAAATTATACAGTGATTGAATACAAAAATTGTGCTTCTGTCTTTTTGTTTGACATCAGGGGGCGGGGACTATAGAAATTGACATCGGAGGTCTCGTGTAATTTGAATCTTTTAGACAACATTTTTAGTCTAGATTTTAAAAAATGTTGTCTAAAAGATTTAAATTACACAAGGCCTCCCATGTCAATTTCAATAGTCCCCGCCCGCTGATGTCAACAAAAAGACAGAGGCACAAGTTTTATATTCATATTAGGCCTCCTTCCCTCATGGCCTTTCACTTGGCGAAATTTACATTCCATTTGACTTGTCAGGATATAAACTCACCTAACTTTAAAAGAGTTTTCGCAGAGAAAACGAATAGAAATGAAAATATTCATGTGTAATCATGAGTAATTACAAATCACTGGGAGTATTTAGAAGTAAAAATATATCAGTAATAAATATTGATTGTGAATTTCTGATAATCTACAGTAAAACATGCTTATAACAAAGTTCCAGGAAAGAGAAATTGTGCTTCATTACATAATTTGTTATATCCATTAGATTCACAATATGTTTAAAACACACAGGGAATGAAAATCACTTCACTATAAGCATCAATACATAATAAGCAATGTTCACTATAAACATGCTTTAGTGTAAATTATTTTTTTTTTGTTATAAAAGTGAAATTAACCTTTTCATGCATAATATCCATTAAATGTTTGTAGATATGGATCTAAATCTCTGACAACGTCTTCCTCTTCTCCTTCATCTCTGTCATCTTCCTCGTCGTCGTCATCGATGCCGTCATCGGACATCGCACCAGGGGGTCTCGGATTTCATGCTGGAAGCAACGCAAACGTGAGAGATGAGCTGTCACAGTTCCACCCCTTACCCACCTCGCCCAGCTCCATCAGCATTTCCTCTACTTCGTCGGCGGATAATTCCTCCGCCAGTCTGATCAGCCGGGGGTCGGGGCCCGTACAGCACTCCTGTGAACCCATGGAGCACACGGATATCACCTCCATGGGCCCCGAATCCTCAGTCAAGAAATCAAAGAAGGAAAAAAAGACTTCAGGCCTCAAACATATTTTTAATAAAATTAAAAACTCTGGAAGCAGCAATAACAATACCAGTTCACAATGCTAATAATCTCAGGGTCAGAAGAAATTCTGACCAGGCAATAAATATTTAGTGTTACTAAAGTTCGTCCGACATGTTTGTCAAGTATAACCTAGCACAAGTTCACAATTTTCATTCTACATGGCTTGTCTTAAATAGTAACATGACCTGTAAGGGAAAGGTGATATGTCTTTTTGTCATAGGTTGCATAATTTTGAATTTTAATGCTTTTTCTTATGGAAGTCTGCAAAGAAATGTTACATTCCAGCTAAGGCAATTGTAAATACATGTATGAGGAAAATCAGCATGAAAAATGGCTTCATTAACTAAAAGTGGTATTTTTAAATATCATGTTTGGAATGTCATTTGAATTGATTAAGGGTCGAGATATTATAAGGATGGTTGATATATATTTGTTTCTGTTGTGGGTCTAAGCCAGCACATCACTCTTGTTACCTGCCTCTGATTGTCCTCAATGTACAGAAAATTCAGACGCATTCCATTTGCATAAAATAAATTTTTTCCCTTTTTTTTTTTTTAAATGTTCTATACACAGCTGTCTTGAATTTCAGTGTGAGGAATGTGGTGGAGAGTTTTTTTTTTTTGATACATGTTTATTTGTATTTGAAATGTAAGTCTTCATTACATTGTGATTTGATCAAAAAATGTTCTACTTTGTCCAAAAAAATAATATTACTAGATGTTTAAACATACTGTATTGGATTTTTAGCAATCAATTATTTTCTATTCATTTTTAATCAACTTGGTATGTTTTTTTAAGTTGAATAATATTTTTTATTCAGAAATATGATATATTTTTTACTACATAGTTTAATTATCAAACTTCCATTTTCATCATATATTTTAAATTCACACCTGTTTCCTACATATTTTCCGCTGGCGTAGGTGATTTATAGATTGTTGTGGCAAAAATTTTGTCAAGAAAAAGACATCATGCTGCAATGCATGATCTTTGTCACTTAAATTGTCAGCCATTTGTCTGAGTTGTATGAAATACATTCCGTCAGGCTTGTTATTTTTTGTTCACATTTTGTAGGTGGAGTAATCAAACTTTTTTTACCTGTACACATGTATATCATTCACATTGATTGATTCACTATTGTAAACATATGTAGTATATGATCTGTTTGAGGAAAACACTTGTATGATCAAGCATTAGTGTTGTAAAACTATTTTTTGTGTTGAGAACTGCTGCATATCTAGAATGTTGTTGAAGTACGTGTTTTGTTGTCTGTGTGTCTGTATGTATAATAATCTCATTAATATGTTTCAGTGCTTTGATGTTATAATACATGTATATGATCTTTTGTTATATTTTGTTCAGGTTTGTTTTCTTTTTTAAGTCTCATAACAATGTGCTTAATATATTTAGTTGATAGTCGTATGATTTTAGATTAATCTCCAGATTTTATTTATTTTATTTTATAATAGTTCCTTTATTTTCTCCAAAACCACATAAATACATGTAGTATGTGAAATACAGAGAAAATAAAAACAGAATGCATGTACAAGTTATAAATGTATGAGCAAAGGGAGATAACTCTACACAAACATAATCATTGAATTGGGTGGTAGAATTTTTGTGGTGGTGATTTTAATGTTGTAAGCACATTTTTATTTTTTACTGTAGTGGAAAAGAAAATAAATAGGTTTGATATTGTGGAAACATACTTATTTTCACCGGAAAAAATTCATTAGAGAGTGACATATTACTCAATCACGTTTACATCAGAGAGGTGCATTTACAGTTAAGTTGTTATGAATCTTTTTTATGCTTAATTTAATCTGAGAAACAGCAAATGACAACAAATATGAAGTGACCAAATTATGTAACATTTTTTAACAGATCATTCCATTGTTTTTTTTGTTCTGTATTTAATAAAAATTAGTTCTTGTTATTCCGTCAATTGCTCTAATGTCTCGAGTTGAAATTATTTAATCAGAATTTGTTTTTCTATTGGTAATTATTTACATCACCTGAGTCTTTCAGGTACATACCACTATTCTTTTTCTATTTCTCTATGTGTGTCAATCGTAACACTGTAAACTGTTTTTTACTGAAATGTTTGTCAGAGCCAATTTCAAAAAATGAATGGCATGTTCATAGTATCTGTGCACGAAAGGAAACAATGCTGCAAGTGGTCTCAGATGTGGTTGGTGGATTGAGCTTGAACCATCATGATAAAGTTGATCTTACAAATTTCTTATCAATACTCATGAATACTTTTCAGGAAAGCCATTTGCAACAACCCTCTATCAAACTTCTTTAGACCACAGGATTGGATGAAGTTGACCATATTTTGTAAAATCCTGGTACAATTCTTCACCTAGAGGTTTACAAGCAAATTGTGACATATTTATCCCCTCAGCTCAGGCCCCCTTTTTGAGACAAATTTATTGTGTTTTCAAAATGTGTATTATCATTAAAAATCTTACTGCTGAGCATCTAGGAGACAAAAGTGATCTATTAATCTGTAACATTTTTCTCTATTGGGTCCAAAGTTACAAAATCTCAGTTGGGCTGATATTGGTGAGATACTGGCCAACTGGTCCCATTTAGTATATATCATAATAAGCGGCCAGTTTCAATCCCGCCCGTTCATTTTTTCACTATATTTTAACTCATTTAAGCGGCCACCTGTCTAACGCGGCCAGTGGCCAGTGTTTTTAGGTCCCGTTCGTTCAACATGCCTGTTTTCAGCGGCCATTTTGTCTGTTTTGTCACATGACTTCCGTCTGACACGTGACCTCGTATCCTCATGAACTGCTGATAATGAGTTAATGACCAATAATTGCAGGTGTAATTTGAATTCTATCAGGATTTAAGGATTTAATTAATATGATTAAATGATTTATTGTTAAAAGATTTTTATTGGTGTTCTTAATATACAAAGTAAGTTGTTGAATATTTTCATAATATATTTAACTCAATATATTGTCAGTCTCACATTTAACCTTTTATGTTATATAAATAAATATATATCTAGAAAAACTAAAAAAAAAAAAAAAAGCTTAACACAGCATCAGGGAAATGCTAAGTTAGAACATTTTTTGATTTCCTGTGATGTATACAAATTCTATGGCTGTATATTTCTTTATCATTAAAGGGGATTTCATTTGACTTTTAAAAATTTCCCAAGTTTTTAAATGTGTTAAATTGGATATGGATACGTGTGAAAATAAATACACAATATCATTGGTTTGGTGGCCACCTGTCTTATGTGGCCAATTTGTCATTCTCCCACGAGTGGCCTCTTAAAACAGGTTTGACTGTATATCATTAACCTTTGCATTCATGGCTTACATTGACCAGTTGGTTAATATCAACCTTCATAGAACAAAGACTGATGCCTCTGGTATTATCAGGGCTATACATGTATAAATTTTATAATTAAGACTACATCCCTTTTATGATTGAAGTGAATTCTTTCAAATTTCCTGTAGAAATCGTGGTGCATTGTAAACTCAATATTTTGTCACAGTGTCATTGAGATCCAAAGTTTTCAATCTGATTTGATAAATGTTCTTTTTGAAAAAAAAAGTATAAGAACTAATACAACTTTTACAAGGTCAAAAGTCTTGCTTTTCTTGAGAGACTTGGGTGAGCATATGGCAGGTCCATTGGAATTTTTGTCTATTGTAAGAGCAAAAATGAATTGACTTAAGATGTCTTTATTTTATTTTTTTTTTTATTTGTATAACAAGCTTTTTCTTTACATTTTAATATATTGTTATATTACTATAAAATCAGATGCTATAAAATTATTTTTTATTAAATGCAAACCTTACTAGTATCTCAAATTATGATTTCATCACATTGATTTTTGTATTTTTCCTGTGATCATGTAAAAATACATGTTTGAAGTAAACATTAAATGTTTGAAATTGATGCTGATTTAAGCTTTCTTCTTTTTCCAATGAATTGAGAGACAATGCAAACAGAAAATATTTACAGACAGGTAAAGTCTAGTCAACTCAGAGAGAAATGACAAAAGACAAGATTTGTTTCTGTCACCATGACATTTTTAATTATAAAAAAAAAAAAGTTATTTTTATTATCATTCCCTTCATGAAATTTAATTTAAAAAAAACAAAAAAAGCTCACTTTTATAAGACGACAAGGGGAAAAAAATTGTGACTTTGACCTTAGCTACTATTGCTACATGTATTCATTGTTATCTGTCGTCATGCGTCGTGTGTTAACATTTGAACATTTTCAGCTTCTTCTCTGAAACCCAGGTGATCCAATTTCAGCCAATTTTAGCATATGGCATCTATGGGTGAAGAAGAACAAAATTTATGAATTTCAGTCCCTGCCCCCCTGGGGCCTGAGGGATTAGGCCAAAACCACACCTTTACACCTGGACATCAAGCAGTCAAACTGTTAGCATGAATGTAATGAGCATTGAGTCCTCTACCAAAATTGTGAAATTCATGGCCCCAAGGCCAGGGGTTCTAGTGCTAGGGTGAGGCTATATAGATTATATACGGTAGTGAAAATGCATTACTAGTATTTCTTTGAAAATCTCCACTCCTGGGTATACTATTAAATAAACTTACCAGTAGTTATGGTGAGCAAGAATGCCTCTTCCAGAATTGTGAATTTTGTGGCCCCAGGGTCGGGGGTTCTGATGTTAGGGTGGGTCTCTATTGATTTTATAATGAAAATACATTACATCTTTGAAATCTCTGCTCTTGGGTTGTAAGCAGATGAACTACATATATAGCTATTATGAGCAAGGGCCCTTCTTCCAGAATTGTGAATTTCAAGGCCCCTGAGTCAGGGGTACCATGGAGGGAGGGGGGCTCTACTTATATACTGAAAATGAATTAATTGTTTGAAATCTGCTGCTTGGTATTAATCAAACATTTTTGATAAGCAATGGTGCCTTTTCCAAAATTGTAAAATGTGTGGACCTATGGTCAGGGGTTCATGGCATGTGTGGAAGGGGCACTACTGATTTTTGCTGAATATTACTGATTAGTTGAAATGCATTTTTTGTTCACCTACCCTGCCTATGGGTATTAAGTAACCAAACTAAGCAATTGCTACACATGTAAATGTATAATTATGATGAGCAATGGTGCCTCTAGATCTTTCAAAATTGTGAATGCCATATGGCATCTAGCTTAAAACATGAACCAAATTCAATCATTGGAAAGTTGTTGCATGATGCTCAGGTGACCTATAAGACCCATGGGCCTCTTAGTTTAGTTCCACGATTGCTGAGTTATGACATTTCACAGCAGAGCTGCTGTTGTTACGGTCTACAAAGCCTCATTACAGATCTAGAGAAACATTATTATTAGGCAATGAAAAGAGTGTAATTAATGTCATGTAATTGGATATTTATTTTAATTGTGAGACAGAAAAATATTTTCACAAATGCTAAATTTGCACAAATAAAGCTATTAAAAAAAAAGTCCTGTTTCACTCATGAAATTAAGTGCATGTCTAATTTTAAAACATTGAACATTCGATCAAATCATCCTTTAACTGCAATTTACTGTCCGCCGAGATATATCTGACTTGCCACTAGCTAACCTGGAGGTCAAAATATTGGATTTAGATTTTCAGGCACAGCTACGTTAGGCTGAATATTCTACACTGATCAATTAAAATAATAACCTATAGATAATTGCTATTAGAGTAACTACATATATAATAGGATTGAGTTATTTCCCTTTTCATATTAAAATGACTCAGATTTATTTTACACGTATTATCAAAATATTAAACATTATTATTTTGAAATCTTTGGCATGCAAAAGTTATAGCTTTTTTTTTTTGGGGGGGGGGGGGGGTCATATACCGGTAGCAATTTTTTCTTGTATATACCAGTATAAATATTAGCCTACACTATTTCTCTTTATCAAGACAAAAAATTCCTTTTTCCCCTTCTTTGATCTTGGTTATTTCCTGCTACATTACATGTATGCAACTAAAAATATAATAATGGAATTTTCTGCCTTCCCTTTGCAACACTCTGGGGGAATGTTTCATTCAATTATCATTTTAGGAATTTTGCAATGCTTCAAATCATTGGATATGCAAATGAATTAATGTTTGTGTGCTTCAAGAAAAAGTGCAATTTCAGGCACTATTAAATTAAAAAAATATATATAAATTCAGTCAAAGTTACCTTATTATTTAGAATTTAACATGGTCAAGATATCTAAAAATTCATTTAACAAGGAAAATATATTTTAAAAATAGGGCTGGATATCAGCCAAGAATGTCTTATTGCAATTTATTGCTTTTTACCGTAACTGTATTGAGATATGTATTACATGTACATTATTTTCAAAGCAGTTAAGATATCTTTTCTAATCCCCTTTAGAGGTTATTTGTTTCCTTCAGAATGTATATAACAATGATAAATACATTGTAATGAAATAGTTTGTGTTTATTTAACTACAGTTTTAAACCAAACTTCAACAGCAGCTTTCTAATTGACACAATTGAAAACACTTCTGAAATTTTTAATTTTCATAATTCCAAGACCAAGCACTGTGCTGGTATTTTGGTACAGAAAAAAGTATCACAGTATGAATTAACAAATTTTGTTAACAATTCAAAATTTACTGGAATAGTGATGTTATTGCATGGCCCTATTAATAAATGTTTTGGGGACTGCTTCATCACTTCCACTTATCCCTGGTATTTGAGAAGATCATCTTCGCTATCCTTTATTTTCTGATCCGCTACTCTTCTAACAAGCCCAAGGCTAGAGAATATTATATAATATTTTAAGGTTGCAATAGGTAGTAAGTACATTATCTAATTTTAAAATGGATGCCCAATTCTTAAGTCAGACAGCTAGCTGTGAGTTCATGATGCTCAGTACTTATGTAAATAACTTGCTAAACTCTTGCATGAAATTTTACACAGTGAGAAAATCTATGTGTACAAATTAAAGTACATCCTTTCGATAAGGAAGTATCAAAATTCCTGATAACTCACTTGTGATAGATAAGAAATCAACAAGTAATCTGGTAACATTTTATTGAATGAAATAAAATAGGCACTGCGATTATTGTAACATTAATGTTAACAAATATGTTTCAAATTCACAACATTTACTTTTTTGATAAAGTATTATTGTAGGATATTTTTTCCCCCTGGGTTGACAGAAAGACAATTTTAATGAAAAAAAAAAATTTTCCAAGAGAAAAAAAAGAACAGCATTTAGACAAATGAAAACTTGGTATGATGAAGTACCATAAGTGATAAAAGTTCTGCGATACAATGGATTCACAACACAAACATTGGCTCTAATAACAAAATACGATATTTATAACCATATGATAACCGATGCAACTCATTAACAAGTAACAAATAAATAACTGACGACAATGAGAGAGCTATGAGATTCATCATAAACATGTCCATACACTGGTGTGTGTACGACTGATTTTATTGTTTAATAGAAAAATTTAAGAAAGCTATCAAGCAATTCTTACACATTTGTAATGCAATCATTAAAACAAAGAATATTCATGGTGGTTAAAACAACAATTGTTTAAAAATCCAAGTGAATATCTCCATAGACAAGAATTTAATTTTTAAAAATTGCATGCAAAAAAAGTAACTCAATTTCAACATGTGCAGATCATCTATTTTAACTGCTTTGAATCTATTTCTGAACAGAAGGTAGAAGAAAAATGGGTCTTATTTAAAATGGCTTCAACATATGAGCAATGTTATATGTAAGCATGAGCAAAATATCTATACACCTATATTTATACATATATCATTTAATACGAAACGAAGCAAAAATTTCATGCCAATCTGAATTACCTCCCTTAGAAATATTTGCAAGGAATTTGTCTTGGGAAATTCAACAAAATATCCAGCTTTTTTTAACAATCCAATTTCACCAGACATCAATCTTTCAAATACAAATTCGAAGTGCGAAAGTTTTTTGAAAGTTTGAAGTCTGGAAAATCCATTCCACTTTTTTTTCAAAATGGTTGTAGATAAGAAAAATATATTACATATGTTTATTTATCCCAAGAGCAGAACAATGCATAACGAGTCATAAAATTCTCTGTTTTTCAAATCATTTAGATGCTCATTGATTGTTTCTCACTGATGACTAGATTTGCATAAATTTTCTGTTCCAGTGTTTAAAACGTGAATATTGTATGCATAAACAAAATATTCTCCCCCTAGAGAAAACATTTTTCCTCAAAACCTTGCAAAATTCTCTTTACCAAAATACCTCTTGGCACATTTGGCATTGTAAATAAATATGCATTATGTTGAATCTGTTGTTCCCAACAACAGCGACATAAATACCCATGACCACTTATACATGATGGTCAAATTACCCCAGGATGTCAACAATGCAATACACACAGCGAAACCTTGGAATTCACAAATATTGCACATTGGATATCAACCACAAAGTTTCCAAGCCATAACAACATCAGATACAAGTAAAATCCAATCTTTTTTCAGACAGGGAGTATATAGTGAACTTGCTGGCCACGAATAGTGTGCGATATCACTATTAAAAATCTTCCGAAATTTTCTCTTGGCCTTTTGAATTTGTTCAGTTCACATCAAAATGAAATCATAACACCTTTTCTATGGCACCAGTACTTGCTTCAGAATACTTGACACTTTGGCAGTTCAGTAATAAATAAGGTCTGTTTTCACTTCTTTGAGGAGTTGAATACCACCTCGACAGACTTGTACATTTTCGTACATTATCATCCGTTTTCAGGAGACGAATATCTCCACATCCTCCTGTTTTTGTTTCTGTTTCATTGCTGCCCGTCGATCCGCCAGCATTTTCTTGCGCGCCTCCTCGCGTGCCTTTGCTGCTGCCCTCATTTTTTCCGTTCTCTCGGGCGAGGAATCTGGCGTGTCTTTTGCTTTGGGAGTTTTCCTTCGAGATCCCGGTGTTCCGCTAGGTGTGCTACCATTACTCAGTGATATACTTCCGGACTTTGGACTTGAATTTACAGAACTTCCTCTTGACTACAAAACAAAATTACATTTATAGCATTTCTGTAAATATAATGGTGTTCTACTTTACTGAATGCATTATTTTTGTACAATAGATATGTACTTTATTTTTTAGGAATCTAAACAAAAATGATATATAAATTTATGCTCTATTTAAAATAAAAAAATCTTCTCTGTACTCAAAAAATTATTTCTGTGGAAATCTTTTTGGGATTATATGAAAAATACAATTGCTAAATAGTTTTGAAAACATTTCTATTCTACATGTATATATATAAACGGCTTGAAACCTCAAACATAAATGCCTGGACAAGAGATCTTATGATACATTATGTCTGTAATCAGATTGATACAATTGCTCAATTACATTAAGAAATCCCCATTGAATTTATCCTTCAACACATTTAAATAGGAACAGCCTATACACAGGAGGGAACTTTAAAAAGATATTAACATTAAAGAGATTTCAGGATTATGTCTGACCTTAATATGTAAATAATACCCCAACTCAGAGTCTGGTTCATATATGTGTATAAATTAATGTTTATTTTTATGCTGTTGGAGTTTTTATACATTCTATTAGTGGTTTAATGGTTCTTTTGCTACTATCTATTTCTAATGGAGCAGAAAATCAATAGCTAATTATATTACTGTGACCCAATTTTCTCTTGATCAGATAATCTCCTACATGCTAGATGTTATTAAATAACTATATCGATCCACTTCTAAGCAACTCAAACATCAACAAATGCATTAGGTGCAAAAACTTGATACGGATATATGATGCCTATTTTTTCAATTGAACAATACATCACTGGTCTGACATATAAAAAAACAGAGAGAAAAAAGTTGCATATTCTAGAAAGTAGAAAAATGTTTGGTCTGACATGGAAAAAGAGAGAAAAAAAAATTTCTTATGTTTAAAAAGAAAATTTTGATAAATAAAAACAAGCTCTTCAATAAAATAATAATAAAAATTAATCCCTTATATTGCAGATAATGCAGTTATTTTTGTGAGGAAAAATTCAAGATATTTAAGCAATATTAGCAGTTTTCATTGTTGACTTTACTGCACATTGTGACCTACATGGACTGCGAGTTCCTTCCATCCATTCTGTCTCATCAGGTCCAGCTCCGCAAAGTGGTCATCAATATTGTCCGCCTGGATCTTAATCATATCCCAGAACCCCTGTAGGTCTGCCCACTTCAACACCTTACCATCCTCAGAAGGATTCTAAAATAAACATGATAAATATATTACAATCCCTTCATTTTTTTTTAATTGCATAAAGGTGAACATTTCTTGTACTTGTTCCGCCAAGAATTTTGTGCTATTTCCCATGCAAAAAATTAAAAAGATTTTATAAATGTCGACATATGCATTGAGCAAAACATTTTTTTTTTTTGGAATTATCAATATAAAAAAAGAGAGAGAGAATATTCTGAAAAGCTAATTTGGGGTTTCCAAAACAGTGTCTTTACACAATAACAAATCAAGAATCTATTTTTGATCATGTGCCCATTTCAAATAACAGAGTATTAAATGACCTTGGATTTAATTATGTTATTATTGAAGAAACTTGAACATACTGAATAAAATTTTGTTGCTAGACCTGTAAGAGAAGAGGACATGAATGCTCTCTTCTCCACTAAGCTTCAACTATTTCAGGGTAAATCACTCACCATGTGTTCAGCACACAGCTCCCGGAACTGCTTAAACTTCTGAGAGATCAGCAGATTAGCTTTACCCACAGCTGCTCGGATTTTACCTCGCACTGTCAAACAAAAGGGACAGCTGTTAGACAAATGTTAAAAATGTAATCTGTCTTTAAAAAACATGCAATTTTACACATTTATATCTAAATTTCATTTTTGAAGTCTTTGTAATATGGAGTTTGAATTTATTTACAAAAGGTAGGAAGTCTGATTTTTCATGTTAATCTTTACACTTAAGCAATTTCTAGAAGTTTTTTAAATCATCAATTTCAGATAATAATATTTATCAGTTTGATCAAAGTACAAAATCTAAAATTCATTTTGTTGTTTAAATGATCAACTGCGAACATAAAAATCAAAATTATGTAATCAAAAACAACAGCCTGCAAGTGATCAAACCTCACTTAAATAGACTCTTTACATTCACGAAACAGATCTTGTGAATTCCTTGCTTTATTCTGTTCTGGTTTTAAATGACAATCAAAGAAAAAGTTATATTTTTTGAAACACATAATCATGCACTATCATTAGTCAAAAACGGCAATAATTCTAAAAATATCACATCAAAATGATCTTGTTGATGCATTTAAATGTGCACTAAGTTGTACTAAATAATGGAATCAAAATGATTAAATAAAAAAAAATATCTGAATAATAGGCAAAACTCTTTGGGATAAAATAATCACAATGTGCTAAATACATAGGTTGACAAAACTATGTACAACAGTTTGTCTGTGAACAAACTGTATCTGTATATTATGTGAAGGTTGGAAAGTGTGAAATTACAAATATAGGGTGGTAATATGCACAGTGGTGTGTATAAATACAAATATTCTGTGCAGCGGTGAGGAGTTGGCTGACAAACTGTTCATCTCTATATAAAAGGTATGGCCAAAAACCTAAGTTTTTAGTGCGGGAATCCAAGTTTACAAAACTACACATCTGTATATATGTAGAGCGGAGGGGTTGCGCTGACAAATGGTTTGTATATTAGGTATGGCCAAAAATGTTTCTAAATGTGTGTTGCCTTGTTATCCTTCAATACTCGGTCTACGATCATTATCCCAAATAGAAATGCACAAATGTATCATGTATATAGTGCTCTAACTATAACCTAGAACAAATATAATTCTCCTCCTCCATGACCAGCACTATCATAAATGACTTCCATTACTACGATAAACTACTACCAGAAGGAATACTGGAACTTTTAAATACAGTCTTATTTTGTTATCTCAAACTTGATTGCACCAAGCGAAAAAATAAAAATTCTTGAAAGATATTTAGTGTAAAATTCACAAGGAAAAAAAGTCATTGGGACTTCCAAATCACTTTGACATATCCATGATATTTGAGCTGTTGGTGTTTGAGATACCAAAAGTTCAACTGTACTGTAGATCATTTATATTTTACAGCCATGACACCTTATTTTCGCTGTTGAGATAGAACTCTCAAAGCACAAAAATAAAATGATTCTTTATTAGCGAGACAAAATTTTCACGAATTGTGGTCATTGCTCAGTGTGTATATAATCTTAAGGAATTCTATAATACGCGAGTTTATTGAAATTTTATGTGTTTTGCCCTGATCCTTCACAGCATTCATCCCAAATAGAAATGCACAATCCTGTATCATGTGCGTAATTATGCATGACCAGCACTATCATAAAGTTCTCATGATTAGTATGATAAATAAAAAGTGATTTCCAGTATATGGATGCAAATTTAACCTATGGCATGATAAACCTACACACTGGGGGAGTGTGGACTTTTTGATGTTACTAGACCTATCGTCAGTATAAGAACTAATTCCTTACCATCCTCTGGGGTGCTGGGACTCTCTAGGTCTCCCTCTATCTGACGACAGTGGGATGTTAATCGATCTTCCCACTGCTGGGTAAGTCTCAGGAAGTATTCCCCATCCTAAAAATAGATCCAGGAGAGTCATAACTCAAGTCTAACACAGCATATCAGATTCTTCATTTCTGTCACTTGGATACACTTAATACGATGAATGGGATAATTCTTCAAGAATTACTTTGGACAGTTTCATTATATAAACATGATATATTACAAGTATATTTAGCTCAACAGACACAATCCAATAAATCTATTCCTACCAGCTTATGAACTCGAATGATGTATCTAAAGTTCTGAACACAAAATTAAATTCAAAGTAAATAGTCAACTCATTAATATTCATCTTTTTTTTAATTACGGCAAAAACTATTAGAATGATTTCCTGATACTCTTGATCTGGCTATTTTCATCACTGTATCTAACTGTAAGATTAAGAGGTAGATGTGCACAATGATATCTAGTCCTTAAGGACAGTGCATGCCTCCCCCACCCCACCCTCCACACCAGTAATGTTTACCTGTTGTTTGTCTCCTGTGGGGTAGTGTTCGTCTGGTAACACACCCTGTCCGTTCCCTGATGCACCATTAGTAACAAGTCCGTTATCATACACTAAGGGCTGGGGACATATAAGGCCCAGTTCTAGAGTACTGTTTGAGGCAGAAGTCCTTCTCATAGGGGAGGTCACTCTGGTGACCGGCATTTTGTAATCCGATTGTAAAGATGAACAGCTAGAATATGGTGAGCGTTTCTCTATAGATTTATATGAACTGTACTGACTATATCTCCCATAACCACTCACAGCACAACTAAGTTTTAAATATGATGGAGTATTTGTACACTCTTTGAATTCCACATCCGCTGTTGAGGCCAGTTTTGGCATGTTTGTGAAGAATGCCCCATTTTCTGAGGCTGAGCGAACTTTTTCAGAATAGCGGTCCCCTCTGGTTGGGCCGAGGGCACTTTCTGATCGGATTGTGTTCTCTCTGCTTCCTAACGCTGGTAGCTTGGAGTCGTTACTGGATCCTCCTTGATTCAATGAAGATTCACTGTCTGTAATAAATAATAAACATTTAATTTATATGAACTACATAGGCATAACATTTGAGAAAGTGATCACTGAAAACATCTATGTCAACTGATGTAAAATTAAAAGCTTTTCCCTCCAAGAAATAATCTGAGTGGGAAGGATTGAAGCACATTCCCTCTGAGTCAATATAATTTTATATCAGTCTCGCTGCAGTTGTTACATAGATGGCTTTTTGAGTTCGATTCATTGACACTAAAAACATTAGGCCTGGCAGCAGCAGATAATGCATGCTTCTGACACACAGATAAACTCTGTAATGGCATTTCCTATAATTTCTCCATATACCATCTAGAATGTGTCCTTAGATTCTCAAGGCTTCTCTATGTCATTAACTAAGTGAGTTCCCAACAAGAATGCTACAAGGTTCATAACTGAATCTTCAAGTGTTAAAACTTAAAAAGAGAAACCAACCTTGATGTGAACTGAAATCAGTGTAGACTGCAACAAGTGTCTAGAATCAATGACTGAGGTTAGAGGTGTGTCGAGACAGCTTGTGAAGCAGGTCTCAGTGGTTATTTTAAATCAATAGTCAAACAGAGAAATCACAAAAAAATTTCTTCACATGACAAAGTTAACCAAGCTTTCCACAGGTTGACAAGACATAATCCGAGTTCTACCTGATCAATACATACGGCTCAGAGCCGGTGTGACCAGTCAACAGGGGAAGCTTACTCCTCCTTGGGACCTAATCCCAACTCTGGAATTTCTAGGGGTAACTGTTTTATATCCTGTTTACACATGTTACAGATATGATATTGCTTGTTTTGTTTTTTAGATGGATCATTATTATCTTCATCTATTTCATTTCTAAACTGACAATCTGATCAAGGAAATTTTTCTTACTTTAAAAAACTAGACCTTGCATCCTTGACTTTATCACATATAACTTTTGCCAGTATCTCATACAGTTACATTACCTGCTCTAAAAAATGAATCACTCTCCATCTCTTCCCCCTTCATATCAATTGAAATGATAAATTTCCCTTAACTTGTTCAATTTTTTTTCTCAGATATTCTTCCTCAAAAAGTATGTGACTCCTTGGGGATCAAGTTTCCAGTATTGTCCCCAGAGTCAAACATTACGTGTGAACTTGTAAACCAGTAAAACCACACAAGAAGGGGTCATTTCCCCTCAACTCTACACACTGTATATATGGGAACTCTACTCTAACATACTACATAATGTTTCTGATCTCAAAAACTCATAAACTTCTTGTCAACTCGTCATAATCAGCATAACTGCAGGTGCATGTGTTCTCTGCAAAAGCCAGGAAGATGAACAAAATGGAGTCTAGAGTTTATGATGCACTCTGACAACTTGAGTGTTCCCATTTATATCCAACATAAAATACACCAGTAATTAAGTAGAGAGGTTAATTAGATTTAATACTCTGACCTTGTGAACTGTTGAGGATATCTTGAAATATTCTCATAATAAATTCTGTGTTTATGTCTGTGTGATGTCACAGCCAAGACTTCCTTTATCATATGTTTATCATGTTTATGAAATCTAAAGGCCGGTTTACACTATGCATCTTGACACATGCATCTTGGATGCATGTGCCAAGATTCATAGTGTAAAAGCCCCTTGTGTCAAATTAAAAGGGTGTTGCATCTTGAACTTAGATGGAATAGAACTTGTTCAATTCATTAATTTCTATTAGAACTGACCAATGAAAAGAAAGGTCAGAGTTGATATTGAATCATGAGCCTTATTTTTTTCATATAGTTTCAAAAATAGCTTCCCAAGATACACAAAAACCGAAAATATTGATTAAAACTACAATTAGAAAAAACTTATTTGATCATTATAATATAGAGGAGTTTTTGTTTTGGAATAAATATAAATTATATCTTCCAAGAATTATCATAAAAAGGAAATTAAGATTGATTTGTTCAGCTAAAATAAATTTGGAAATGAAATTTGAAGGCATTGTTACTTTTTTTAGTAGATAAATTTCATCTTTACAAAATATTCTAAAGATGCATGCATCTAGACACATAGTGTAAATAAGAAGATGCATGAGGCAAAATTGAAGCATGAGTTTAGATGCATGTGTCAAGATGCATAGTGTAAACCGGCCTTTACATTGCTAAGGGCAGTCGTATATACACACAAGACAGTAAAGAAAATCATTAGTCATTGAATTTATTAATTAAAAAAGAACATTAATAAAGAGTATAAGTTTATAATTACTCCTTTTTCTAAATTAATTTTTTAACCACATAAGCTCCAAAGAAACTAATCTAACTGTAACTTAGCCAAGAAATAGAAGATTCAAATCATTAATTTCTATTAGAAATGAAGCAACAGATTAAAGATTTGTCAGGCTCTAAATGAGGGAATTTTCCCTGTAAACATGAGGGCCCATATATCAATCATTTCTGATTACCGTCTCCATAAATCTGGAGAAATCCAATTTGCTCTGAGATAATCCAATAAATATACAACTGAGTAAAAACTGCTAGATTCCATGTGACAATCATTGTTTCTTTTCTAATACAATTTAGAAAAAAAATATAATTGAATTTCCTCTAAGAAACGGAACATGAAGATTTCAGTGGTAATGAACAGGGAAGATATTTTCAAGTTACTTTTAAACAACAATTTTACTCACCAAAGTGAAAACAGACCAAATATATACAAAATGCCCAGCTTTATACCGCAGTAGACAGTGTCTATCCAGAGAATGATTAAAACTCATCAAATACTAAATATTTTCCTGATATGTTTTCCTCGCACATGCCTGCTCTCCTCTCACTGAAAACCAGGCCAACAGGAAGCTAGTAGGCCAAGCGCAGCTTAATGTGGCTCACAGAGACCCCTCAAACTCAAATGGCTTCATGCTAATCATTTTTTTATCTTCTTCATCAGAATCTGTTTCTGGATACACTCAAGACATTCCCGGACCTCATTATATGGAGATTACTATTTTTTGTTAACATTTCAAAACATAAAATTTGAATCCAAAACATTTAATATCAGCTATGTGTCATTCCTGAGGAGTGGTGGTACACTTAGCTATAGAAACATATGTATTACAAACTCTCAGAAATCTTAAAAACTTCCTCGTCGGAAATCAAAATAAAGTTCATTAGTTCAAAGACTGCATGGTCATTGCAACCACTCAAAACTTTCAAGTAAATAAAAAAGAATGGGCTTAATTAATATATGAAGCTGGGCAATTAGGAACAAAGAAAGATCACATTTCTGAAATGTATAAAATGAAGAATATAAACCAAATAAACTTACTGAGAATGTATATATTATAATGAAGTAATTAACAGTTTAAAACTCTACTAGAGATGGATATATCACCTGAATTTCAAATGAAAGTAGGAACTGGGGTTGTAGATGTTCCAGAAGATTATAACAACATCGAAAGATTAAATGATCATACCCAGGCAAACAAAAACTGAGTATACCACCGTATACCTTGATTTACCCTTCATATGACCTGTCAGAATTCATGAAAATATCAGACATTTTCCACCTCTGTGACCTTAATTGACTTAAACAAATAATGAGGAGTGACAATTTTTGACAAGTACAATACAGAATTGACGGCCTATACATACATTTAGATGGGTCAGCGTGTGGAACAGGGCCCTTCATCCTTAGAACAATTTGGCCAGTCAGTACAGAATGATTCACAAGTCCATTCCAATGTATAACATTATGTATGAACCAGTCAATGTAACACTGAATGAACCGGCCTGTGTCATGTCTGCGTCAAATTTCTCATTGGTCACGGTTCTCTGATCACATGGGGACTAATTCAAAACACACTTCTCTTTAATGACTGAACTCCAACACAAAGTCTAGCATTAACACACAAATTATATTAACTTAATTAAATTAAATGACTGAGACTGTTTATTTCATTAAATATGCTTTTCCTTTTAATTTTTTTCCTGCCAACATAAACACTGCATGTCTTCAAACACCCCAGATCTTGAAACAGTCCTAATCATTTTTCTTTCTCTTTAATGTCTTTGAAATCTCAGAATTGAAATAAACAGTTGAAACTAAATGCCAAATTGGAAGGAAAGCAAAACTACGACTTAACTCTGCCAATAGAAAATTCAAAACAAGTCCTAACAATTAAATATACCTCTGAGTGGACACAAAGACGTAATCTAAATAGAATGTGTCAGGAAACAAAATCAAAATAAAAAACGAAAATAGAGAAGTCAGCTGTATACTGTATAATAATATTTAGAAATATCTCAAAAAATTACACATCTATATGTTATTGCATAAAATGTTAAAATCATTGATTCAGAGAACAGTACAACATTCAGGGGGCTCCAAATTCAATACGTAAAATTCCATGAGTTATATTTGTTCCTACTGCACACTCCCACTAATCATAATTAGCATTATACAGATGATTATTGAAATGTCATTGTCAATAATTTCTGCAATGCATTAACTTAGGTTTCATTAATGTTCCTGGCTTACAATTCTTTCTCTAGGGGGACAGACTTAATAGTAATTTCATGTTGAGTTGCCTCCTCTAATGAGTCAACTCATGCAAACTAAACTTTTTGAATGCCTATAACCTAAATTATCAGAGAGAGAGGAGAGGAGAGAGAGAGACTAGTAGCAGGCAGATCAGGTGAGACATTATTATGGTATTGATCTAGTGACTCACTCCCTCTTACTTCTATACATAAAGTACATCTGATCACTGCCATTGATTTTTTTTCATCAATATTCTCAGATTTAAATGAAAAAAACGCTTTCACATGTATAATTTCATTCTAAATATTTTGAAATTCAAAATTTACTCAGAAAAAGAACCCAAAATAACATACGGTAATTTTTTTCTTCTAAGAATTTTGCATAAAAATATTTATCATGGTTACATTATTACAAGTGTCCTGTAAAAGAATTGGCAAATGACACCTATTTTTTGTATAAAAGTTTACCTGTAGTTTCTGTCATTTTTAACTTGATATGCATTCCAAATATCCACTACGAAAAATAACAAGAACCAAGGCTGTGTGTGGTTTGCTTTACAGACAGGCCTGTGTGCCACAGTCCACAAGAGTTCCAGTCAACTCCAGATCAAGAACCAGAATCATACACAAACCCTTATTTGGGTTAAATTATTTTGTCCCATAATCAAATAAATTCAAAAGCATGTTTGTACACATATCAACACGATCAACCTGAAACTGTCAACAGTTTGTCCCTCTCCAATCAAGCAAGAGATTTTAAAGATCTCTGCCAGTCTGCATTGTAGATCTCCCCAGGTAAAAATGGTCTGGACCAATTAACACCACATAATCGCTCATTAGAATTAAACAACCAATTAATTGTCCAGTGGTCACCTGGTGTGCCACTTCTGGTCAGAGGTCAAACAAACACCACTGGATGTGTACGTACATGTACTGGTATTAAACATGCCATATTAAACATGATAAATAGCTGACTATTGATTGCCATCAACCCCTATATTAACTAGATGCTGATCAGTAAAACCCAGGCAGTGTCAAGGAGAACATTATAACTTTACAGTAAAAGTCCTGTGTCAGCAATTCAGAATTTTAATACTTTTAAAATTTACTTCATAATTGCTTTAATTAAGAACTTTTTATTTCTACGTTTCTTTTTTTAACATGTACTACTTAATCAACTGTTTTAATCTATTTTTTCATTTAACATCTGTTTTATTGGCTGCTGTTTGCAGCAGGTGCTAGTGAAAATTTCTTTAAAACAAATCCTCCATTCACTACACTAGCCAAATTCCAAAAGATTATTTCTAGCAAGAAAATGCAATGCATACAAGATCTATGAACCTTAATTTTCCAGCCTAAACTGAAGCCAGGATTCAATGCTTTATTTACTAGGGTAAATGAAAATTCTAAAATTACTTTTTACAGACTGAAACACTACATGAGAATTAAATTTCACTTTCTTTTCTGACCTATTTGCCTTAGAAAAAAACATCTACAGGTATATGTCAAGTGAAATGTATTCCCGAGGTGACAAATTTCCACCTTTATTACAATTTACAGGCCCCTCCCTTCCTATATCCCTGTTACTTACCTGTTTCACCCCGATTGCTGTAATTACTGATAAAATTCCACTCTTACCGGTAATTAAGGCCACTGCTTCCTTGGTCCACAGGAATGTAGCAGATTTTGACGAGTAACGAATGGCCTATATCCTGGAGCTGCTACTGTTTGCCACTGATGACACTCCGATTTATAACTAGCTTATTTATCACAATACCAGGTGGACGTTTAAGACAGCTGACCAGTCTCTAATTCCTTCCTAATCAGACATGTACCTACCTTGTTTACAGACTACACATCTATCTTGTTATTCCTGACCCGAGGTAAACATGACACCAAATAGCTTCATTAAGATAGTGAAAATTTTAGTGGTCACCACAGATTCTATTCATACCAAACCTGACAACTTTAGATAAACAATCTCAGCTGGTCAGTCTAACTCAAAATGTTTATGTGCACGGAAATCATAACTTCAAGGAAAAACTCCAGTGGTTGCAACTCATAACATGTCAACATGTGCAGCAAGGTTAAATCTAGCATATCACTGAGTCAAGCGAATCAGTGAGTCACTCCCCCCTCGGAAACTGAGACTTAAAACAGCATACTTGATGTAGAAAATCCAAAACCATTGTCTGAGGTTTTTCGATAAATAACTTGTATGTTTACCAAGAAAACTTACCAATGATATCTCCCAGTCACTTTGAAAGAGTACAAAATACCACACACTGTATTTATACACAATACGAGTATATTTTCTCTGTAAATTGTTAACTCCCTAACCATCCCAAGAAAGACAGTTATTTAAATATAAAAACTTTTAATATTCCTCTGAATTAGTCACTTCCACATTCTCCACACACAGCACTAGACATGCAACAATTAAGATTTTCAGAATTTGAGTCCTGTTAAAAGGTTTAAATTTTTTGGCAATGGAAGGAGATTATTTTTATCTGTAAGAACCTGAAAATATTAAATCATAGCATTGAGGAGTAGTGTATTGGCTCCGGCCTTACATTATTTACATAAAGACAGGATAAATTTTCTTTTGACATTTCAGAGATAGTTTCACACCATTTAAAGTACCCGATAGCCTTTCAAATGATCAATAGATTCTTTTATATCAAAAGCATAAGTGCGACTGAAAGTTTATTTCCTTTACATATCTGCTTCATGCATGAAATGATAATCTATACCAACATATAATAAGTAAGGAAAGTTTTCAGCTGATTTCATTGGAAAATTGCACTATGATCTGCAGCCTGTGTGTATATACAACAGATTTTTAACAGGCAGCAATTTTAATTTAACTTTTTTTTTGCATCACTCCAAAACTACATGTGTACTGGTATGTGTAATCAAGTAAAAAATTATTAAAAACAAATAGAATTGAGGAAATTAAACCCAAAATCAGATAATTAAATAAGTGAATTTTAGCATTATAGTAATGTTAAAATCCTACTAGGAAATTTAACCAAAAATTACATACTTTTAGTACTGTCCGCCTTTAATATCCCTGTCCACTGACCAGAGTACACAGTTATAACTAAGTAGGCCTGGGCTCTGTCCAACACACCTGCTCTGAGCGGACATTAATCAGTGTAGGGGAGATCATGTCATAAACAAACAATACAGACATGGATACTCGTGATGGATGTCAATTTTTTTTAAGTGTGACTGGTCTATGTTGTACAATGTTTTGTTTTATCTTGTCTGGCAGAGGCCCAAGAAAACTTTCTCCTGATACACATCTAATTATTCTACCTTCATCAGGTAAATATATAAAGTAAGGTGCCTTATTGCATAGGTGAGTCATTTTCAAAACCTACCAATGGACTACTGGCAGCTTTAATGAAAATCATCACAATGTTCCCTTTATATATACCTCTCATATAAACTACTGGAACATTGATTTACCATTGAACCACTGAAGACTGCAAGAGTTATCTGTCCGCTGCCCTATCAATTGGCAGGAAATTGGAGCAGAAAATAGCACCATCAATAATTCAGACAAATAGTTCCCCGAATTGTCATAAATCTTTTTTCTCCATTATCCAGGCCTTCTGTTCACAACCTAATCACACCCCAAAGATGAATTCATTTCCTGAACATTTTATATTTAGCCTACATGTAAATTAATACAATGATATATATTTTTACTGCCAATACTTTATAGACCTTGAGATATTATAGTTCTCACTTCAAAGACACTTTTCTGTAATTTCCATTACAAAATCAGCATTTACCTACTCTTATTAATTTGGTTTTGAGGAGAATGTGTAAAGATTCTGATTAGTCTCTCAGTCAACTGCAGCAGTTGAATAAAAATTCCAAGGACTCTAACTGAGGGCTGAATCCCATGAAAATTAGTGAAAACAATTACATGAAATTGAAATTTTGGAATGTCAATACAGGCAAAATGTAAAATCATCATCAACAAAGGAGTAGTTTTAGCCATTTCTTTTTTTTAAACACAGCGAAATTCCACTTACCTGTGACCGTGTTGTCCAATGAACAATTGCCAATGGAGTCCTCGTTTGAACTCAGTACAGATGTTTGAAGGATCCTGGGGGGCTTTGATGCCACATGGACATCTACAGAGTTTGGGGACGCCACTCTAACTTGAGGTTCCACTTTATAATGTTCACCACTAGTGCTGGGGCCATCCATCTCCGTGAGGTTCTCCTTGTTCATCCCCGGGGGTGACACTGCTGCAGTGGCTCTCATGGCCTGGGGTCTCGATTGTCTTTGACCCTCACCCTGGGGCTGAGGGTCCTCAGATAAACTCTTTGGTGATTGCTTTTCTTTGAATCTTTGGTAAACATCTCTCTCAGCAATGGTGTTTTGTTCGATGGATTTCAGAATTCTGTTAGAAGCGGTTGGAATTTGGTTTGGCTTCTCGTCCTGGACAAAGCCTGCTTCACGATCAGCAGTAAAATCATCCAAACTGTCCTGGCTCCGGGACTGGGAGTTTGACCGTCGCTTGGAACGACCCATCAGCTTCAGGAAAGAGCTTCTCACTTTATTTCTGGAGAAGCTCTCCTCCTGCTGAGATCCAGCAGTGTCCATACTTGAGGTAGATCCTTTGTCTTTGGGAGATTTTCGTCCAAGTCTGGGTGACAACTTCCTAAAGAAGTTCCCAATGCTGCCCCCAACTGACCGCTTTGTTGGAGTCAGTCTGTTACTGTTGTCCCTACCAGGATGGGAAGGCACAGAATTGGACCGCTCTGCTTTGACATCCTTCACAAGATTATTGTGCGTGATTCTGCCCCCTGGTGGGAACCTCTCTTCAATCTTCGCCTCAGCAAGTCTCTTCACCTCTTCGGAATATTTGTTGGTGATGGCCTGTCTATAACTCACTGTACGGTCATGTTCATACTCCCTGGACAACTCATTTACAGGAGGCATTGGTTTTTGTCTGGTAGGAGAGCCCCCATTGGCCATTCCATTTTTAGCATTCTGTCGTCCCATGACCCTTTTTGTATTATTTTGACTAGAATCTGTCACATCTACACCATTCTGCACAGGGTATTCCTTCACAATTAACTCAGTCATTTCCTTAATTTTTGTTGAATAATTAGTTTTTTCCCTTGGACTATCACATTCAGTAAACGAAGGGTCAAAAGCTGGATCTATACTTGAATTCAGCTCTTCCCCTTGAAGCACATCCGTTTCATGCTCAAATGAGTCTGAATGTCTCACAGTAACTTTAGCATCATAAGTCACATGTTTAGGGCTCACTTTACGAGCGGTGGCACCATGTTCAGATTTCATGCTGGATGTTAGGACCCGGGTCGGAGTTGTTGATCGACTCCTTTCTTTTTTCACTTTAGCCGGTGTGAGGACAGCACTGAAGCTTGTTCTGTATGGCTGGGGTATCCTAACATCGATTTCCTCCTCAGTTTCTGGGTCTCGATTCTGCACTCCGCTGGCCGATTTCTGCCGCGTGATGTGATCCGAGACCAAGTGAGATTCCTTCTTGTTAGACCTGTGGTCCAACACAGACTGTGGAGCTAAGGTATCCATGGCGATGAGTAGGGTGGTGGGTCACACACTCAGATGTCAGCGGTCTCCACGGAAACATGATGGCAGATTAGTCTGAAAGATAAAATTTGAATGTAATCAAACTACATAAAATGGTATTATATTTTAATATATTGAAGACAATACAGTGTCCCATGGTATAATTCTACAATAGCTGTCCAAAATGCATTTCCTCCTGAACTATATACTTATAAAACATTGTATATTATAACAAATGCAAATACAATAGCAAATCTTTAAACAATAATGTTCCAATGTGCAATTCATTTCCATGAGGTGCAAGCACAGATATGTACATTTCCACCTTTCTGTTTATTTTAAATAATAACAGGGAAATAATTAACAATTCCCATTGATCATTAATAAAAAGCTTCATTTGGCTAATTCAATAGTACATACATAATTTCATATCCTCCTTTTGATTTTAATCAATGCTGCTCTAAAGGATTCATGAATTTTCTTCTCTTGTTAGTGACCAAAGAAAAATCTCTTCACCTATTTATCCTGATCTTTTTTTGCAGTCCAACCAGTTCCTCAAGACAAACATATTAAACTAAAAATAGAACGCACTTATTCCACATTCACAGACCACCATTCTTTGGAAAATTAGGAACCTCATGGTCATGTCTATGACAAAACAGAACCTTGTCAAAACAACACTGCACACCTTACGTACCTTGTGTCTATCGATTTACATTGTCTAACATAGCTAAAACATTGACACTATGACCTACATTAACAATTCATTCAATCATTTCAAGCTACATAAATCAAGCTAAACACTTAGTAACCTTACCTGGACAAGACCTAACTAGTATGTATTTAAAACTATTATTGAAGACCCTAGTCAAATACCATAAGCAATTAAAATACCTATCAAATAAGGTATTAGAAGTTAACACCATTTTTGCCAGAAGTGGTGATCAGAGTTAATGCACATGACCCCCATTTCAAGCCAATACAAAATAAATAGACTTACTTGATCTGTGGTTTGGGATAACTTTACCAGGAAACTGTATATAGCAGTATAGAAAGTACAATGTATAGCCAGACGCATCCAGAGATAATGCGGGTAGGTGAAGGGGTGGGGAGATAGAAGGAACTGATAGAGGCATTTAATAACGTTAAATCTGACAATGGCTTCCAGTCAAGTAACACAAAGGCTTCAATTGATCAACAGATAATACAGGTAGTAACACATTTGTACTCTTGCTAAACTCTTTACAACTATCCCATTAAATGTAAATAAAGAAACTGAATACCCTTTGCTTTACATGGGTATAGATATAGTAAAAATGTTAATCTTCCATATCACTCAGAGAACCTATAGCCAAAGAAAGACACCAGTAAAAAGGGCTGGGTCTCAATGAACACGGGAAAAGTTTCAGCAATCAATACTTCATTCAATTTTTTAAAATCCTTATTTCAACACCACATGTGCATACTGAATTAAAGAACTTGAGATAAATTCATTCACTAAAATGATAAAAGTTTCTTTGTTGGATGGTTACATGCACGTATACTAAGAATGTGTGCATAGAGACCTGGCTTTTATTTCTGAAATATTGGACAGCAGGACACAATTCTAATGGAAAAATTTCCTTCTTTCCTATCTAACCCCCTTTCCATGCACATACACCCCCTCTCTTTCTGGTAAATGGAGTTTCAATTTTTCAATATTTGATCCAGATCAAACAAACAAACCAATACCATTCACTTAGGGTTATCTTATAAAAGTGAAGTAGACCATATATATATACACATGTATATGTTATTTAAGCAATCAGTTAGAGGTTTTACTGCACAGCATGTTATCATCAAGATAGAAGTAAACCAGCTCAAACTAGATTACACCTGGGATTGCTAGATAAATCTTTAAATGTTTTATAGGGTTTCCAATTAAAAATCAAGTCATAAATATATCATACGGTACCTTGGGATATTTTCTAAAGATCAGAGGAACTAAAAAAATCCCATCTCTTATCAAAACATTGATTATGCATCTTGCCTATCTCCAAAATGGTATAATTAGTTTCATAGTTTGGCAAATTGTCTGCATGCTAGGATGTTTCTAGGTGCCATCAAGCAGAAGTTATCTTGAAGAGAAACAATTAGTTGGCTTTTCGATCCATTCACAGAATTCCTACTCGGGCACATCCCTCCTCTGAGTAAACCCACATGACAGGCCTTACTTAACTTCCTTTGAATTATCTCCGAGTTTGATGTAACTCCTTCAGCTACACAACATATTGACAGCACGCCACACTCCAAAGTTTACAAAATACATTCCTTACCTACCCAAAACTTAATTGCCTTGGCTGAGTTGGCTCTAAGATTTAATTTTTTTAACTTGTATAAACATCTAGAAATCCTCAAAAATTGAATCCCTTGGATTCAAGTTTTACTGCCAGTTGCATTCAGAGCTTGCATTCTCAGCTAAACAATAAGTGGTTCTTGTTATCCGATGTAACTAGAAAATGACACTTTGGTTGTTTTTCTTTGAATTTTCTTCTACTTTAGAGAATGCCAACATGTGTTAAAAGTTTATATAGGCTTTTTGCGAAAGTAACTTTGAAAAAGATAAAAATATGTATACCTACTAGAAGCAAACTAGAAATTATCTTACAATTCTATTACGTATATTCCCTGCGAAAGAATAGCAAGCTGAATTTACTAACTCAAGTACAACTGTACGTGTGATTTGCCGTACCTAACAATGCCAAAATAAATGTCTGATTGCTGCATTTTCTCTGCTAATCTAAGCTCTCTGTATCAAATTTTAATACAATGTACTCCCTTTACTTTGTGATTCTTGAACAATAAGTATTAAATCTTAATGTGACTACATTTCAGCACCAAAGGTACACATCTTAAAATTCATTGTTGTAACCGTTGAGCTTAAAAAATTATATTGATATTTTTCCCCATGTTTTCCTTCTCAAATCACCGAGGAACTAAATATGGATAGTTTTCTTGATGTTTATGTGCCTTCATGTCCTGTTATGTGTAAATTACATAATTGTGAAGCATGCTATTAAAAAAAATCATCCTGGATGAACCATAGATCTAAAACTAATTTAAAAAATTTCATTTCAAAATAATCAAATTCATAAAAGAAAACAAGCTTTTTAATTCTATGGGAAAATTTATGAATTACTATCAAGTATAATTAAATTAGAACTGCTTTAAATACAGTACTTTATATAAATCTGGCAAATGAAGAGAGACACTGAAAAACTACCTTGCCAGGTAGCTACACACACAAGCTGATAATCTCACTTTCTTAAGCACACCCATATATAACCTATCAACACTGATTAAATCTACAAATGATTAAAACAAAACCTGTCACCATATTTACCTTTGGTCAGCCATTGTTAAGTCCTGTCTTATCAACTCTCAGTAAATCTCATGTCTGCAGAAACACAACAATAAACAAGCACTGAATACGGCACATTCCTCAAGCAGAAAGAATCCTGCTCTATGTATTTACTGAGGAGAAGAGTTTGAATAAAAAAAAATCTTCCTCAGCTGCTGATTGGTTATAGCCAGTTTCTGATGCTGGAAGGTGACCAAGGATCAAAATCCAGTTGGATGAAGAGAAATGGAAGCTGTTGTTTTTCTCTGCTTCACATTAAAAAGTCAATAAGATTCACCTGGGTGTTTATCCTCCAGAAAACCTTCGGAAATCGCAAACACACATTGATCAAGCTGATCTGCCTGAACTTCTTAATTAAAAGCCAAATAGTCAGGATCAAACGTTTACCCCACAGCATAAATCAATCCGAGAATAAAAATAACCGTCAGGATTTCCAATCTTATACAGAGATAAAGCTAACATTAGCAGGGGGCCTTGAAGATACTAACCCACTGCATATACAACAGAAGTCACCAATTTTATTGACTTTCTCATAAACTAGCCAATAAATCTGCTATAACGTATGCTGATGGATATGTCCTTATGAAGCTGTATTGGGCTGTCAAGATGTGACCTTTGACATGCCTATGACCTCTTAACTCTAGGGAAAAGAGTGAGGGACTGCTACCATTAAATGAGGGCCCCACAAAGCCTACGTATATTTCATTGTGAGAGACGCTGCTGAAGGTCCTTCCCAGCCACAACAAATGGATCAAAAATTTGATTGCTCACCTGTAAATTACAGGTCTTACCTATAATTTGCCTACTAGTGGGCAGTATGGGCCCCTATTATCCCCTCCAGACCCATTATCTAGTGTGAAGGTTACTGTCAGGGTGGGGTTATATTGTCTGTTTATTAGTCGGAGTAGGTATTGACTCCTATAGGATTAAGTCTTGGTTGGCATGCAGCATCTATTGATTCTCTCTCTCTTCTCTCCTTTTCTCTCTATTTATTACCTGATTTACTCTGTCCTTGTACTGAGGGTGGGGGGTCCCGTATACTCCACACCTGTAATATAAGAAAGGCTATGAACTTTCAGAAAAAAAAAACATACAATATAGGTCAAAGGTAGCCTCTTGCTACACTCACATTCATCAGTTTTTTAGCTAATGGAGAAGATGATGCAGTTCTCTAGACTAATGCAATAATTATTGCCATACATTAAGATGACTCATGCACACACTAACCATAAAGTAGGGATGCTCTTTACAGATTTTTAGAGTAATTGCCAAAAACACTTGCAATTATCTCCTTACAAACTTTTTATGATTTTTACGGGTTTTTTTGTTTCTTTTTTTGGAGATGCAAACTGTTTGCACATTGCCAAATATACATAATTATACACCCAATACAATTATGTCTGGTGTAGAGCATGTAGCAGTGTTAATATGCTTTTAAAAAATGATATCACTTTGAAAGAATGGATATAATAGGCCCTGTTTGTTTAGTTAATGGGCTCCTCAATACTTCATCTGAAGTCATATTCTGCTCAGAGAACAATTAAAACTGCTAGGGATGATTTATCAAATCAATTGTTTACATGTTACATCTCTATGGTTACACATTATTTTTGTCATCACTTTCATGTGAATCTGATACTGATGCGCACATTGGTATGGCATGCCTACAATTTGTCAGGATGGATCAGAGACATACAACTCACTAAGTATCAGACAAAAAACTGTGAATATGTTTGTCAAAACGAGAAGCTCAAAATTTGAAGATAAGAGCTGAAAACATGTCTCTGTAATCAATATTGTTGATAAATGTCTATATAATAAGGACTTCAGTATTCATTCATCAATGTATAAAGAGGGAACAGGCCATGTGTTGATTGATGAACAGACACGGTGCATTATTTTATTGAATCCTACTAAAAACTTGTACAATTTTGTATGGAATATAAAACATCACATTTGTAAGGCCTACTGAATGTTGCTGATAGAGAAAAATCTATCTGACATTTATCATACCATTGCTGAAGTGCATCACTGAATCAAATCAATACAATTCAGGACCTTAACATTTCATCATTTCATGACATCAAGGGATTGTGTGATATGGGAAGCTGCCCTACAGCCTGGCCTTTCAATCCAATTTCTCATCTCCATCCTCCCTGAGCCAAAACTTCAAAATCTGCTCATCATGATCTAGAAGCTATTAAATCATGAAGCCAGAGTTTGAGCTACTGCCAGAATAATTAAGTTGGCTTCCTCCTAAAATGTTTGCTAACTTGATGAAAATATCTTCAAGGATACTTCACTGATGAGAGCCACTGGCTATATGTGATATATCTGCAACAGTTAAACATCCGAAAGTACAAGGTCAGACGCCTTTGTCAAGAGAACTTAATCAAGATTTTACAACTGAGTAAACAAACACACATTCACATAGGAGGGTTACTGACTTCAAGCTATATCAGAAATCTTTTCTACAAAGAAACATACCTGTGTTTTGAATTTATAACAGAGTATTTTTATATTGTAACAAAGCAATCTACAATCTTGCTACTGCATACATGAGTAATCTAAGAATTATGAAGGCTCTAGTCTGTCTGCTGTTGCATTCCTGAAGGCATTCTTATTCAAGTCTCTCTTGTAATACATTATTCTTTTCTTTTCATCAAATTTTCAACAACTTGATAAACTTTCAGATACTACAGTTGAAAAATTAACAGAAAAATGAAAAAAAGAACAAGAATACAAACCCCTCGAAAACCATGATGTGCTGTAATATTGTGAACACTCCCTGCAGAATAAACTAACCTTAGCTAGACACACAATCTCGTTTACTGCTCCCGTAAAGCACTCTACTGACTCAGATCAAGGTAAGCAAGCACCTGTACCTACAAAAATCAATACACATTTATAATTTAAAAATAGTGTGCAGGCAAGATCAAAGCAATTATATGGCTATATCAATTTACACATCTTATATAATCCCTACAAGTCCAAAAGAATACTAATTGATGTTAACTGGCCTGGTATTGCAATCCAAGACAATGCAAAATTTATTAATGCAAAAGATGTATCTTTTGTGCTCCCATCAATTTAGATGAATACCAAAAAGACTAGTTTTTCATTTTTTTAATAGATAAAACAAAACATTGTTTCCTGTAAAGCTGTCCTAAGTTAGTTTTAGAAATAACACATCCAGTGTGTCTAGGCTTTGAAAGATTTTCTTGGCACTTTGAAAGTTAAGCACACTAATATTTTAAAATTTGTATTCTGATTTGCTTAGACTTTTAGGAACCATTCAACAGGAATATACAAAATTTAGGTGCTTTTAGTTTTTAGGTGCATTAAATGTAGAATTTTAGCCAGCCTAAAACAAATGAGCTTTATGTATATAATTAGCAATCTTGACTTGAAATGTATCATTGATCTTGATCTTTGCACGACCTTTTCTTAAATAAGACACATGAAAAAATTATTTTAAACTTGACCCCCATAACTTCTGTCCTTCCTGTTAAAAATACATGTAACCGTGTGAAAGAAGTGGAAAAATACAACACTGATCATTGTCCTAGTAATGAATTGATTCAATTTAGTGCAAGTCATCAAACAGTCAAAACTCTACTAGAAAAAGATTTAGTTTTCTTCTAAAAAATCATTATTAATAACTTCATTTCAAAATTTTAGAAGTTTAAAATTCAGAAAGTTACCAAAAGATGATAGAATTTAAGCAAAATCAAGAACCCAGTAATACTGTTCTTTCTTTTCTCTTTATTAAAGAGAAAGTTCCATGATATATATCCTAACTTTCAGGGTCTGGGGATCGAGTCATTCCCAATTACTTTTCCCTCTGTATCAATAAAGAATCTGTTGCCCCTATTATTTCTACCCTCCAGATCTGACAGGCCTAGGAGTCAATTATCCCTGCATATCACATCTGTACCACAGATCTCCTCATCTTTACCCCTCATTATCACAGGGTAAGCTTTAGAAAGCTATCTTCACCTAGCAGTATACAGGGCTTTCAAAAAGATTTGAACCAGGTGGTACTTTATCAAAAATAGGAGGTACCACTTGGCGAACGCCGAAGGCGTGAGCCTGCTAGGGGGGTCCGGGGGCATGCCCCCCCCCCGGAAAAATTTTGAAATTTAGAAGCCACCAGACAGCATTTCCTGGTTTTTAGACACATAGAAGTATGCTGCTATCAGTGTTATTTTTATGCCATGTTTCAAAGTTTATTTTTGGTCAATACACATTACATGTGAAGTTTAGCACTGGATGGGTGGAATTACATAGAAAAAATTAGTTATTTGAGCAGAGTATAAGAATAAGATTTAGGTAAAACTTCAAAGTTCTATGCTATATTTGTTTATATAAATGTGTTCAAAAAAATTTTGCAAGGTTTGAGTTGTAAGTATTATGTTTTAAATATAAAAAAATTATTGAGTCACGAAAGGAAATGGAAATTCAAAATTTAAATTTGATAAAAGAGAAGTGAAATTGTATTTGCATTAAATCAAATTCATTTCTGTTCTACAGTAAAGTGCAGATTAAAAAAAAAAAAATTAGAAGAAGCACTGCATGATGCATAGCATGTACCAATAAATTCAGCATATTTTTCATGCACTGGTACATGTACATATAAAATAATATACATGTGTAAATTAGACAAAGATGACATCAAGACTGGAGACAAAAAAAATTTAGATATGACTCCCTCACTTTACTGGATATGGTTACAACATTGGGAAGAAAGTAAACGTCCGCAAGGTCATTCTCTTGACCACTAGAAAACTGCTGAATCAAAGAATTAAATGTGTGGCAAAAGAAATAGTTTCTGTTTTATGTCCTTTTGTTTCATCAGAAAGTTGCAGATATTCAAGACTGCAAGTAATTTATATCGTCAGCTGCGGATTTTGACACTTAAATTTGAAGAGTTGGGGCTATTAAAATGTACAGAGATGGTCAAAGAACTATCTACTGTTCATGTCCGTCTCTCTATCGGTCAATTGTGTTGAAGACTTTCCGTGGTCTAGTTCCTTGTATCTTAAAATCTTTTGTGAAACTCGTTACCATGGCTTTAAATTGACACTTTCATTTCTGACACCTGGATTCCTATTTTTTTTATTTTTTTGGCCGTATTTATTTAAAATATATTCCTAGTCATTAGCTTTTGTCAAAATCAGTGACGGTGGCATTTGATATCGAAATCTACTTTCGTTTTCGACAAGATCTATAAGACGCGTTACGCAATCTCTTTTGTTTCATTTATTCAAACGCTTTAATGATCTTCTTGACTAACCAATCAAAAACGTTATTAGATACCATTACGAACTAAA